TTGCTTTAATTATCAAGTCAAAAATTTGAATAGGTAAAAAGTATTCTTAACAAGTTTTCCTAGTAAATTTACAAGTATATATGTTTATTGAAGTAATAAATTATATTAAGGTGTTAACACATCCACTTTATATTATAACAAGTTGATTAACAACATCAATTTGTACGTAAAATGTATTGTTAACACCTTCTCTAATAAATTAACTAGTATGAATTAGTAAATTTGAATATGTAGAAGATATTATTAACAAGCTTCATCACTAGCTAGTGAATTAAACAATTATACAGTTGCAAAATGATAGTATAAGTTAGGGTTTTAATAAGTCCATATTATATTTTAAAGAATAGAGGGTATTTTGGTCATTTTATATGAACATATTTTCAACTAGTCTCCCTTGGTCATGTGGTGTATTTTTATATTCTATTGAAATTCTCCCTTCAAAATACCTTATTATCATTTAAAAATTATGGTTAACAATTAATTTGAATATGAAACTTTAAGATGTTATTTTATTTTCTCCCTCTATTTTAATTCATTTCAAATGCCAATTGTGCATTTATTTATTGACGCCATCCCCTTTCTCTGACTTATACTTAGCTACCCATAGTTTTTTACCCAGCCAACTAAATATATATTTTAATTTTGTGGAAACTAACAACTTTATAATATATTGAGACCCATAGATAATGACACAAAAGTATGAGATGATATCCCCTAAAATAAGACACCATGTGAATCAAGTAAGTAGGTAGTGAAGCAGAGAAAAAAACCTCATGTTCCTATTATAATTTATAAGGTTACTAAATTTTAAGCTGGTGCGATGCACTTGTATGTTAATTATATGTTTGATTAAAGGGAAGAACAAAATTTTTAATGAGTTCATTTTAAAATAAGATGGATAAATGGAGTTATAAGATTTAAATAGAAAGAAGATGTAAAAGGAAAGAGTAAATTAAATTGATTAAAAACTTTTAATCATACTTCTTCCATTTCCCTTAAACCAATCATGTCATAAGAACTAATAAAAATCAAATGCTAAGTAAATATTAATTTTAAAATTTTATAAAAAAATAATAATATTAAGAACAGTATGTTGATTGATGTTTTTAATGACGATTTTACAAAGAGTAATAACATTTTCTCACAAAATGAAATAACAAAGTATAAATATGTGTAATTATAGATAACTGTATATAACAACAAAAGTATAAATAAATACTTCTTTTTATTCTCCATGCGGTGTTTGGTAGGGGATGTTTTTAAGGAAAATGATAATAAATTTTTTTTAAAATATATAAATGATAAGTTGGTCCTCAAAATATCATAATTTTTCTAAAATCTCTAAAGACTTTTCTATCATTAATAAATTTATATAAATTATCAAATTACCTTTGTCAAAAATAAATAATTCATAAGTTGTGTTTAAATATTCACAACTTTCCTTCTTATATTTGCAATAATATTTAAATTTTTTATTTATTGTTGTATTATTGTGAATATAAGAAGAAAAATTTTAAATATTTAAACAAAACTTGTGAATTATTTATTTTTAACAAAAGTAATTTGATAATTTATATAAATTTATTAATGACAGAAAAGTTTTTAAAAATTTTAAAAAAATTATGACATTTTAATAAATTAAATTATTATTTATATATTTTAGAGAGATTTTATTTTTATTTGTTTTCATGTTTTTAAGATTAAAAATAATCAAATAATTATGTTCGCTCAATTTTTAAAAAAATCAGTGGGCTCCATAAAAAACTACAGAAGGCATAAAATACAATAACCAAAAACAAAAGACTAAAAAACTAAAAGAAATTAACAAATGCAGCCCAACAACACCTTGTGTCCATTTGAGGTACAGCGCCGCAGACTAGTAACAGAGAATTATCCAGGGAAATTTCACTATAAACCCTTAGATCAAAGATAATAAAAAGAGAATTCTTGAATTTATAAAATTTTATTATAAGTTTAAGAAATCAAATTGAAATTAAAATTTTTTAAAAAATGATAAGATTATTCCTATTAAAATTATCTAGCATGACTTATTTGTATTCCTACTAGATGTTATTTTCTATTCGTAGTTCATTTTTCTATTTCACTTATTCATTACAATACTTTCATTTGAATTAATTTCAAGTATTACTTTTATGTTAGCATGACTTGTTTGTGTTCATATTATATGTGGTTCATTATCTTTTAAACTGTTGTTCATTATCCTATTTCATTTGTTCATTATAATATTTTAACTTGAATTAATTCCAAGGATTGCTTTCACACAATGACTTGTTTGTATCCCTATTGTATATGGTTCATTACCTTGCAGACTATTGTTCATTACCCCACTTCATTTGTTTATAGCTCTACATATTTATAGTTTGTTTTTTGTTAAATTTATTTTTTCTTTCAATAGGGACAATCTTGTCATTTTTTAGAGAATTTTAATTCAATTCAGTACCCTAAACTTGCAGCAAAGTTCAAAAATTTAGGGGCTCCCTTTTTATCATCTCTTGTTCAGGGGTCTTCATTGAAATTTTTCCAATTATCTAATAGAGGGCCCTACCACCTTTCAGGTTAGGTTTAAAGTATCTTACTATATAAAAAAATCATATAGCCAAACCCGCCTCTAATCCTCAATCTTTCAGCCTTATTCAAACTGGAATTGTTAAATATTTTTATTTTATTTTTATTTTTTAACCTGAAAATGATATGTGACATTCCACCTTGATATGGGTAAAGGTGCAAATTTAATCATGAAATATTTTTTAAGGAGCATTGAGCAGCCTCTATTATCCAGTGATGTAAAGAAAATTATCAATTATAAAAACAGATTATCTAGAACCTTTCTATCAATCTTGACCAATAGTTATTTCTTTTTGTTTTCATTATCAATCTTAGCTTGAGAGGCAGACACTTAAAGAGTTCTTATATGAAGACATTAAGAACTCTTTGAATACCTTCTTATAGGGTTCAGATTAAAAATGAAGGTAGAAAGATTGAAGAGATTGACGCATTATAGGTCTCATAAGTCTAAAAATTAGCATCTTCCTCATGAATATCTCTAGATAAAAATTCTTTAAATCTTTTCTTCCCAAGTTGAAGCTAAGAATGAAAGCAAGAAAATTAGAGAGAGAGAGAGAGAGAGAGAGAGAGAGAGACTGATGTATTGTGGATCTCATAAGTCTAAAAAGAAACAACATTTGGTCAAAATTGATGAGAATGTGCTAAATGATTCATTTTTTTAAGTAGAGGCTAGTAAGTGTATCTTGAAAAATAGTCCATAACTAAATTTGCATCTTTATTCACTGCCACATATCATTTCAGTCAAACAATTATGGGCTCCATATAAAAAGTTAACATTCATTAAATAAAAATTAACAAAGATTGCTGGATGCTGCACTTTTTAAAGTTGAGAATTTATTTTGTAACATAGTATAAAATAGACTACTCGATGTTATTAGAAAAATAGTTGAGAGTCAAATTTACACCTTTATCCTAGATATTTCATTACTGTAGTTCTACAATAATTATTGATTAGACTTACAGTAGAGAAAGACTCTAACTACTTTATCGAAATTAAAGAGAGATGGTTAAATTATTAACTTGGTCTGAAAATAGAATTAATTTCCAATTTACATCTATTTAAATGAAATTGTTTAAAATTTACATTATATTTTCTCTTATAGTTGATGAGTTTAAAATAGACAATGATTAAAAAATGTTAATTAATAATCCATTAATTGCCTTATATAAATATTAAGAACCAAAAAAACTTTTTAAAAGACACCATGCAACAAAAACTGGAGGGAGTATAGAGGAAGAATGGTCTTCTTTATTTTAATTTGAAGGGAAGGGATTATACCCTATCTAAATTCTAAGACCTCCCATTTCTTTGCAATCCTTGTTGTTAGGAAAGTCAAAAAAAAAAAAAAGAGGTTGAGTCTGATCAACCATTCATTTAAACCCATTTTTTTAATAAAAATTTAGGCTTAAAAAAATGGTATTTTTTTAAAAAAATTAGGCTTTAAAGCGTGGCTTTGATAAATCTTAAAAAGAAAGAGTTCGAGCTTAGGTAACTCTTTTAGGCTTGTTTTATTTTTATCCTTAAAAAATAAAATATTTAAATTAAATTTAAACTTTAAAATATATGTTTATACTTTAATATAAGAATTTTTCTTATTTATTTTTAATTTTTAAATATTATAACTTGTATTTTAAAAAAATATGAAATATTATAATTAAAAATTTTAATTTCTAAAAAATAAAAAAATAAAAATAAAAAAGGATTTATGGGCTTGACCATAAGCCATTTAAATAAGAGCTGAGCTTTAGAAAATAATAATTTTAAAGATAATCAAGGACTTAAGCTCCTACGGGTTGAGTCCATAAGAATCCGGCCAACCAATTTTTTTATCTCTGCTCATTGGAGTTTAATCATATTGGAGACAAGAATTATGGCTAATTGTTCTGTTTTGATTTATTAGTTTTGCTTCTTTAGTTTTAGTGTACTCTTTGTAATTGGGACCCTTTTGGTTGGGTTTTAATTAATTATATTATTGTTTCTGCTGGAAAAAAAAAAATTAATGAAGCAACTAGGAAAGTAAGTTCAACGGGGACGATACTAAAAAATTATTTCACGAGACCAAAGTTTTTTCTATTTTTTAAAATTATCGTTCTTCATATTATGAAAATATTTTAAATTTATGATTCACAAAAATCATCTCCAAGATAACAAATTAATTTTTAATTTATATTTTTTTAAATTTTTTTAAATTATAAATCATTAATTTAAATTATTCTAATTTTAAAAGCCTATTTGGTGTTTTTTTTTTTGGGGGGGTATTTATTTGGTGTTGTGTTAATTGAGGTCAACTTATGATTTCCCAAGAACATTCGTCTCTCATATGGATCAAGCCATAAAGAATTCAAGCCCACCGTTTCATTCTCTGGCCCAAAAAAAAAAAATCATCATTCTCTCGCAATCCGGCTCCGAGGTCGGATTTTCTGTAGTAAAATTTGCCGCGTTAGCGCCATACGCTCTCTGTTACGTCTTCACTCTATAATCAAGCGACCAAGAAAGGGTTTTGCATTTGGCTTATTGATATACAGAGAAGGACGAAGAGAGATATGGGGAATACCTTCTGCTTATTCTGTGGATGCGTTCAGCAGTCAAACATAGCAGTCGTGGAAAGATGGGGTCGTTTCTACAAGTTGGCCGAGCCTGGTTTCCACTTCTTCAATCCATTAGCCGGCGAATGCCTCGCTGGCCTCCTCTCCACTAGGGTCTCATCGCTGGACGTCCGCGTCGAGACCAAAACCAAGGTTCTCTCGCCAGTTGTCTATATTATATTTCCTTCTGCAAATTCAGTTCTTGATTTCGATTCCGTAATACTAATTTGCATTTCCCTGTTTACCATTTTCAATTTTTCTGTTTTGTAATTGTATGTTGATTGCATTCATATATTGTGGGTTGAAGCAAATCATTGTGGGTGGGCTTGATCGATGCGGAAATTCGAGAAAGAAGTCTTATTTAATGTTTTTCGTTTTTGCTTGATTCGCTAATTGATGCGTCCTATTTTGTGGGTTTGCTATCAAAGGTGTGATCGCAAAACAATTTCGTTTCGAACGGCTGATATAGATCATTCATACCTTGAGAGAATGCAGACTTGTTCTCCTTACTTCGAATTCGTGTTTTATGATGCCAGCGTTATTAAAGTTTTAGACTTTTAGGTTAGAGGTAAGTGGTAATGTAATCCCATGCTAGTGTCATATTCACTCCTAATATGAAAGTGCTTGTTCATGCTGCAGGATAACGTCTTTGTGCAGTTGCTTTGCTCTATTCAGTACAGGGTTGTCAAAGAAAATGCTGATGATGCATTCTATGAGTTGCAAAACCCCAAGGAACAGATCCAGGCATATGTTTTTGATGGTAGGTTTAATTGTATTCAGGAAGTGTTGAGATGTCTTTTGCTCAATCATGACTATTCACTTTTCTTACAATTGGACTTTCCTCTCCCAAATTCCAACAGTCTATGTGGTTTGCTGTTTTAGTGGTTCGTGCTATTGTTCCAAGAATGAATTTGGATGAACTCTTTGAACAAAAAGGTGAAGTTGCCAAAGCTGTGTTGGAGGAACTTGAAAAGGTACAGCTTTTATTAAATAATTCTTCCATTTTGTGATGTAAATTTCTTAGAGATGGTCTTGGCATCAGAATCCCTCATTTTTGGATTCATTCTCTGTTTCTTGATGTCAATAAGTGAGAAAATTTTTATATCGTGTGGTTATGCTACGGGCAGGAATAACATGTTGTGTATGTATAGTGATAACTTGTGAATTTAGTCAAGTTAATTCCTTATACCTAATCTTGTTGGTAACTTACTGCTTTGTAAAATCTCTTTGAATTCACATATCAGGTGATGGGAGCATACGGGTATAACATAGAACACATACTGATGGTTGATATTATTCCTGATACCTCTGTACGCATTGCAATGAATGAGATCAATGCAGGTAACTATAATTTATGTTTGCTATGACTTCAATGATTTTGCATATTGTCACAAACTCATTAAGTACTAGCATACTACTTCCGTCCATATATATACCATAGATTTTATAAATGCATGTTTCTCATCCTATCCCACCTCCTTTTCTGAAATTCTGAGGGCATCTGTTTCTAACATTTGAACGTTTTGGAAAGATGAAGTAGACTGGCAACGGGCAATCTGCTTTGAAAGATGTGTTGATATTTGTGCCAATACATTGAACCAATAATAAGTTAGTGACGAGAGACATTATGAACCGTCTATTTTAATAATTTCCAATTTCATTGCTTTTCCATTTTTTTTTTGGTCATAAATCCGGTTAGGGGCTTCTTGGCTGTAGTTATACGGGATTTTATGGGTATTTTGGTGGAAGTTTGGTGTTTGGCACACTTATTTTCAAGATGCAGATCAATCATATATTAGTTTTGCTTTCCACCTTGTGCTTGAAGTTTTAGCTGATAATCGTCGGAACACTAAATGCTTCTTTCCTTGACTTTTGTCTCAACCAATCAATTAGTTTTAGAACTCTTGATATTATCTGTCTGATGAGCCACTGAACTAATTGGTGGTACGGACCTGGCTTTTTTAAGATTCTGTTTATTATCTTTATTATCTAACTTGTGCAAATTTCAGAATTGGTTATCAGTAGTCACCATGTTATCCCGTCTTACGTGTGACCATGTAAACCCATTTATTGAGGATTATTTTCTTTTTTGCTATACAGCTCAAAGAATGCAGCTTGCTAGTGTTTACAGAGGAGAAGCTGAAAAGGTGCTTATGGTTAAAAAGGCAGAAGCCGAAGCTGAAGCTAAGTTCTTGGGTGGAGTTGGCGTGGCCAGGCAGAGGCAAGCTATCACAGATGGGTTGAGAGAGAACATCTTGAATTTCTCTCACAAGGTGGAAGGCACATCTGCTAAGGAGGTTATGGATCTCATCATGATTACTCAGTACTTTGACACAATTAAAGACCTGGGAAACTCATCAAAGAATACCACAGTTTTTATTCCCCATGGACCAGGCCATGTCAGGGATATTGGTGAGCAGATACGCAATGGGCTGATGGAAGCTGCCAGTGCTCAAGTAAATATTGAATGATTTTGGTCATGTAAAAATTACTTCTCTTTCAAGATTACCCTTTTCTGTTTATGGCATGATATGTTTATACTGTTGGATTTGCTGGACAAGTTTTGAATAATAGGACGTTTTAGGATGGTAAGCAGACTGCAGTGCCAGCATACAGTTATTTCGTCTTGCAAATAAACAAGTCGAAAGATGATATCAAAATTTGTTTTACATGTGATGTAGAATGTGTAAATGTTGGGTGATATTATATACGAATAAGCTTGAGTTTTTTGTGCTATACATTGTATGATATAATAATTGTAGCATTTGAATGCATTGGCTAGTACATCCAGTTTGTAATTGGAACCAGACCTAGGCTCTATTAGTTAATTCAAGGCACTGCTCGAACATGATTTTAATGTGTTAAATAGATAGGAAACGTAATCCTAATTTGTTTTCCAGTTGTACTTTTAAGGTGAGGAATCAATCCTTTGGCTTCTCCTGCGTTTCATTTATCCCAATCAACCAGTTCATCCTATGTTTATGCTTTGAATTTCAAGGAGTAAAAGATGCATACGAGACTTACAAAATGCAAAATGTTCTGGAAGATTCCATATTTTTGTAGTTCAGAATGAAGCAACCAATGGTCTTTTTTTAAAAAAAAAAAATTCTTTTGTAAGAAGGAAAACATTGAATATAACATTAAAAAAACGTTAGATTGCAATGAAGACAAAATATTTCAACAGCCATCGCAGATATAACATTAAAAAAACGTTAGATTGCAATGAAGACAAAATATTTCAGCAGCCATCGCAGGTTCAGTATTGCATTTGACCAGGTAAATCATCAGGGGGGAAAAAACCTCTCTCAAAAAGCAATATGCTAATAAAATGTACACTATAAAGCAGCCAACACTAATCTCTGTCTGCACGCGAATTTGAGTCTTCCTGTAAAATGAGGGATGTGCAGACACTTTTGGAACATAAGAAGCAACTGATCCAACCTTCTCTATTTTGCAGGACACATAATAACTGAGAGCCAGCTTTTAGTTGCTTCTGTGAGCTACAGTATTCTGTTTAAAAGGTTGTGATTTAAGCGTCACCCAATTGGAAAATTGTTTCGCTTTTATGTTTACCTGAAAACAGCTACATCCTATGAGGAGTTATGTCTGTAGCATCTATATCAGAAACACCTAGTAAGCTGCGAAGATGAATGGGAGATGGTTGTCCACGGCCCATTTTTTCATGGGAAGTAATCTTATATGCAAGAGTGAAAACTGGTATTGTGCCAATGGTAGCCATTTCCCCCTCTCACTAGGCTTATTGCTAGCGTAAGGAAGTTTTCAGACAGCAATTCAAAACTTCAATCTGACCATCTCATTGAGAATGATAAGCTAAAGTTGAATGTTTTTTAATTCCCATATTAGCCAAAAACTCCTTTAGGAAATTGCTAACAAATTGTAGGATCTTTATTGACTATGCCTCCAGGTGCCTCATGAAACTTATACACAAGGGTAATAGATGCTGACAGTAAAATAGCGAGATAGGACAATGAAGTGGCCATGCTAAAGCATTGTACCTACTGCTACGATCAGATAGAATCCTTTGTCATGAATTTTAGATAAACTCAATGAAATTCGTTTGCTATAGCATACCATGCTCTCTTGAGGATGGTTGATTACTCTTTTGCCTTTCTTCTTTAATATTTGTCCATCTCTTGGAAAAAAAAAAAAATACACATGAGAAAGAGAATTGTTGATCAGATTAGAAATTGAATCTTGCAGAGGAGAATCTTGCTTAATTTTTTCCATAAGTCACTAGGAATAGCGGAGAGTTTCATCTGTCATATGCCTGAGCAAAGTGTGATCAATGCTATAGAACGAGCAGCGTCATCTGTATAAACATGGAACCAGTAAAAAGTAGCCCAGTAAAAGAGAAATGGGCTACTCAGATGGCCCATATAGCGAGATCTAGAAAAGTTCGAATTCTGAAACGAGACTCATTATACTGGGCCATGAAACAACAACGTAATGTGTTTAGATTGCAGCATGCAGACATTTCTTTGGAGGTTACAGCAAAGAATAGATTTAGCCCTATGTTTAGGCATGGAATTAAAATGAAACAAAAAATATATGAGACATGATTCTTGTGCTTAAAATAATCATAAAAAATAGGCGAGGTTCAGTTACTGATAGCAAAAGGATAATAAATATTGCATTAGGAATGACTTCATATTTGATTATCTATACTTTCTTTAATTCAATCAAACATAAATTAAGAGTAAGAAAAAGATTGAAAAGAGAAAGAAGAATACTATAAAGCTAGTTAGGTAAGGATCATACCATATACAATAAACCACTATTAGGTAAGGTAAGGTAAAATGGAGACTTCATGGGTGTAATAGTCTACTGTCTAGTCTCTTGAGTGTTGAGTTCTAACTAATACGACAAAAAATCATAATGAAAGTAATTAACAAGGGGTTTTCCCAAAATCCGTGAATTATCTTCTCATATTCTTAATCAACATGTGAATTATCCTTGAGCTTAATATTGAGGATTCATCTCAAATCTGTTTAATTTTTTTTTAAAGGAGAAAAATTAGGGGAAAGTTGAACATTATTATGGGATGAGATATGATTAAGTAGTGGATGCATTGCTTTGGAGAAAGAAAGGAAAAGGGAATAAAATTAAAAAGCATTCAAGTAAGAATGATGATGATGATAGAGTGAGGGTGGTCACTTTCCCAAAGTGTATAGTAATCCAAATGAGTACTCAAAATCTTGCTGATTGGTGACATTATATCTGTCACTATACTTAATTTGTTACCCCCTCCCCTTCTCTTCCTTTTCTTTTTCTACCAAATTACATGCCATATTCTCCTAACTCTTTTTCCATTGTCTAATGCCAGGACCCAATTCTTTCTTTAATTCTTTTGAGGATCCACCTTTTTTAATGACTATATTTTTTTTATTGGTTGTAGAATATATTTGTATGTGGAAAAAAATTTAAGATGATAATTTATTTTAAAGTAAAAATATGAAAATTAATTTTTTTTGAAATAATCATTAAAAAAAAGAAGAAAAAGGTTATAGTGTGACCTAAAATCTCTTAAATTGGGAGGGGAAAATTCTCAAACAGAACAAAAATTATAGAATTTTTTAGGTCCCTTCATTTTTCCTCTAAGAGTTAAAGTGAGATGAAGATGTGTATATAATTGAAAAGTGGGGACAGTTATGAGCAGGAGAGCCAATTAAGGGCAAGATTGGTGGATGGTGGGAGAAGTAGAGAGACAGAATGAGAAAAGGAAAGAAATGTTAAGCGCAGAGCGAGAGAGAGAGATGTTTGTTTGTTTTTGCTTTGGCATAGTTTGTTTGTAGGGTCAGACACTATATAAGTGGAAACTGCAAAGTAGTAACACCATGTGATAGATAATAGTACAATAATACATTATTATTAATATGGCTTGTAATCTAAGCAACCATATACCAATTCCAATTATTTATTTATCTATTTTGAACTTGATAACCTATTACTTAATTAATTAATTAGCTCTTTATGTCTAGCTCAATAACAAACAAAACATGCTTATCCAATTCTACTATTAACTCTAGCTCTAGCCATGAAACCTTACAAAGAAAATGGGACAAGAATCCATTATTACAATTAGAAAATCTTATTTAACTTGCCATTGTTACTGAGACTATGCATTTCAATTTCAATTTAGTTAATAAATAAATTGAGAAGATGTTATTGAGAGGAAAGATAGTAAAAAAAGTGAGGTAACAAACGGCGGGAGGATCTTTTCTCATACAAGGAAAAAATGAAGAAAAGAGAGAAAGAGAGAGGAAAGTGAAGGGATTTTTTTTAAAAAAAAAAGTTACTTTATTATCGACTCGGTTAAAATTATTCAAATTCAAATAATTTTTAAGTAAGAATCCCGTAAAGTTTAAAGGTCTATTTTGTTCATAAATTTAGAGAAAAATACATTAAACTAAAAAAAAAAAAGAGCGGAGAGAAGACACATTGAGTATTGACTCTTCTATCCTCTGCCTTTTCTCTTTCAATAAATAGTATTAAATATAAATTATAATAAAAATTAGGTTCATGTGAAAATTAATTTTATAATATATGGTATGAAAATCGATAATAAACATTAGTTGATTGATGTGACAAAAAAAAAATCGAACAAACCATTGGTTTTGAAATTGGCAACTCACTGACCACATTATGGTACATGAGAGGAATTATTATTAGAATGTCATAATTGTAATCATAACACCTTAAGATTTTTCAACTCCAAATATCAAAGTTTCAAGCTTTTGTGGTTAGTTAGCTTATTGACGTGAAAAAGATGAAGTATGGGGTAGTGGAATAATTAATCTGTTTGTACAATTACAACCAAAATATTCCCTTTAACATTAAAGTTCACACAGTTAGATTTGAAAATTAAATTATTATTTTACTTCAAATAAATACCAAAGCATCTATAGAAGAAAAGGCACAAAAGTGATTCACAAAGACAGAATTTTTACACATTTTTTAAAGTCTATAGATTTTTGATTTTAGGGATTGATAATTCCTAATGTCACCAGTTGGTTCTAGTAAGGAAATTTTACGTGACATAAAGGTTAGAGAAGAGCAAGAACTTTTTTCTTATCAACGTCATTAGTATTCAATTTTTTTATTAGATGTTTAATTATAATTATTTTATGATTAATTCTATTGACCTTATCACCATGTGCGCTGGAATCCCCTTTTTCAATATCATCAAATTATTCAAAATGCCAAACCGGCAAATCCTAACTCTTCATGATTTTCAACAAAGCCAGCCCTCTTAAATCATAAATGGGCAACACTATTTTTAATAACTATTTATTAGGTTAAATACAAACATTGTTGGATCCAATTGAGAGTAATTTTTTTAAAATATTTTTTATATCAACATAGATTCAAACCCAAAATTTTCTTCCCCATTTTTTCTTTCAAAATATTCAGTTCTTTAAATGACCTACATTAACACCATCTCTAATTTTATTTAAAGAAGAAATACACTAATCTCTATTATTTGAGGTTTTTTAATATTCATATACTATTTTAATATTTTATGTGTTATTAAATTAACCTGTTGGAATTTGATAAAAGATCAAAATAATATTGAACTAAAAATTAAATCTAAGTATAAAAAAAAAACTTTGAATATAATTTACACTAAATGATGTTCAATTATAATTACAAGAGAATTGTGCAAGCGGGAAGAAAAAGGAAAAGACAATAAAGATTAATCATGTGGGAACATTGAAGGTGGGAAGATTCTTGCAAAAAAGATGTATTGTCCTGTGCCAATCATCACAACCTCCATCTTCCTTATAAGAAGGAACCGTGTACAATGAAACTAAAATTATGCCATACAATACAAGCAAAGAATAAAACCTTTACATCAAAATAACAATTAATATTAATAAATAAATAGAGGGTGTTTTTTTTTTTTTTCTCCTTTTGGTTGGTAAGCAGTCAGAATTGCTTGGCCTTGCCGACATGATGGACTGTCGCTACACCAAATTAAGTAGAAAGATAAACCAGAAATGAAATCAGCAATACAGCATTCTACTCTACCACTAATTACTTCAGTCCCCACATCTTTTCCTTTTACCTCCTTGTTTGACTTTGAGAAACCCTCTCATTATTTCTGGCCTTTGAGGTCGGTGGATAAACTCAGATCCATGTTATGAGATCATGGATATAGTTGGAATCCGCATTCTTGGCAGTAAATAAATTACTGCGTACAATACTGTAAAAAAAGAGAGATAAAAGTAGATTTCATATCAGCGCTGCAACCAGATTAATCAGAGCACCTGCAGCAGAAGGACATATTGGTTAATGATTTAATCAATAGTGAACTATATTTCTCATTCAAAGATTCTTTTCTGTTTTTTTTTTTTCAGGGGAAAAAAAACTAAGAGTACTCTGAAGGGAAGAGACTGACTTCGTACCACATGCAAGAGAAATTTAAAAGCCAATTTCTGTATCTCATGGATTTAAATGTTGCACCTGCTCATGACAAAAGCCATGCATGCACAGATGAAGTGGCAGAAGTAACATCAACCCTAGTGGGGAAGAGGAAAATGCTTGCCTTAAGTGGATATGGAAAAATTCTCAGGTAAATTTGATTTAATTATATCTATATAGTAGGACCCACTTATCATGTGTTTACGTGTTCATCTGTAATTGGTTTGATTCACTTGAGAATTTTCCATAGCATATATCCCATGTCAGTATACACTCCTACCAATTCCTCTAATTTTTGAACCAAAAAATGGTGTCATAGGCATATGACAGTGACAGGAAGATTGAAAAATAGTATGAGATGTAATCAAAACCAGAAGTCTTTGAACTACCAAGTTGCCGTTCATGGTAAAATGAAATCGCCTGAAATTGCATGCAAAAACAGCTAAATAATGTTGCAGTACACCATTCATCCATATCATGTAGCTCCTCATGCCGACAGGCCTCCTTGCTTCCACCTTTTTCTTGGCCTCAATCTTGCTTCCACTTTCCCAGAGACTTTTCAGCAATCATGGCGAGCCTAGAGGTTAATTCTGCAAACCACCAAATTTCAGATAAACAGTTTGCACATGGTCCCATGATTAACTCGTAAATTATCACAAAGAAAAACTACTGTTTGAAAAGTTACCAAAGGTTGTGGGACAATTAGCTGAGCAGAAACAACAAACACAGAAAGAGAGAGTGGATAGATGTGAAGGAAAGCCACTTATACCTCACTTTTCTTTGACCATGACATATTAAAGCAATGACTTAGACAACCACTCTCTCCATGTGGGCCTAACCAAATTTGCAGAAAAAAACACACCCAGTGATATGCTTGCCAGGCATTTTTTTTTTTTTTTTTACGAGTGTCTTTTTTGGCCACAAAGATTCTTTCTTGTGCTCTTCCGAGGTTGACCCAGGTCAGGTGTCATGACCAATTTTCAAATTTATGTTTGATGTCCACCCTGCTGGTTCAAGCATCTCCAACTCTGCAACAAAAACAGTATCAAATTCAAAATTTGGGAGCCAATGCTACTTTTGTGAAACTTCGCAGCTTCCTTCCACAGGAAAACAAACAGCATCTAGTGGCAAGTGTACCCCATGATCTCTGGGATAGGGTTCCATCATTGAGTTAGAATCTTAGTTATTGAGTTTCTTGATATTCACTCCTCTTCGCACATATGGGTATCTCTATGTGAGTTATTCAAAATTGAAACGCCAAAATCATGTGATCTTTAGTTAGGGTCAAGCATCATGAGGACCACTCCTAAAGATGTCTGCAGCTATGTGTCTCTATTTAGAACGAAAGAAAGAAACCAGAAGAAAAGGGGTTGCGAGAATGTCAATCTGTTAAAACACAGAAAGAGACTTTGCAAGAGGAAATGCAATCACGAGCATTAACGGCCCTCTCGGGAAGAAAGAGACTAGGAGAGAGAGCAATCACATGCACGTTCCACTTTGGAAGTTTGAGTTTGCTTGAAAGTGGACTTATGTCAAGCTAGTGACTCACTGGTTTGCACAGTATTTTTTAATACATGTTGACTTGTGGCAATTTTCAAAAACTTTATGACGAGCAGACACAACTGATGAATTGAATGTGAAATTCTTCATCCAATCATAAGTATTCAAGAATTCACTCAGTTCTTGTTACTAGAGAAAAATAGGAATAATTACTAGTATATGCGCTTCTTGACAAGCACAAACCCCTTGCTAAAGAGTCTGAGTATCTTGAATTTCGATATCGAGCAGTTTGCTCAGCAGTGAAGCCTTTTGCTCTTTGGTCCAACTCAGCAAGTGTTTGGTGTTACGGCAATGATAGTCACATAGTGAGATAGTTTGATTTACACAATTTAGCATCACAGGCTGAGTCTTGAGAATATATTATTAATGGTACATTAAGTCATGAACCAACTCAACTGGATATTTCAACAAAAAGCCATTCACTATTTTAACTTCATTTTATCTGAAGGGATCATGTTAAATCCCAACCCCCTTGAAAAAAATTAATTAAAGGATGATATCTCTACAACTTAGTTATTGCCTTTTTATAAATAAAATAAAATTGCTCCAACAATCAGGTTTTAATGTCTAGATATCTTGCTTTCATACATGATACCAAGTTTCCAACATCACTCTCAATGGCAAAAAAATACAGGAATGACAGTTAGTTAACAACCAATCCTATATTATCCATTGTAGACCAATTTGACCAATTTTTTATATTCATTCCACAAATCGCTATTAGAACTCGTGTGATATTCTTCTTTTGCAAGGGTTCATTCTTTTCGAACCATAACCCAAAGTAATGGCTGAAAGAAAGATTGGATTCATCAAAACTCAGGGTGATGCCTCAGTCATCAACATGCTTTAGAGATCCCTTCCTTTATCCTTCAGTTTCATTTCAATCACAAGTCACAAAAAATTTTCCACCACAAAATAATGGATAAAAAGAAGAGTTCTGGAAAGAATATGAAAAATTCTAGAATTACAGAATTCTATGGGAGTTCAAAAGAAAAGAATATTACACTAAGGGTGCATCAGCAAAGACCTCAGCCAGCATGCCATCCTCACTGCCTGTCATGGCAAACAGTTCTGCATCCTTTTCTTCCTCATTCAAAATGTCTCGCCTCTCAAGCTTGGCATGACCGGCAATGTATATCATTTTCTGAGCTCTTTCCAATGCAATTCTTGAGTGCTTATTCCCAGCAATTTTTCTCATGAAAGACCAATTGCTCTTCAATCCGCACGAGGTTGCATGGAGAAAAATAAGCCTTACTGCAATCTTCCCCAGGGATTTAAACTCACTTAAGCAAGTTTCCCAAACAAGTCTACTACTCAGTGGGTTTGCAACTTTCATCTTCCCAGTCACTGGATCCTTTTGTTTCATTTGAACAGCCTGAGCATAAAGTGGGTCCAGCCCTTCTGACCTCCACTTCATGAGCTCCATTAACACAATATGAGCTTCTTCTTTAGAAGCTAGCCTTGTCAATAGCTTGTCTACATCTTTCTCTTGTTCACGTGTCAAGCATCTGAACGGAGGAAGGTACTTTCCACTTGTGTCTTTAATCAAGTAGAGTGGGTCGAGAATAAATGCAGCTGACCATGCAGGGTGGTAATTTTTTCTGAACCTTTTTTCAAGTATTTTCTCCACAGGTCCTTCCACTATGCTATATTTTGCACACCACTCCTTCACTTTGGCTCTCAGCTCCTCCCAAAGAGGAAGGCATCGACCAATCAGTGGTCTCTCAGCCTCCATGTCACGAACCATTGCTTTGATAAGTTTTACAAGTGAATAAACTGCCTCCAATTCATTCCAAAACCTGTCACTTTGAGTCAATTCAGCAACTTCCCTTGCTAGTGGATCCTCCATGCATGTTACCTTAAACGAGTCCTCCAACATAACCATTTGGATCACTCTAGCACAGCTCAAGAAGTCCTCCAACATTGGAAAGACAGATGCGAAGTTCTTAAGAGGATCACATTTAAGTGAAGGAACACGAAGCAACCCAGAACACTCAAGCTCCTGCATGCGCAATTTGAGAAAACTATTCCTGACATGGGATTCATTGTTTATAAAATTTGCAACCTTTAAGCAATTTTCAGTGACAACCCTGAAAAGTGGGAGGTCGTTGTTAAAGTCCTTGATTAAACTAATGAAGCCCTGAAGCTGACAAGGGATATTTACCATCCAATGATTTTGAATCTCCAAGTTCCTTAATGCTTTGGCCTTATATTTATCTGCTACAATTCCTGCACATCTCTGCACAGAACTCCCACTAATACTCGTGACTGTTTCCCACAAAATCTCCTCTGCATATTTGGGAGACACAACTCCGCCGGTGAAGACTGCCTTTTGGAACACACTAGCCCCATTCGGAAGATTCACAGTAAACTTCACCAAATTCTCTCCTCCACAACACAAGCTATACCAATTATTGTTCTTCCAACCTTCGCTAGCCACTTGGAAAAACATTGCATCTCGTATTTTGGCTTCTGACTCAGTCTCGGCCTCATTGAACTTGGCATCAAGTCGAGGACCCGATATCTCACGACGCAAATTCGTTGGCAAACCCACTTGGCTGAGAAAGGCTTGAAACTTTGGGTGCTCAAGGGTCGATAAAGACACATACCCGCATGACTCGTAAAACCAATCAGCGAGCAAATCTATAGCAGAGTTAATCTGTTCCCTGCTCAAAGCAGGACAAGGAGAGGTCTTGGGACTCTTGAGCCTCTTCACGCTGTCTTCAAACATAGCCAATGCACATAAATCTTCCTTCCCACCAGACAAAATCAAATGTTGTTGATTTGTCCCCATGTTAAGTTGGGTTGGTGAGTATCCCAGTTCACTACAAAATCGAGAGGACTCAACCAATGCTAAGGAATGATTTTGATAAGGAGAAGTGACACCCATATGAGGAGAGCTTCTCTTCTTGTTGTGATTGTTTGAATTAGGCAAAGCCACAGAAGATATTGGCATAGGCGAAATTGAAGAATTGGGTCTCAAGCCAGAGCTGAAGTTGGGGCATGTTCCCCTCTTCAAGTGCTCCGAAGCAGTTCTCGACGGGTTTGACGCAGAGAAAACGGAGTCACACAAGGAACATTTGAGCTTCACGGATTTGGGAAGGCCAGAATCAGAGTTTCGAATCAGAATAGGCTCCAAATGCGCCCAGTACCAAGCTCCTTTTCCCTTCAAGGCTTTTGTCCGCACAGTGACTAAGCCTTCGTAGCGCTTGTTCACAGTCTTGACGGCGATGTCCTCGACTGCAGCGGAAGGAAGAAGCGGGTCAGTGGATGTTGAGTTCGTGGAAGTCATTGCACAAACGGAGTTCAAATGAGTGTTGAGATTGGGCTTCTCTGGTTCCCTGAGATTCAAGGTGAGAACCGGGCTCTCATATGAAGTTGAGCTATTGGTAAGTGCACCAAGTTGACAGCGGGTTTCGTTTTGGGGCATTTAGCCATAAAGGGTCACACACCGACGTGACGGAGCTAGTGGGTTTCGCCGGCGAAACAAGTAAGAGAAGGTTGGAATTGTGAAGTGTGGATGGTGCAAGAGGAGGAAAGCGTACGAGTACAAGGTGGTGATTGAAGTAATATGTTGCCGAGAGGGATGTAGTGTATATTGAGGAGGTGGGGGGGGGGGGGAGAAGTGAGCGAGAGTTAGAAGAAGAAGAAGAAGAAGAAGAGAGTATGAGGATGGGACATGGGGAAGATAGAGAGAAGAAGGAACAGAAGGAGGATGGAAGAGTGGCGTTTGTTCAGAGGTAGGGGACGCATAACATAACGAGTCAACGAAATTTGTATTTCTCAACCAAGAAAAGGTGAACTTTATCTTATTTTATTCTTTTTTCAAGTTTCTCGTGGTGAGTAGGTAAAAATAAAACAAAACTTATCAGGAAAATATTCTATAAAAAAACTAAAGACAAATTACGTTTGAAGATTTTAACTTCACTTCTTGTGTGATCTCGTTCGAGATGGTTGAGGTAATTGAATTAAAGGTTTTATTAAATTTTTTGATTATCATCAGAGCAAGTACAGTAGTTGAATTTATTGGATAAAAAAATTGAACAGAATTAATGTTTACTCTAATTTTATTAAAATAATTATGCTAATATGCAATAATTATTTTAATAATCATCTTCTTATTGTAATTATTAACAAAATCAAAGATCTTTTGATACATGATTGGTCAATTATTTTTTATCATGTTTTCAAAAAAATTAATAAATATATAGATTGGATAATTTATTAAATCTTGCTTGACAACTTAAATGTTTAAATTTTTGATAGTTCGTCTTTTGGTTAAAAAAATTTTTTGTATATTGATATAACTTAGTCTCTATCTACATGATTTTTTTTCATGGCTTTTGTGAAAAAAAAAAAAAAGATTTTAACTTGAGAAACTTTTGAAACAACATCTACAACCCTTCTGGATAGTCAAAACCCGAGTACGTCGAGGATTAGTTATTCTGGCGATAGCATCATTTTTTCCCCCTTTTTGTAAGAGTTTTTAAATTTACATCCAACTTTGATGTATTTGTGTGGGTGGGTGGGAGAGTATCTCTCTTTTCTATGAAAAAAAAGAATGTATTGGAGATAAAAGTAAAAAATAAAAAATAAAACAGATAAATAGACATAGTGGTAATATATATATATATATATATATAAAAAAATTATATTACGAGAATTTAAAATTCAATTTTCAAGAAATTCAAGGACGTATAAATGTGAAGTAAAATTTAAAATTTAAGGAATTTTTTGTTTACAAGATATGTATTTGAAAATAAAATATAAAAGATAATGTGGACTTCTTAAAAAAAAATAGCCTTAGTCGTTAATTTCATAATATTTTATAAATGACAGAGTTTTAATATGGCAATGAATTAATCAATCAGGCATAATATATTTTCAAAAATTGCACATTCACTCAAAAAGATAAAAAAAAAAATTATACTCAGATGTGGATGTTCAAACTATAAAATATTTTTAATGTTTTAAATTTAATTAATATGTTTTTTTTCTAAAAGTGTTCTTAATAAATAAATTATTTTATATTTATTTTACAATAACAAATCTTATTAAATAAAGATAAATATAAAATTTGTGTTGATTTAAATATATTTAATTAATTATTTATGAATAAGATTTGATTAAAAGTATTTTATATTTTTTTAAAAAAGGAGTAATTATTTATAATTGAGAAGTTAAATATGCTGCCCAAAACTCTATTTTGACATTTAGCAACACTTATGCCTATGTATTAGGCTTGACATAAAATCACTAATCAATGTTGAAATAATGGATTAGGCTTGATCAAAATAATCTAAGTGTTGTTCGTAATCAAGTTTTGAATTTTGATAATATAAAAAAAATTTCCGTGCATAATATTTATATATCTACATGACATATAATGTTTCTATTCATAGATAATACGACTTATTTTAAATTTCATTCATGTAAATACAAGGTTACAAGGCTGTAATATTTAATATCTTTTAAAAAAATTTCTTTCATCAAATTTTCCATCTGAAATTCTATTAAAGGTATCCACCATTAGCAAACACCATTTCATGAAAACATTCCCAAAAAAGAATTTTGACTTTTGAGAACCTCATACATTTAATTCATTATAGTAATTTTTTCCGGTTAATTTTTAATGAAGCCCTTTAGACAGTCATCTTATAAGTTCCGCATCAGTGATGGATCCAGGATTATTTTATGAGGGGCCAAAATTTCTTCTATTTATGGGGTCAATATTTAATTATAATTTTTTTTGGCAACCAACTTTTAAAAAATGGCTTCAAAAATTTAGAAGAAGATAATCATGTGCTGGTCTCTTAAATCTGTCACCGTTCCTTATCAAATTAATCCATGAAGCTCTGTTTGAGAAAAAAATTCAAAAAAAAAAAAAATCCTTCTATATATAAATGAATTTGACCAGATTTAAGAGAATACTATTTGTATTTATGAATTAATTTGATTTTTCTACTCATCTTCTATGATCTTTTGTGAAACATTCTTCTATCATGCCATACATCCACATAAAGATCAAATTTTCCATTCAATGTAGATTTGATTCAAAGATCAAATAGAATGGGGAAAAAAAAATTCATTCCACATTAGGGTTTCAATAAATTCAAATAGAAGCAAAATGTTTTCTTGCTATCACTAAAAAATAAGAGTGTTTAAAGTCAATCTAAATTAATCACACCAAACCGATATAAACTGATTAAAATTGATTATAAATAAAGTTTTTTTTTTTTTTGACAAAACTGATTGGTTCGATTTGGTTCAAGTTTTTTCTTTTAAAAACTTGAACCGAACCAAACCAAATCTTATTATATTTATCATATATTTTTATAAATTCATCAAAGTTTTTTTTCTTAAAAAATTTGAACCAAACCAAATCAAATCTTATTATAATTATTATATATTTTTATAAATTCATCAAATTTTTTTCCCCTTATTAAGTTTAGTTATTTGTAAATAATTAGTAAAAATAAATTACAATTAGTTAAATATTATTTATAATAATGTAATTTTTAAATTTTATAATCAAATGTTTTAGAGATAATACATTAATTTTTAATAGTTGAATATGCTAATTAGTTGTTAAAAAAATATTTTTTGTGCTCAAGAGATTTTTTCATTACAAATAATAATTAAAAATTAAAAATTATCAGTGAACATAAATATATATTGATGATCATAAAAAATATCTCATTAAAAAGATTCAAACTTGATAAAAATCTAAACTAAATTGATTAAAAGAAAATATTAAACAAATTCTAGACTATAATGAATCAATTGATTCATTTTAATTTAATTTTAAAAAAATTAAATTAAATTAAACTTGTGAACACTTTTAGTCAAAAACAAAATATTTATTTTATTTTATATTGAAAGATCCATGCAAAAGGTTTTTTTTTTTAAAAAAAAAGAAGGGACAAAAAGTCAAAGCTATTTGTAGCATGTGTTGTGGTTGTTAAGCATATGGGGTGTAATGTCTTATTCACCTTTAAACCAAAAATCAAAAATAAAATAAAGAGGCATTCTTTTTTGTGAACTTTGGGAGCCATGAACGCCCAAATTATGCAGTGATGTACTCAGTAGCAAACTCTATAATTGGGTGCTTTTTGCAATTTCCTTTTTTTTTAAATGAATATCTTTATGTTGAGTATTTTACCATTTTTTTTTAGGAAAAGAATATAATTTATTTGAGTAGAGCTTAAGACAATCAACTGATTCTGCAGTTATCACAAAATGATAAGTAATTTTTTATTTTTAAATTCAGACCCTTTTTTTTTATATGAATTATGATAATCGTCAGATTCCTTGCATGGATGATCAGAAAAGTCCACCTTCCAATTTAAGAAGTTTAGGATTAAACTTAAAGCTTCAAGAGATAAATATTAAAATATCTTAAAGATTTCCTGTATGCCAGGAACACCTTATTTGAATTGCTTAAATCAGATAACCAAAACTTGTTTAAATCAAATGTAAACGACAAAGATTTTTTAAATTTAAAATTATTAAAAAAAACGTTAGAATAAAAAAAATAGTTCAAACCCCTAAAAACAAAAAAACACTTTACTCTGTTAACCTCACATGGTACTTTATAATATTTTTTTTTTCTAACTTTAACTCTGTAGACAGTTGATTCCAATAATAAAAAATGCCAACATTAAACTTTTAAACATAGAGACATTGATACATTAAGTTTAATTATTTAAAATAATAATAATTGATATAAAAAATTATTGTTTGAGAGTTGAGACTAGGAGTGAAAATAGGCTAGACTGAACTAAGTTTTGATAAAATAAGCCTAAGTCTGTATGATAAATTAAAAGTCTAAATTCGACTTGAAACTCACATAAGAATTTTTTCACGGCTCAAGCCTGAACTTACTTAAAGTTCAGCTTGGCTTGAAAGGTTACGTAAAAATAAGTCTTTTAAATTGGGTTTGTATTTTAATTTTAAATGTTTTAAATATAGTTTAAGACTTTTATAGTATATAATATATAATTTGATTTATCGATTACAATATATAATAATTAAAAAGATTTATCAATTACAATACAATATAATAATAAAGTAATAATATTAAAATTAATATACAAATTCAATATGATTGAAAACATAACTAAAAATAAAAAGGAATAGACTGATTAAAAATCAAATTATGAAATTGATGTGTTTATGATATATTACCTAATACATACATACATACATACATACATACATACATACATACATAATGTGTGCGCGCGCGCGAGATCTATCAACCTTGCTAGTTATGCCTTGAAAAAAATAAATTTAAACTTTTTAATTAAATAGATCTAATTAAATATTTGAACTTGGTCTAAACTCATTTAGTAAATAGGTTAGGTTGAGTTTGAAGTAAGTTAAAATATAGCCCCCTGTTGGGGGCCTAACTTATTCTCACCCTTAGTTCAAATTAGAGCTAGGAATTTAAGCAGGTTGAGTCGAGCTCGAATAAGCCTGACCCGAATACGAAAGCACCCGAACAAGCTTGACTCTTTGAAAAGCTCAAATAACCAAGCTTGACTTGAATTCCTTCGAACTTCAAGCGGCCCGAATATTTGAATTTTATTTTTAAAATATTTTTTACTTTAAAATTAATTATTTTATTTTATAAAAAATATAAAAATATTTTTTTATCCTTAAATGATGTGTATGACTTAAAACTTAAATAATTAATTGATATTTAATATATTTTATATATTTTTTAAAAAATAATTTTTTATTTGAGTTTTTGGCTGGTCTAAATATGCCCGAATATAAGAAAGTATGTTTTTTCTTAAGCTTGACCTTAAATTTTTTTGGACGAATTCAGGCTAGACCGAAATTATTAGCTTTAGTTGAGACTAATAGTATTAGAGTTTTTTTTTTTCATTGAAAAGATGCTTTTATAAAATGAAAAGATCAAATTAAAATTTTATGTTTTGCTAGAAGACTAAATGTACATTTTTTTTAAATTGTAAATTATCATTTTTCATGTAACCCCATTTTTTATGGTCAAATTATCCCCTAGAAATAAATCAATTTTATTAGTTTCTAGATAATTTCTTAACCTAGATAAATTTTTTTTTGAAACTTGTACCTAATTATGCATCGATTTATCCATGTGATGGTGTGAAAAATAATGGTGTACACATTAAACTTTTTATGTAACGTTTGTAATATGGAGCTATCATGAATTATCATTATCATTCATGATTGTATAATTCATATTCTCACATGTGCCTTTAATTACTAATTATTAAAATATAAATATATATACCTCTGCATGATTAGTTATGAGTAAGTGAGGTACATCTGAATTCAAATTTCAAACCCTCCATCGATTTCTGTCTCTCTCTCTTCCTTTTTTTTTAAAAAAAAAAAAAATTTGGTCCGAAGATGCGGCTTTCCTAATATTGTAATAATTAAAGTTTCTTTAGTTCTACGATAGCCTCACTTCCTTATTAAGCACACAATGAAATAAAACCATTTATTCTATCAATGAAGCCTTAAAATTAAATAATACAATTTCCACTCTTTAACCATATTACTTTTTTTTTTTTAAATATCCTCTTACATTTCAATCTTTTGTCTATGAATAAGTCTACTAATCAATAGTATTTGGTTTAGGTGCTCATCCCTTGATGAGCAATCCAAACAGTTCAGATTTTAAAATTTTATTTTTATATTTTTATTTTATATCTATTATAAAAAATTATAAAATTTTAATAAATTTATTTATCATCAATATGGATAATATAGATTTAATGTGAATGGTTTAGTTTAGTATTAAAATTTTTTATATTGTTTATCAATTAATTATCCAAATATATTTTAAATGGTTTGGATTTAATAATAAAATTTTTTAGAATTTTTGCACGTTTTTATTTTGTAAATATAATATTAAAAACTAAAAATAAAGATAATTTTCAAACTGACACTTTAAAAAATTAAAAAAAAAGTTACAACTTGAAAATTATAAATTTAGACTGCCTAGAATACACTTGGATAATCAATTTATAAAAATTATAAAAAAAAATTAATATTAGATTGGACTACTCATATTAAATCTGCATTGTCCAAGATAATAAGATGAATTCATTAAAATTTTATAATTTTATAATAAATAAAAACTAAAACTAAAAAAATAAAATCTTAAATTTGAACCATCCTGATTTCATTACATGATCAGCACCAAAATTGGACTTCTAATCAATATCACTATTAATATTATACATCTAACAAAAATCACCAATAAAAATTCAATCAAGTTTGCTGAAAATTCGTTGAGGACTCCATGATCTGCTATAGAAACCTCAAATCAATTTGAATCACACCTCCAAAGGAATGGATTTTGTATTTGGGGTTCCTACTTTAGTCCACTTGAACCTAATCTTAGTTCATATAAAAAATTGTAAAATATTTTTTTCCCCAACAAAATAAAAAAAAAAATACGTTGGATACCTTGGTTTGTTAGTGACTAAAATCACAGTCACCCAACATGACGTGAGTCAACCGAGTCATGCAATCAATATTAATTAATTAGCAAAATGGATTTGATGCTCATTATTGGCGTTTATTGCTTGTTTTAATTGCCTTTTATCAAAATTAAACGACCCAGATTTAATTGAACATAATATTTTTATTCTAATAGATGTCTAATTTTAACAAAATGAATATAAATTTACTAACTAAATTGGATCTAGTGAAATGGATTAATTCATCATAATGTGATAAATTAAAGTTCAAATCTCTATTTAAGAAAGCGCACATATTTAATGTTTGATCATATTTAAATAAAATAACCTCTAATAGAATATCTGTGAGCAATCAAAATAATAATCCCATCGGTGTCACTTAAATAAAAAATTAATTTATCATTTAAACAAGAAAATAATTGCAAACTTTAAATTTGAATTACCCAAATTAGATTTAGATGGTTGAAATTCTAGTTTAGTGATGAATGAGCATCAAATTTGTGACTAATGCTATCTCACATAAATTTATCAGACGCGCACATATAAACAAATCAACATTTAATATATATATATATATATATATTCAATCATAAATCAATATATAAACTTAGTACGTCATACAAAGTTAGAATCAATAGTGATCCAGAGGGAACCATGAAAGCAAAATTATTTCGTCATGTGAGAAAATAAGAGCTTAGATCATAACAGATTCAAGTGATGTCGTGATGACACGACAAAGGCAATATCACAGTATGCATTAAGCAAAGTCATGCACGTAGCAGAAATGTAGAATATCAGATCTAATCTAATTCATCAATGTAAGCGTGCTCCAGATTTAAATCGAATTTCAGATTGGATTATTAACCTAAATAAGTAGCATTAGTAGATTAATTTAACACTTATAAGCTGGAAGCTTCATTATATTTGAATACGCAGTCATAGAGACGTCCTCCAAGAAATTGGGCAACCTCTGGATGCTTCACCTGCACATTATATGGCCCCGATCAAATTATGAAAATTCATCAACACGCCATTTGGTATAGCCTCATTTTCATATTCTCCAGGACAAATATAGTTTTAGTCCCTGATTTTTTTCCGTCAATTATCAATTTTGCCGTTGAACTTCAAATTAGAACAACCGAATCTCTATAATTTCTTGATTCAAAGCAACTCAATCTTTATATATATATATATATATATATATATTTACTTGAAAGAACCCAATCCCTATAATTCTTCAACTCAATAAATTGCAAGGATTGAATTGCAGTGAGTAAAAATTTAAGGACTAAATAGATAATTGAAAGAAATCTTAATGACTAAAAGTTATATTATCCCTGTTCTCTAATATCTTCAAAAACATGCACTTAAGAAGTAGAAAAATGTTCAATATTTTTCATGCAGTACGAAGCAACTAAACTAAAAGTGGTAAAATGCATTACCATCCCAATCTTGAGCGAATCGCATTTAAACTGAGCATAGAGATTTGTTTCAATTCCACGACCCTGTCTCAAAGGAAAAAGGTCAGTTCCTATTCTAATTCATTTCATTTTCTAAGACTGAGATGTCAGTTTCTAATATCAGCATTTCAAAATAAAATTTCGCCCAGTATAATGTCAAAATTACACATTTAAGTATTCCAAGCATTTTCCTCCCTTGAACTACAATTTCTGCCTTCACATGAAAATCTCAAGGATCCATAACACATTATAATTTGAGACAAATTTTTGAACCTATTCTTTGCTCTACACCAATAGGCACGTCTAAGAACTCATGATCATATTTGTTTTGCAAAACAAATATGCTCCACTTGCAGGTTTTGGCCAAGTCTCCTAAGCAATGCAAAAGAGGATTTGTTTTAGCGATGCCAAATTAATTTATGGGACTTCCCAATTAACCCAAAAAAATTTTTGGGACCTTTTTAAAGTCTCTGGGTGTGCCCCATATTTAATTTTAGAGACATCAGAAAAAGATAAATGGCAAAAAGAAAGAACGGGCAATCTCATTGAGGTTCTCTGAATACAAAGTACGATCAAGACATGCAGCAGCATTGCATGTTAGATATAGACATTACTTTATGCTACAACTCTTTTCTTTTCTTTTCTTTTTTTGATTCAGATTGAGTCTATTGTTGATCAACTGAACATCAAACTACTTGATTGGCCTAGCTATTATTCTATATCAAGAATTATTACTTGACCCAGCAGCTTGATCTGTTAAGCATGGGCCCCATAATGGAATTTTTTTAACCTTATAATTGGCTTAAAAGTTGCTTTGTTAATTGAATTTGTATCTCCGTAATAGGTGGCTCAATGGCTCCAACTATGGTAAAATATTAAATCCACTATCTAAGGAACTATGAAGCTTGCTTCTTTGAATTGTACAGTCCAAAATCATCTGGTTTGTGTCTAAGGAACCCCAAAAGTAGAAAGTTTGTAATCTGATTTTCTCTTTTTCTGTAATCTTTGGCTAGAACTTTTCTCTGGATCAAAAAGATACATTAGAATAACCCTCCTTAATATGTCTCTTTTCATATATGCCCGGACCATTAACAAACCCTTAAAATCAGTGTTTATAATTCATAAATTCTGTACAGCCCTGCTTCCACCTTGCATTGCCACTTCTGGTTTCCCCACTCAAACTTATTTATCATATTGTGACAAATGCTTGAAAGTTATACCATCCTTAATCCCACCAGTTGAAATCCTAATTCCTTTATTACCTACTTTGCTTAGAGCATCATAGCCCAATAATGCGTGTATTGTCTATCGTTATGACAATGTGAGGGTAGTTATGCACTAATATACAATGACAAACATACCATCCCTTCTAAGATGACAAGATCTGCATCATTGGCCAGATATGCAAGCTCCTGTGATATCCTTGTAAGATCAGCCACCTGCAATGAGTTGAAAAACAACAAAAAGCATTGATTATCACGAGTTAATGATCTAAATAATATATATGGTATAGCCTACAAGCACTGATTATTCACACATGTTAATGATCAAACATATATATGTATATAATTGGTATAGCTTATTTTCTTACCGGCAAATCATTGCCAGAGTTAGCAATCAAGAGATTAGAAGCATCGACGCCCTGAAGCCTTCCTTCTTTATCTTTTAGCTGATGACCAACGTTCTACATTTAGCAGACGATATGGAAATATCAAAAGTTTAACAAATGTGCAATTACCTTCGAGATGATTTCAACTAGCTCAGGGTAAGTCACATCATTGATGGAAGGTAAGTCGTTAGCAGCCAATACAACCTGAATTCAAAACAGAGTCTCATAAATATTGCCGAAGGATGGAGCTGTGGAAGAACAAGTGAAAAGCAATCTCAATTTCAAACAAATATTTAAGGAAAAAGACTACCAAACACCTAGATCATGATAGTCATAAGATCAATACACATTATGAACAGAACAAAGAATTCCGTGGATCTAATTACACAATTACTTGGAAATCAAATATATTATAAGTTCAGAAATTAGTTTCTTGATGAAATCCTTTGACACGAAAAGCAGAATATCAAGAACGGGAGATCTTTTAGCTCTTTACTAAGAAAAAAAAATTGAATTCCAACTATTTCAAACTTCAACACATTGTCGATTGAGCTTTGGAGGGATAAAAACAGAAACAGATTTCTGCATACCACACTCCCACGCCGAAGAAGCTCCCTTGCAAAGGGCAAAATACCCAAAATTATGTCTGCACCTGAGTTATCAACAAATATGATAACCTGTCATTGTAGAATAAACAGATTTAGACACTGCCACAGCATAAAATATGCCAAAAGAGATGAAATACAACATAAGAATTATTTGTTACAATATATATAAAAAAAGTAAACTTGCCTTCTTCCAAGGCTTCTTGCTCCATTTCATTTTGAAAGTGTCAAGGTCATCAATAACCCAAGGTCGAGGGACAAGATTTTGACAACTAGCTAAAAAGGACATTCCATCCTTAGAGAAAACCTCTGCAAGCTTCAAGAAATTGTGAAAGGATGAAGGTGGTACATAAACCAACCGTTGCTATACTCATCAAATTGCTGGCATATGCAAATAAAATCTAGCATAACAGATTGTTTTCTGGTAGATGCATAGTCTCTGTAAGTTAACAAACTAGAACATATTTAAGCTTTTCCTCTCTATATATATGGTCTCCCGAGAAAAAGTTCCAGGCTGTGTTTGCAATCATTCAGGGAAGGTGATCCCAGAAACAACTAACCAAAGGCACTGGTCAATACCAATTAACTGGAGGTAAGGAGTATCAATTTGAAAGATGATTAGCCACACTATAGAGCCTGTATCCACTAGAGGAACTAAGCCAGACACAAAAGCAGGGGGATATAAGGCTTTTAAATTTGAAAGGGTAAATAAAAATATATTGCAGACAACATGGCTTAACAAAACAACACCGGCTCACATCAAGAAGCAGGCTTAGTTCAGTTTAGCTGATGTTTTAAATATGTGGACTCATCCAAATGTCCTTAAAGGATATAGAAAAATAACCAACCTGTGCAGAGCCAAGATCAAATATGTTTCCGGCAAAAATTCCTCTAACTAGATTCTCAAGTCGCTTGCCTTCATCTTCAATAGCATCATTAAGACGAACAACATCTTCAAACAGGGAGATGGCTTTTGCATTCTCTTCATCCTAATAATATAGTCAGGAAAGAATTCACAAATCTTGAGTAAATTAGAAGTAAAAGGAACTTATACGTCAAAATCCCATTCTGACACCTCTTTTAAGATGGATAACAACATTTATAATAAATCTTAAATAATGTTTAGTAGATTGTGTTTTCAGTCATCCAAATTCAGAAATAATGCCATCAGATGTCCCATTATCCTTGTGCAAAATGTTACATATTTCAACCATCTTAAACAGATATGCTTATGCTTTACTTCAGCATACAAGACAGCAAATTTCGAAATTAATCTTACCTTAACTTTCTTGAAGATATCTCTGAATCCCAGTTCTCTAAGTATTTGCTCACGAAGTCTGCAGAGAAGCTAGAGTATTCCCAGCCCCATATTATAAAGGAAAAAAGGGAGAAAATTAGATCCACCCCTAATCTATTTGTATATTTGCTTTTTATCACTATCTCAGGGGGTTGGATAACAAACATTCAAAGTAATATAATCCAGAGAACATACTATGCAATCTGGAGGTCCGCCATGACTTTCTGGATCATTCTTAAAATCTTCAAGTATTTCAGCATACCTTTACAAGAAAATGCATTTAAAGTAAATAAGAGATCATATAAATATCCCATCATCTTTTTACCAAAGTATATATATCCCATCATCAGGATAAGAACCCATCAAGCCTGAGAAACTTCATCCAAATCTAATTTCCAAAAATACGCTCATCTCAATGATGTAACACGTATAGATCTTTTCATGCTACAAATCTTTCGGAGGGGACCAATAACCAGTAGGAAAAAGCAGCAAGAGATCACCTTTCAGCAAATTTTTCAGCTCTGGAAGCAGCGTCAGGAACAGAAGTATCACTCTCTGCACGCTTCCTGTATTGAATGAGACGAATTGTTGATGTAAACAAATACGATTGTTCTATAAGATTATACTAGATAAACACATTGCATTCTGTAACCTTACTTAATCATAACTATTAAGGTCCATGAGTTTAGTAAGTTGATACTTGAGTCACTTTGATATTTTCAGATGCAGGGTACTTCATTTGCCTTTGTGTTTCCCGATTTCAAGTTGTACTTCAGATTGTTTTCATTATTCAAATGTGTAAAGTCTTATTTTGATGTCTAAGTATTATTGGTTATGAAGAAAAACAGACTGCTATAGTATTACAACAGTATTAGAAATGCATTCCTTATGCTTGAAGAAAAAAGTTCAAGCAATTTTTTATAGGGTGATCAGTTTTATGTATTATTGTAGCAAGATTGCTCTCTTCTTGATTCTGTAATGTAATGAAACTGCAATTCCTGTACCTTCGTTAATATTCTCAACTTTATTCTCGTATCTCTAAGCTACTCTGATCCATACCCTAAGGCAGACAGCATTCAAAATTCTTTTCATTATAAACCTCATCGATTCTAGCAACTGTAGAACCCATCAAAGCCAAAATCTTAACATGCTAGGCGCTTTTACACCCTAACAGCCAATAAATGGAAACATAAAAGCCAAATTGTGGCTCCCCAAAATTTCCTTTATTGGTCCAGAAAAACTCGATACCAAGCACAATAATTCCTAACCCTTCAGCTGGAGAAACTCATATTGGAAACATACAAAATACATTGAAAACCATTGGAACATTTACAGGTTGTAAATTTTACAAAATACATTTCTTTGTTGGAAACTTTAATATTTACATGTTTATTTTGGTCCTTTTCCAGCATTGAAATCTTTCAGTAAATAATTACCAAACATTCAAAAGCTCCATCTTTTCAAAGATTGCTTTGAAATATCTATTAAAAAAAAAAAAGACAGCTTGTAGAAGTACCTTCTCGCGGCAAACATTTGAAGGTAACAATAATATCAAACTAAACCAAACCCATTCTTGAGGAAAAATGTATTAATTGCTTGTCTAAAGTTTAAATCATGATATTCCGGAGCTACAACTTCAAAAGAAACACTGACTTCAGCGGTCTTTGCGATTCTGCACAACTTAGACCTCTAACATTGACAACTTATGTTACAATTTATAACTTACAAGAAGATCATCAATTCTTGAGGTCAAACAGTACAGTAAGAAATCTATATAAAGATAAATGCTTGTAAAGAGCCTGGAGATCCAGGGGATACTACAAACACTCACGTCATGATGTTACGCTGAACAATCTGAACAATTAAAGAAGCTTCCTGAAAATTCGGGGCAGTATAAAGCTGTCATTTTAAACTAGATTTGGTGATTGCTTCACAGAAACTAAATTCTACAGGGAAGTCATGCTGCCATTGGAAAGCTAAAAGCATGTATCTTTGATGCCTTGTGATGGTTATTCATTCCATGGAACGTATAATTTGTCTAAATTCTACATCAATCAATAGTCAAAACAAAGGCTTCGACTGCAAACGAGAATCAAGCTAATGAATGCAAAGACCATCGAACCCATCTAAGAATAAGAGCAGATATGAAAATGCACGAAGAAATATGTGGATTAAATACTATTTGGTTGCACACCATTCAAACAATCAAGAACCACTCGCATAAACTATATAAATAAGCAATTCTGTTCGTCCCAAATAGTGCTTCGTTTTGTGTGACATGCAATTTTGGGAAGCAGGTGGCAGAGAAAGAAACGGACTGAAGGGGAAAAAAATAAAAAACGTACTTGAAGGAAGGAATGGAATTATAGAAAAGATCAATCCAAGTTAGCTCGGTAGGGGTAGGCTTGCGTGGATTATCGGATGGGAATCTGTAAGGAATAGTGCAAGCTCTGTAATTGGAATCGATTGGGGTCAACAACAATGGGAATTCTACCAGCTCCGATGCGCTCTCCATATTGATTTCTCCTTTCCCGCTGATGGTGTGATTCAGGGATGATTAAATTATATATCACTGGTAAAATGAGATTAAGAGTTCGAATTTTGTTTCGAGCCAAAGCAGAGAAACGCAATGTCGCGGGAGCGAAACGATGTTGCGCTTTTTCCTGAGGCTTCTGGAGTTCCTGCACTGTTATTATTCTCGGAATTGCATAGTCAATACTCAATGGCACTTCATGCCAATTGTGAACTCAACAAACACTGAAGATCTTCTACGGCAAAATTCGGTGATAATTACTCTAAGCAACTTTAAAAAAAAAAAAAATTCTTGTTTAAAAAACACGTTTTTGGGGGCAGCAATATTACAAGAGCTAGGTTTGTTGTTCGTCGGATTTAGCACTTTTCATGGTTATTATACCTATTTAATTATTTTTTTCAGTTATGATTTGTTATACCTAAAGTCTATCCTCCCTTTGCTCTCAAATATAATCAAATATATAATCATTTTGCAAGATTTTAAAAAGTTAGCTATCTTTCTTAATTATTTTTTTAATTGATTAATGATTTTAAACATCATAGTTATTGTTAATTTTTAATTAGAATACACCATTAAATGCATGTGCATAATGCATCCCCATCAGAGGCTAATATTGGAAATCTCCATCAAATGAACCTTTTTTTTTTTTTTGCCAACGTAAGTGCACCTTAGAATTGGAGAATTTGCTTATATTTAAGGTATTTTTTTTTTGGTTGATTCTTTTTGTTTATATTTGAGATTAAGATGGAGGAGTATTAACTTTCTTATTTAAAAAAAACCTAGAAGTATTATATCCTATTTCCAAAACAATAAACGGTTTATAAATAATATTAATTAATTAATTAATAATTAATCTGGTTTCCGCATATCTTTATAGCTCAAACCGGCATTATCATACTTTTTCATAATTTTCTTTCAGTTTTTACAACATATTAATTAATCACACTTTTATTTTTTCACTAGTTAGTTGTTACTCATGAAATCATTTTGACTCTTCTATTTTAATAGTTTTTTTAAATTTTTTATATTTTTATTAGATAATATTTTTTATTTTATTTATAAGTTACTTTTAAATTTTCATCATGTTTTACTTGAATAAAAAATTTTAAAATTTATTAATTCTGCATAAAATTTAATAAATTTTTAATTTTATTTTTTTATTTAATATAATATTTTCTCTTATCAATTTAATATAGTTAAATAAAAAATTTGTGATAAAAATTAAATGAGTTATATCATAAATAGAACAAAAAATAATTTTTTATTATAAACGTAATTTATAACTTTAAACTCTAAACGTGACACTAGATGATGATCCTCAAATAGACTAATCAGGAATCACGAAGTCTAATATAAAAAAATTGAAAAAAAATATTATAAAATAAAATATCCACGGCAGGATGATAGTTGGAGTGGAAAATATCAATAAAGAACTCAAGAGTTATATTAAATTAAAATTTTTAAATTTTTGAAATATCACAATTGTTTAGAAATTTTAGTTTGATATTAAATTTATGAAAAAAAATGATATGCTTGCCCATCATTTACATTAACATCATAATAACCCTATTTTACTTATTTATTACTCTATTTTACTTATTCATTTACTTATGAGATATTAGTTATCGCGCGACTTTACTTATTTATTTTTCTAAAAAGTAATCAAGTAAAATAAAGAAATAAACAAGTGAAGTAAGGTAATAAATAAAGAGAATGACAAAGGAGCCTTAAAATGATCAATTAATTTAAGTTAAATTTTAAGTATCAAATTTTAAAATTTTACAACTCGATATTTTAATTTTGTAACTACTTTATGATAAATTTACAACTTATTTTTTAAATTTTAATATGATTAAATAATAAAAAATTATTTTTTATTAAAATTTGAAATATAAGTTACAATTTTATCACAACGGAATTACAAAATTAAGAGATTGAGTTACATTTTTAAAATTTGATACTTAAAACCTAATTTAAATTATAATTGATTCTTTTAAAACTTCTCTATCATCCTCCCTAATGAATAACTATTCGTAAATAAATAAATAACATATGGTATAAAAATTAATAAATTATTTTAAAATATTTAAACACTTAAACTAAAATTAAATAAAATATAATAATAAATAATATTTTGTAAGTAAATAATTAAGTAAGATAGAGTAATGAACAAATGAAATAAAATAGTTTTAATCAAGGTACGTAAAATCGGACCGGTCATTAAACCGGTCATGGCACTGGGTCACGGGTTAGTGGTTCAATCAGGGTTGAACCGGGGGTTGAACCGGTGGCAAACCGGTTATGATTAAAATAATACAATTTAAATAAAAAGACATTAATTATAAAAACATTCAACCAAATCCAACCACTCAAAAGTCTAACAATAATAAAATACTATATTTTTGGACTTAGCATGCTCTATCTCTAATTTTTTATTTTTTGACTTCAATTTTACTTTTTTTTGTTATTTTTTTCCGAACTCAGAGCTCTGAAAAATTAAAGATGAAAAAAAAAATCAAAAACGACGTCGTTTTGGGGTAAAAGTCTGAAAAAATATTAAACCGGTTAACTCAGTCAACCCACCGGGTTATCCGGGTTATACCGGGTTGAACCCGAGTTGACCGGGTTACACCGGTTCACTCCCTCACCGGGTTAAGTGCAAACCCAGACCGGACAGGGGACCGGTTCACCGGTTTCCGGGTTGACCCGGCCGGTCCGGTCCGGTTTTCAATACCATGGTTTTAATATTAATTTAAATAAAAAATATTTTTTCTCTCCAAAATTTAATATCAACACAGGATTTGAGAAATTGACGAGTTTTTGTTTTAAAGTAAGCTTTTTAGGCTGAAAGAAAAGTTTGACATTTCCATGACGTGGGCTGTGACGGCTCACACTTGGCATCCAGACTAGGGTTTTAGCTTCTTAAGAACAGCTGTCAAGGGTTTAAGAGGAGTTGCGAATTCCATTGTGGAACCCGGAAGCCGTAACATCATCGAAGATTTCCCTGCAACAATGGGATTCTGGGGTTAGTCACCTCGTTGTTGTTCATGTTTTTTCTCAATTGCATTTTCTTTTCCTGGATTGTTTACGTGCCTGGTCGCTGTGATTTGCGAAGCTAATGTTTTCTCAGCTAGTTTTTTATTTTTTAAATTCTCTTAACATCTCAATGTGCCTCTGTTTTCAGTAACTTATCTTTAAAAAAAAATATTTATTATTTATTGTATGGAGGAATTTGCTTATTTTGACTTTTTCTTATTGACAATGGTAGATTTTGATCTATGGTTCGCAAGACTTACTTTTCCTCACATCTAATTCTTCTCAGGAATCGAAGTGAAACCTGAAAAACCATATCCTTACCATGCGGATAATGTGCCAGGGAAGCTTCATGTAACCCAGGTCTTTTTACATATTTAAGTCCAATTTTTATTCTCTTACACGTGCTAGTTAGTCTAATTGGCTTCATTCTAAGATTTGCTGTGCCTTTACTTTAAAGCCGTCAATATTTTTATGAGTTCAAATGTTTGATTATTCGTTAATGAAGCGCAAATTCCTCAAACAATATCCTGTCTCAATGTTCATGCTTCTTAAGTTGCAATTGCTCTTAAGGATGTAATTTGTTTTCTTTCTGAAATTCAAACTGGAAATCAGTTTGCTGGTCAAAAAGCTGGAAATCAGGCTTATCAAGAATTGAACATACTATAGTAAATTTGGAACTATCATTGCCTTATCTTTACTTATATAGTCAAACCCATTCCATAACAGTCTTTGACAGGAAGTATAATTAGAAAGATATTAGCTTACATAAACATTCATGCTTAATTCTAAATGCATGAGAAATTTCAACATCTCTAAATTGGCTTTTGTTGTCTTTTGAGTCAAAGTTGATTCCTAATGTATCTCCTTTTCCCCTTAATAATTCAGGCAACCTTAGGCCTTGGCTCATCAACAGAGAAAAGTATTCTCCAATGTTCTGCTGGACACAAAAATCCAGTCTTTTTGTGCTCATTGCTGCCAAATAAGACTGAATCATGCCCTTTGAATCTTGAGTTTGATGAAGATGATTTAGTGGCTTTCTCAGTAATTGGTCCTCGAAGTATTCATCTCTCTGGTTATTTTGAGGCTGATGATGGGGATGAACTTAGGGATGACTATGAGTAGTATCTTTTTTGAAGAAGTTCCATTGATTTGCTTTTTTTATTTTTTTTATGTATATATAAATATAATTTTGATGAAGACAGTACATAATGTATTAATATTATATTTTTCATGTTTCCCTATGACAATGTGAAAGTGATTCTTTTGGAGAGGATATCTCTGATACAGAGACAGGGGGGTCTTCTGAATATAACACTGAAGATGAATATGCGGATGGCTTTATTGATGATAGTGATATTGACACTTATCCACCTTCACCTGTCCCAAATAGTGGAGGTAATTTGGTTGTTTCCTTGAATCTTCTTTAAATCCTCAAATTAATATGCATGTTTCTGTTATTATTCCTTACTGGTTTTCATTAGACATTTTATATAGACAGATACATCAGTATTAAATTAAATATAGTCTCAAATCTTATGTGCTCTGGTCGCAGTTATGTACAATGTATGAGAAGCTTTCAAATCAACATTTATCGATGAAATTTTGCTTTGGCTATTTTTGGTCATTCTTTGTACATATTGTATTCAATACTAAATCATGGACCTGATAAAATTTCAAGTCAATTAAGTATATCAGTGTTTTAACATTTTATTTTGTTTCTCACTTTTTCATTATAATCTTTTCGTATGATGCATTCTCCTCAGTGTCTTTTCAACTTATATTGAAATAAGCAGCAGCACTATATATAATTTTCTGAATTGTTTTATTGCTTTTATTGCAGTTGTGATTGAGGAACTAGTAGATGATGATAAGCCTGAAAGTGGAGATAATGCTTCTAAGAAGTCTAAGAAAAAGGTTCAAATGCCCAACTCTAAGGACAGCAAAAATTCTCAGCAGCAAATTGTTGTCAGAGGTGATAAGGGCCTCCCTCTTATGGAAAGTGAAGATGAAGATGGTTTTCCAATTTCTGCTTCTCTGAAGGAAGAAGCCAAGGAACAGACACATGAGAGAACTGAGAAAGCCAATAAAAGGAAAGTGAAAGATGATGATCATGCTGCAACATTGAAACGAAAAGTTGAAGTTGCTGAGAAATCTGAACATCTGGGAGGGTGAGATACTAGGTTAATTACTTCTGATAACTAATTTAGTAATTTTATTATGACATTTTCTGTCATTCTTTTAGGAGTAAGGGAAATGAGAACACTAAAATTGGGTTGCAAGAAAGTGAAGACTTGACATTTTATTTGTATGTCTTGCTGCTGGAAGGCCGTGTTGCACTAAATATTTCCCATGATGATTTCAGGAAAAAGACGAAGAAAAAGAAGTTGAAAGAACAAGGTAAAGGGGACAGTGCCAAAATATCTGGTGATTATAATGAGACCCACGATACTAGTGCAGGTGGTGATCATCCTGAGGAGGCAAAAACAACACCCAGCCTGGATCATGTTTCTCATGCTGAGGATGAGTGTGAAGGAAATGTATCTAATGAAAAGTAAGATCTTTGACTTGGTTTTGTCATTCTATTCCTTACGTTTCAGTAAATTAGGCAAAGAAAATTGAATAAGATGTCAGCTTTCTCCTACCTGAGGAGTCCTTTTTGATTTGAAAATAGATTATATTGCAGTCAACATGTACAGAAATCTCTCCTTTATTAGAAACATGGTAGATTAAACTCATAAGCAGTCACAAAAATACAGGATTTTCCTCCTAGAAACCCTTAATATCCTATAATTTGATGCTGTTCAAATCATTAAAATTGCCAATTAATGCTAATGACCTAAAGTAAGGAAGGTCCTGGGACTAGAATTTGTAGACTTGATGAGAGGTTGGAACATAATTTGGAACTAGAAGGGATGTTATCTGATGTGATGTGATTTTATGTTTTAAGAATGTTAAGGCAGTGAATGTAATTTACTTTCGTAAATATCACCTTTCATTGCTTAAATTTCTTGTACCTATGGACAGAATCCTTGGCGAGAAGAAAATGAAGAAAAAGAAGAAGAAGAAGACCAAGGATGAAGGGGTAACTGATGCAAATCAAACGTCCACAGTTACAAGAAATCAAGATATATCCACTTCTGAGAGGGTAGAGGAGGAAATAGATGTCAAGCCATCTCAAATAAGAACCTTCCCAAATGGGTTAGTTGTTGAGGAGCTATCCATGGGTAAACCAGATGGCAAAAGAGCTACTGCTGGAAAACAGGTCATTCATCGTATTGAACTTGTTGATTTTTATATGGTTGGAATGTCTAAATGATCTTTTCATTTTTTATTTTTCTGAGGATGGCTTATTTCTATTCTTGCGTGAAAACTTATGGCGTATGTATGACAAGTTGCAATATTTTCAGAGCTCACTTATTTTAATCTCTCTTTATTTATACTTATTGTGTGAGTCTGAATATCCATGAAGTGATAGCAGATAAATTATTCAGAATTTTGGTTGTGATATAGAGCAATTGGTAAGAAATAAGTTGGAAGACGTCCTAAATTAAGCACCTCTTTTAATAATTATTTCATCCATAGTTACAGTGTAAATCGGAAAAAGAATAGTAACCTTTGGCACTGGCTATAGGCATATTTTTCTTGCTATTTCAGACATAGCCATGATGGATATAAGCACAAATTAATTTATCCATGTTACATCACAACAAAAATATAATAATTTTTCTTAAGAGTATTTGGTTCTCCCCTTACCCAATTTTATAATCTGTTAAACTCATTATGTGATCTTGATTTCTTTCAGGTCAGTGTTAGATACATTGGCAAGCTGCAGAAAAATGGGAAAATATTTGACTCAAATATTGGAAGAGCACCCTTTAAATTTCGTCTTGGTATATATTTTATTGATTTGAGTGAGTAAGATATCTCTAATTGATATTATCTCTCCCTAATTTCCTTCCTATTTGCAGGTATAGGGCAAGTCATAAAGGGTTGGGACGTTGGCGTCAATGGTAAATTATACAAACTTTTCTTTTATATTTTGAAAGATGGATAGATCTCCCTTTGAAACATTTTTAAATAAAAGTTCATGAAACCTTTTTCGTTAATCACCTTGCAACGCGTGGGGTTCATGCTAGTTATGTTACATATTTAGTCAAATTTTAAGTTTACATTAACTTAAATACATTTTTTTACTAAAATAGATGAAGGGTATTTTTATATTAAAAAATTAGACTAAATGTAAAATATATTTGTGTGGGTTTAACAAGCTTTAGGAGAAATGTGTAACTAATTAATTCATTTATATTTGAAGTTCTCACAACATTCTTCTACTGTAACTATGTTATCAGGTATGAGAATTGGGGACAAAAGAAGAATCACAATTCCACCATCAATGGGGTATGAATTCGTCTCATTTTCCTTGCATTCTGTTGTCGTCAATGGTCCATTGTAACTAGTTAAATTTCCCTTTGGGCATTCAATTCTTTTAGCTCTTGATCGTTTTAACTCGTTTTTGCTTCTGGAAATTGTTTGCCTGATCATATAAATGGGGTACCATAACTATGACCTCATGCTAGAAATGATGCTCTTCATTTTCAGCTGCAATTCTGATTTATAATTCAACCAAGAAAAGATTAAATATCCGAAACGTGACCTCTTGAAAGGTTGAGCTTTTCGTAAACCTTTCCTGTGTATTGTTATGCTAAGCTGGGGTTTATATTTGTTGTTACAGTTATGGAGATAAACGTGCTGGGAGCATACCTCCAAATTCTTGGCTCGTATTTGATGTTGAGTTGATCGATGTTCGATGATTTCAGCCACAGATTTTTCCGTTAGGGCATGAAACAAGTCCCCTGCATTTTACACATTTAGCATCATAGGCTCCAAGTGTCAAATATTGTGAGTACAAGTTTTGAATGAGTTTGGATTGAAGTAGGACTGTCCACAATATCAAAAATAGACCTATACAGTTTCCCCAACGGTGTTGCATTTTATGTTGGAACACATTCAAATAGACGTCGTCAGATTTAACATTGCATCACAAGATGAGTTCTGAGCTAGTCTTGAGGATTTTTGTGGAAAAAAGCATCTATTTTTGTGAAAAACAAATACCAATTGTCATTTTGCTGCTTGAAATGATCGGTGTATGATCCTGTTGATGAATTTGATAATCCTTCAAAAGTAAGAATTTAAAATGCATGAATGATTAACGGACCACTTACAAATTAGTTATTACACCCGTTGGTTTTTTCAAGCTAGTTTCTCGCATGGATAAAATATATAATTAGATTTTTTTTAAAAAAAGTACTTATTCTCATATAAACTTCTCTGAAATGTGTAAAAATAATTGCAAGAGTACGAGCAGTATGATTTACTTGTCACTCTATGCATTGCACGGATTCATATCTAGTCAACGTCAATATAAACAAAATATGTTTAATTGAAATAAAAAAAAAAGATACCAAAATTTAGAGGCAGTTTAGTGTACTTGTCACTTTATGGATTGCATTGATTCATATCTAGTCACTATCATATAAACAAGTTATGTTTAATTGAAATAAAAAAAATTAAGAACTCAAAATTTAGAAACATTAAAGTAGGATTCAATATATATAGATATTATCCAAATCCCAGCTAGAACAGAACGTGTGAATTCCACTTCTGATCCTGTCACTTAAATGTGTATCACAAAGTTACCAGAGTCGATCAACGATGTAAATCTAGTTTCAATTCACAGGAAACATCACCCAGACTCCGGCATCAACCAGGTTTAACACAAACGTACAAGAGACTTTAAAGCAAGAAACCAAAATAAGGAGGAAAACCTAGATGCAATTTTTTCTTTCAACAGATGACATCTAGTGTTACAGTTCAGAAGACACCCGCATCCACTCAACCTTTCAGTCATAAAGAAATAATGCAAGGGAAAGAAAATTGGCACATGTTTCCTACATTAATTGTTACACTACAGATGCATCATAAGAACAGACATATGAAAACCTACCAACAAACATATTTCCTAAAACCTAAGGTTTATGGGTACAACAGTTAAAAACACTCATCTGACTATCAAGGTCCTTCGATCTGGAACCTGAAAGGTTAATTGTCAGCGTCAGAAAAGTGTAAACGAGTAAGCCTAGATGTTGGTGACTCAGGAAGAACATTGCATTACCAGAAGCCATGTTTAACTAGGAATCCCAGCATTTGATAGGCTGGCATTAGACTCCTTTTCAGGAAAAGGTGATGCCGAGGAGTCCCTAGAGCCTTGTACATTGTTAAAACAAGTAACATTGTCTCCTTGAAAAGCAGCAGGTGTTAGAATAGGCTTTACTCCTCCAAAACTAACATACAATTCTTGATCAGAGACAGGACTAAAATGGGGAGGTGTGATGGTAGATATAAACTCCATCTTCTGCTTCTTGTTTTTGTGCTCCTGCTGGTGACCTGGAAGGAAACTGCCCACGACAACCTGAGGCGTGAAAAATGTACAACCATGTAATTTGGTTCTTTATCAGTGTCAAGTGTCATTTTAAATCAAAACCTTGAGCTACCATGTGAATCTCATATATCCAAATTGTCCCTCGCAAGAACGTTCTGAGGATAGTGCGCCAAAAACTCTGGCCAACATTACTAGTGTTGAAACTTAAATTTCAATTAAAAGAACGGAAGCCTGCAACGACTGAACTTGTTAAAGATTTGGTCACTTAGACCTAGCATCATTGAATATGTTGATTCCATAAGGCAGGGAATCTTATCTTTGGCATGCAATAAGCACTTAAATAATACAATTCAATGCTTCAAATGGGAAGGCCAACATCGTTTTGTTACCCATTAGCAAGACCCAAACGAGATGCTTAAACATTATAATTTTGTCACGAATATCCTCTTGAAAAGAAGATAGTATACCTGTACAGGGCCTGCAGCAACCAACAGACCAGCAAGTCCACCCCCAACCACTCGACCATCTGGACCTGCCAAAGAGACACTCATTCCACCAGATCTGCTCCTTGCCACTCCGTTTTCAGTTGGCATATATGAACCAGACAAAGAAAGAATCTCAAATCGTCCCTGTAAAAGCGCCAAAAAAGCCACTAATAAGGATTTGCGCGCGAGCGAGAGAGAGAGAGGGAGAGAGAGAGAGAGAGAGACTATTCTATGAGAAAAGCAACTTAGAACCTCATGGCAGATTCATGTTTCCTATAACATTGCTTGATACACAGAATGTTGCAAGAAAAGGCAAAATTATCCAGCAACTTTGGGCAGCCATTGAAAAGTACGTTTAGCTAACTTTATTGCATGGCTCAGATTTCTGATTAACAACAGACTTTTGGCGCATTCATTTTACATTTTTTCATCAAACTGTGCCCACCTTTTGTAAAATATGCAGATCAGTGAAGTAAAAAGCATATAAACCAAATCTTCATCTAAGAGAAGATATTTAAAAAATTAAAAAAAAAAAAAGCCTAACTTTAAGATCAACTAATACATACAATGCCAGAAAGAGCAGGCTGCATTTAAACAAAGAAGATAGTGTTACATAATATGAAATCCATTTACTGTTTTATATGAACATTATATGGTAGAGAAGTATTTAGGACCATACTCACCTCATATGTTAAAGTACCACCAGAGGAAGTTGGTTGTCGAAGTGTTACATTTGAAATCATGCCATTTGCAGAAAGAATGCAAATGGCTCGGGATCCTTGTTGAGAGAAGGACATAACCTTCATGTTAACATCCTATAACAGACCAATGGAAAATCAGAATATGTACGCTACACAACACAGACAACACCTAATTTTGCTGCATATAAACTTGTGGAACAGTGATATGATTCCGTTGATTCTTATCATTATTAGAATGTCCTGCCTATACATGCATAAATAAACAATATATATAGGCATATGCAAGCAAACTAATATCAATTCATTGAAGCATATAGTTAATACACCTGATTAAAGAAGTATATTCATGGTCATGAAAGAAATCCTTTAACAAACTCCGGCTTCAATATTTTATTAATTAAGGTCTCTGAACTCGACTTCATAACCTATGCCGTGCCCCTTTTGTGACTCGTTATGATAAGTACCAATCTAATATCCTTCCATAGAAATCAGTGAGCACAGTAACTATTATCTCTATTATTAATTATTTTCTATATTAGACTGTCATTCTAACTCCTTAATAATTACTATGAAGCTTAGAAACAATTTCAATCTCACAAGTAATGATTTCATAGGTTGTTAATGGCATGTCCTAAACATTGGAAAACATGTAGACATACATTTTTTTTTTCAAAAATAAATAAATAAAAACATACATTTTTACATGCAACAGGGAAAATATAATACGTCATGTGTACAACAACAACAACAAGAAGCCTTTATCCCACTAGGTGGGGTCGGCTACATGGATTGCAAGACGCTATTGTGCTCTATCATTTATCAAGCTTTTAGGAATATTATTAATTAAGAGATCGCGTTCAACAACTTCCAAGAGTGTTCTCTTAGGCCTTCCTCTACCTCTCTTAATCGAACTCAAAGTTATATATTCCACTCTTCTCACTGGTGCCTCCCTTGGTCTTCTTTGTACATACCCAAACCATCTCAACCGATTTTCTACCATTTTTTCCTCAATAGGTGCCACCCTCACTTTTTCGCGTACGTGCTCATTTCGAATTTTATCTTTACGTGTATGTCCCCACATCCATCGTAATATTCTCATCTCTGCTACTCCAATTTTATGCTCTTGCTGTCCCATTAGAGCCCAGCATTCACTACTATATAACATTGCCGGTCTGATAGCAGTGCGATAAAACTTTCCTTTAAGTTTATTAGGCACCTTACGGTCGCAAATAATACGTCATGTGTATTTAAAGTAATTTATGTTTGACAGGTCAGATAAAAAAATGGCAGGTTAACAGTAACCAAAATGTTTAACCTTGCATTATTTATCATACTCCATCCAGTCTCATATAAGCAAAAACCACCAAAACCTTTTTGGCCAAAATATAAGCAAAAATTACTGTAATTAATATAGGTTTTTAATTTTGCCCCTTAATTTAAATCAATTGTTTTGAATAGGAGTAGTTGGAAATAGTCAAAATAAATAATCATCATTAAGGAAGGAACAAAGTTTTAGGGGGCATATTGGAAAAATTTCAATGTTAGACATAATTAAGAGAAATAACTAACTTTATTAAACTCTGTAATTGTTATTTTTATTTATATACTACTTTCTCCATCCCGAATTATAAAACATTTTTAGATAAAATTTCACATGCCAATAAACCTCATTAAATAAATACGCTTAATAACTTCTTTTTTTTTCCAAAACGAAAATATAAACTTTCAAAAATATCTTCCATTCAATAACATTAAATCTACACTTAATTAGTATTGAATAGAGAGAGAACAAGGGTAATATTGAAATAAGTCTATTTAATGAAACCTTAATATTCTCAAAATGTTTTATATTTTGAGACAACAAATCTCCTCCAAAAGTGTCTTATAATTTGAGATAGAAGAAGTACTCTGCTTTCAAATATAAAAGAAACTGCCCTATGTTTCTTTGTCTTCTATTATAAGCAAAACTACAAATTTCAAAAAGCATTAATTATATTTTTCCCAAATTATCCCTCATAAATGAAGAGTATTATTAAATTAGAGGGAAAAAGTAAACATTAAGTACAAGTGCATTTTAATCCACACATTTCAATTTCAAACATGATTATTATGATCAACTAATTTTTTTAAAAAGTATGAGTTAGTTGAAATTCTCCCACATTCAAAAATGGAGAGAATATGGGACTGGAGGGAGTACATAGACAATAGAATCTGACCAATTCATGATATATAGAGCTAAAAGGCAAGTGAACTAAATACCTCGCCAGCATTAACTATGAGTATATGGGGTGTAAAATTGGCACCAACCGAGTATGCAAGTCCATTACCTATAAAACATAAAGACAGGTAAATCAATAGAGAGACAGAGAAAAACAGGTTGCAAGTTGAATGTGACACTTTCTAATTCAAAATCCATTTGCGATTATTGTTCCATTAAATGAAAAAATACAATAACTCCAACTATTTTCTCAAAAAAGAAAAAGGAAAGCACGTTTAAGCACTCTAGCTTGAAACAGGAGCTGCAATCATTGTCATATCTAAACTGACTCTCTTATATGTAAATCTATTTTTCAACCAGACAATTAATAAACCATGTCAAACAATCAGAATCAGTTCCCAACTTAATGCTTCATTAGTTGACAAACAATCACCCTAATTGCTTGTAATTCGTGACTAAAAGAAACAAAAACCATCACAATTGAAAATGCAGTTTGATAAATGAATCAGTCCAGAAATATTTTATGCATCTGGAATTAACCAATTTTGGTTTCCAGTTTTATGAATTCATAACAACAAAGAAAATGCAGAACAAATGGTACAGATAATAAAATGGCACAACTTACCCTAATTTCACATATAATTCTTATACTAGATCTACTCTGCTTGACCACTTACATAGGCATAACTTCTGTTATTCTATGACCGACAACATTCTAAACCTCCTTTAGAACTTTTAAAGAGGTGCAAATCTCATATATCCTGCTTCAAAGCTCAATATAACGAATTAATTTAACTAACAAGAAGTTAGTGTTCACGTCCTTCCTCTTTGTGATGTGCAAATATATCCTACACATAGAAGACTAATGCACATAAAAATTTAAAATTGCCATCCCTGAGACCACTCTTTCATCCATAATAATATTAATAATTCCATTTTATTTAAAATCTTTCCCAACCAGATTTCAATACTACTACCCATTGGAAATCATGTCATTATAAGAATGATACTTGCTCATTGCCATTAATAAGTGATATGATAAGGTTCCAAGCCAGTAATATCCTTTGCCCAAAAACGCCAGTAATATCCTGCAAAGCAGGAAGCATGCTCTTAAAAACACTTAGTTTGAGGTTTCTACAGACTACAGGGAACAATTGAACATGCCAGCTCCTCCAATTATTCCATTTCTTTCATAGTGGTTTACACTATGCTGTCTTCCCCACGTAAAGGAAAAAATAAAAAAGAATAGTACTCGAAGAAGAGATAGAGATAGATATCTGACTTCACTTTTTTTTTTGCTGATACATCTTACAATAACCTATCCATTCCTCCTCACCACTTCTATTCCAGATCTGAAAGGAATCAAAGCTACGACGAGTGCCCTTATACCATCTATAAAGGCATGAATCAAATCCTAGAAATTAAATATACATTGAAAACCCAGATCAAAGGAAGTAGCTCACGTCCACATGGTTGGCTATGCACCCAAAAAAAAAAAAACAAAAAAAAAAGGTCAGATAAGATTCCTATTCCTCAGAAGTAAATGACAAGGCTATAAGGAATCCAACAATTTATTGCTCTCCTATGCTCGAGGAGACCAAATATAACAGTAAAACAGACCTAGCTATTGATATAACAGTAAAACAAAACTCAGCAGTAACTGAAATTAAAGATCATAGTGCGAGAAAATTTAAACAACCTGGTCCTGAGCTTTCCAAGTCACACTTATTAAACGACTTCTTCATCGATTCAACAGAGCGCCCTCGACCCCTCTTCCAACCCGAGAAGTCACCGGTCAACGGAATTGACGACGAAATCGGCATCGGAGACAACGCCAACGCCATTCCATCAGGACCATACTTCCTTGGCCTCCCTCTCTTCTTCTTAACATTCGTACCTGAAGTCACGGTCCCCATCACTGTCGCTGGAGCACTTACAGGTGCCTGAGCCGCAGGTTCGGTCCCGCCGGGGAACTGACCGGAGTTTTCATTCCTCGGAGCTACATGGAAGCTGTCCGGGGCATCGTTATCCTTCAGCACAAACCCAGAAGCAAAACTCTCCTTTTCCTCCATTTATATGAATCAGAGAAAAAAAAAATACAAAAGAAACACCAAAACCGCCAAAAAAATGTTTAAACCCCACCCATTGAAGATTTCAAACCTTTTTCAACCCCCAAAAATTAGAGAAATAATAAATACAATCCCGAATGTTGTTTCTTTCTGCAGAGGAATAGATTTGAATCCAGGACAAAGAAACCCAGAAATAGTACAACAATGACGTTCGAGCTCAAAAAGAAAAATTGCAATCTACAGAAAACTTCAACAGCTCAAAACCTTTTTCTCTAAAATGACAAAACAGACGAGAAATCCAGCAGTACAATCGCAGAAGTGGAACTTCTTGTCCAAAGAAAACACAGTGATGAAGCTCAAATCTCCACCATTGCAGACGCTACACAGAGCTTCAAAATTTCCAGAATTTCGAGAAAAAAATATCAACAATTACAGAGAAAAATAACACATCTGCTTCAAAAATTCTTCGTAGTGACATGTGAAATTTAGGGTTTTGCAGGAAAAGCTGTAGTAAATAAATAAAGTTGAAAATTGAAAATTAAATAAAATTAATAAAGTAATTAAATATTGATAATTTAATAATTAATTAATATTTTAATTGCAAAATTGGAAGTATAAATTGTGGTTAAGAAATTGGTTCACGTCCGTCTTGCAAATTTAATAAAGGTGATTTGAGATTTATTAAATGAATGTAAATAGAGATGCACCTAATTTGAATTTGAACAAATTAAAAAATGTAAATGATTCTTTTTTGGGGAAAAGAGAGGAAATGCCTTTTATTTTATTTGAATTTGTCGCTTATTTAATAAGATCTTTAAGTATTTATATACCCAAAGCTGTAAAGTTAAGCTTCCGGCCATTCCCACTGCTCCAACTACTGGCAAGTTGTTTATCTTTTCAGAGAAATTAAAGTTGACCAAAAATCTTAAAATTGAAAAGTCATTACTCACTAAGCTAATTAAGATAATTCACGTGAATATACTATATTATCTTTATTTTTTATTTTTAATAATTTCTAGAAAGATCCATAATGCACACACACATGATGATAATGAATAAGGATGGGGCACCATATACATTTCTCTTTGGTGATAAATAAATCTTGGAGTGAATTATACACTCTCTTGAAAGTTTGCTTAAATTCTAAATAATATGTTTGATTCCAAAGATTACTTTTACCTTCTTTTCATGTTTATTTATTAAATATGCTTTTAAAACAATAAATTATTCAATTATGTTTAGTTTCGTGATAAAAGTAAAATTCTAATTTTTGTTAAAATCTGGCATCATTTAAATTATTTCTAATCTCATCAAGAATGAAAAATTAATCTTACTGGATAACAAAATTAAATATGTATTATTTACTATAAAATATAAGACATATCCAGAAGTATTAGACCAAACGCAAAGAAAGTAAACAAGAAGCAACTAACAAGGGGTTAATTTGATGTTTGAGACTTTTACAACTTCAATTCAAAAGTTTTGCTACTTAAGTAATGTTTTGTTGGAGGGGATTTTAAAAATTTTTCCTCCCCTCTCCTTCCTTCCAATTAAACATAGCCTTAAAATTATTAAATCAAATGTTAAATTATTAAAATTCTAATTTATTTTTATCACTATTTTAGAGTAATTTCTAAATGTGTTTTTTTACATTTATATCTTTAAGATAACTTCTTCTCATAATAACTTTGAAATAGAAAAGAGATCCCTATGTGCCAAGTAATTGTACAAATAATATTAATATATAAATAAATGTGAAATTTTTAGGATTGTGGGCTAGGAATAATCACTCTTCCATTGTATACTTTTTTGTTTTGTAGTTGTTAAAGTTTCCAGATTTATACTATAACCTATTTCTAGAACATCAAACTCTATTTAATTAGAATCAGTAATTTAGGCTAAACTCAACTGATAAACTCAAATTCACTTAAAAAAAGTTAAAATCAAGTTTAACTACATGAGTTTTTTAAAATGGTAGGATATTTCAAGTCAAATTTGAATAAACTAGCTTGAATTGAGCCCAACCCGAATAAGCTCAATTGTTATAATTTTCAGCTCTATATGTATATAGAGTTAATAATTTTAGTCAAACTTGACAAGTTAACCTAAACCTGACCCAAAAAAATTAAGGTCAGACTTAACTATATGAGCTTTTTAAAAAAGGTAGAATACTTCAAACTCTACTTGCCTGAATTATCAGCTTTCAATTTTGCACTCAAACTATAAAGCATTATGTTCACATCAGTGTCACATTTACATGTTCAAATTGTTTCACATGACCAATTTAAATGATAGTGTTGTTTGAGGAGATAAATGAATGCAAAGTGTACGGTAGAATTTTATTCTAATGAACAAGACTTCTCATTTCAAATTAATATGCACACATCTCTTTCGTAAGATTCAGGAGCACTAATGCCTTGAGTGACAAAAAGTGATTAAGATTGAAAAAGAGGTTCTTTTCCTTTGTACCAAAAAGAAAAGATTGAAAAATAGGTTGATCTTGTCTAGGTTTGCCAGTTCTTGTTTTATTGGTTGTAATTAGTTTTTTCTTCCTTGCCTGCCATTTTTTCTTTATTATGATTTAATTTAACCTACACATATTTATATTGCTGACCAGTTCTTGTACTTTGATTTGGCCCATTCTTAGAAAGAGACCAGTTTCAGTCCCCTATATCGGTTTGTTTATTTCCTTTTTGTCTATTTGTATTATTTGGCATCATCCATAGATTCTTGTTGGGGATCCTGGCAGTGATCACATCGACGCCTTTTTTTATTTTCTTTTTTCCCTCTTTTTCATTGGTTAAATTGACAATTTAATTTCTAGTCCTGTATTTATGTAACATGCATGGATTCATAAAAAAATACCTAGTACAAATGAAAGCAGAGAATATTCAATATCAACATAATATTGGGGTAGTTCAACTAGCTCCATCTACCCTAAATAAACTCTGTGAGCAACAAAATTTCTTAAAGTCAATTTCTTAAAGTCCATGTTAAAAGGAAAGCCATGGCTCCAATCAACTTGTAAAAAACTTTATTTGAAGATCAAATGTAAAGAAACTAATCTCTTTTTTATTTATGACTCAAACAAAAAAGTATGTTTATATTAAATTTTAACATATAGATTAATCTGTACTTTTAAAACTTATCAAATCTAAATCATCAAATTCAATTTAACTATCTAGATTCGTAGTATTTCCTCCACAGCAATTAAGGAAAGCCAACTCCCAATATTAGCATCATTAGTAATCATTTAATGTTCAATATGATACAAAATTATCATAAATCATGAAAAATAAAATACAACTAATCATTTCAAAGCTCATGAGCTAATTATTTTTGGCCAAAGAAAGCTTATGTACAGACCTGAGACAGTTGTAGCAATGGATACAAGTGACACCAAAGAATCAAGCGTACTTGTAATATGCCAAAAATTGAGAAAGGCACATGTAACCCCAAATAAATAAATGACCAGAACCGTAAAACAGTGCCCAGACTTCAGATGGATAAACCTCTAGAATGGAGCATCTGATAGACGATGTACATGATTGACAAGCCAATCATTATGGACTTGACCAGTTTCTCTATTTCAAATGAATTGAAAAGATTTTTTGTGTAAAAAAATGCTAACACAACGCAAACCCAGCTCTTCTTTCCTCAAAAGAGTATTCAATCTCTTGAATCACCAAGTCACAGCCAAATGGAACTGAAACTACAGACGACGGCGTAGTGGGGATAGGGATAGGCAATACCTTTGGAGTCTTATTCTCTTCATCTTCTTCTATTGTTGCTGCTGCTGTCTTGGAGGGCGTAGTGAATGGCACATTTTTTATTGTAATAGCTTTTTGCAACTTTTCACTCTGTATGCTCAATTCATCTGCCATGTTTGCTTTTGATGATACCGTTGTTGAGGATATAGGACAAAAAGGTTGTCTCATCATAGGAGATTTTATGTCAAGAAGTGAATGCTTTTTTCCAGGGACACCAGCAGTATTGAATCCTCTTCTTGCTGCAGCCATGAATGAAATGGAGTCATGTGAAAGTTCATATGTGGACTATGAAGTATGAGAATCATGGTAAGGAATACATTCATTCTTGTCCATGGCTATGTTTGTGCAACTTATGTGAAACACAAACATCAAGGAAAGAGCTGTGCTAGATATACCAGCAGGAAACTATGGGAAAATCTATCAGCTGATGTAGCTTTGACTTCCTTCTTCAATATGAATCACAAAAAAATGCCTAAACCTTGCTTGGTTCCACCACAAACACCCTTATAACAAAGTCATCAAGAGTACGAGGGAGAATCCGTTGGAGCATCTTCGTCTAAAAAAAGGAAAACATAAACAAATATATCCATCTTTTGTTGGCAAATTATACATGTTAACTTTTGTTCATGGAGGTTGATTATTTCAATCATTTTGATAAGAAAATGAACCCAAACACACACACACACACACAAAATAAATGACCAAACAAAAAAGAGAGGAAGTGAAGAGAAGAGGAAAAAAAAATTGATCTTACCAACGATAATCCTCTTTTGGTTAACAATCTCTGGACCTAGAAACTAACCATCCCACCCACCTACTTACCACTTTCTTAATCCGAAGTCTAGGTGGCCTAATATGTCAAAAGATTGCTTGATCTCTGTGTTATCTTCTCAGCCAAACAGGAAGACACAGCTATCAAATTCTTAAAAGGTGAAAATATTGTAAACCCTAAACTTGACTAAAAATTACAGGAGTTAACAGAAACTACCTGATGATAAAGAAGAATTGCCATCATCAAAGTGGTTATATTCATCAATTTGGCGTGCATTTTCCGTCTTCCTTTTTGAGCGTGCTTCAATACCTTTTGAATCAGGTTTCATAGTTTGAAGCGTTGATCCGCCATGCCCTTTATTAGTTGCACCTCCACTGGAGGTCCTAGGTGCCTTTCTTGGAGTTTGAGGCTTTGATGAACTTGGTTTTGACCCATATCTTGCTTCCTGTTCTGCTATCATTATTCCATGAAGTTTCCTCAGATCCTGAAACAGTGTTGAAATTTTTCTGACAAGTTATGGATGAAATAAAGGAAAAGTTATAAGGATCCCACTTGTTAAGAAGGGGAAGTGCCTGTTTGGAAATAAATAAAGGGGTTTTAACGCAATAAGAGATTCATTACCCGTTGCCTACGTCGTTCTTGTTCTTTGTCTTCCCGTAATGTATTGTACTCTTCAAGCATAGAAAGCAGTGAGATCTGAAATACACACAACAGGATTCTGTTTAGACGTTGGAGTGGATTTAATTGAGTAACATGCATACGACAAAATATCATCAAAATTTCATTACAAGAGTAGCTCATTTAGGAGTCTTAGAGTGAATGCATACACCATCATATGCGAACTCAATTCCTCTTTCCTTTTCCCATGTGATGGTTTTTGAAGTCAAGGCATCCACCATTCCTGCGCAAAAGACACCCAATCCAACTACTATATACAAGTACATGAAACACGTGAAAAAAAAAAAAAAGCTGAAACATTTGACACAGCTATTGCAGGATTCTTTTCCCACATCAAGTCAAGTCAACTCACCCTTGACATCCTAACAATCAACCCCTCAAGTGAGAGTCCACCATTAACCATACATGCTCCCCCTATGAACACCCTTACTTGCGATTGAAATCCATAATTACCTGGCATTTTATTAACCAAGGCACGTGCTTTCTCAGCTCGCTTGAGAATAAGATGAGTTCCTTTTCCAGCATTATATCGATTCTCATCCTGGAAGAGAAAACAACATAAGCAACAAAATTGCCGAAAAGCTATCCAAAATGAAGGTGTTAAAGGAGGATGTAAGCAACTAACTCTGTTATATTCCTCCAGCCAAGTCTCCTCATCACGTGCTACCAGCCATTTCTCAACCTTCTCAAGTATTTCTTTTCGGCTAAAAGCTTCCTCTTTGACTTTGGCAATCTGAAGCTCAATTTGCTCGAGCACACAAGCTGGGTCTACAAATCCTACGGCAAAAAGGAGAAGGTACATATTTAGCTAGTGGAAGAAACAACTGCATTTGAGTCCTGCAATATGTCACTCGACAGAAAATTACCTGACTCTATAGCTTCAACAACAGCTTCAATTGCACTGTCTACTTCTGAAACCAAATGTGTCTTTCGACAAATCTCTTCTAGCTCCGTCCTTTTCCTCAACACAAGCTCTTTCATTTTGCTTGCTTTTATCTCTTCTAGCCTAGTTACTTCCGCCTCAACCTGCGTGAAAGCACAATTTCTCCCTGAATTATGAACCACATAAAGTGAATAAGATCGTTATCAATTATCATACTCCAATTGATTGACTCACGTAATGAATAAAGTCCACAGACAAGGTGTTAGGCTCAATCATTTCTTGTTCTGAAGCAGCTATGTTACTAGTGACATTCTGAAACTTCAGTTGCTCTTCGACTGGTGTATCCATCAAGTTCCAGAGCTCCAACATAGTCGTTGCAAGATCTTGGAGCTGCCCGACCAAGAGTAAATGCATTTATAGTATTAGCCAAAATAGGAGCACAAAATTATAATTCTAAATAAAAAGTAAGAACGAAATGAAAAATCAGTATTTACCTTCTGCATTCTCTGTAATTTAACGTCCCGCAGTTTTTGTATAGAAGCACTGAGCTGCTGGATTGTATCATCACTTACACTCTTAGATCCTTCAGAATACCCTAAACTAGGATGAAGGTCGCAGAGTGTCTGCTTAAAGTCCAAACCAAGCACTGACGTTAAAGATTTTACTGTATGTAATTGGTCTTGGACCTTCTTGAGACGTTCACTCTGCATAAAATGAAGATACAGGCATAATCAGTACTAAAGAGAACCAAAATCAGGATTTCAAACATGACTAAACAGAAAATAATTGACCTTTTCTTTTTGAAGTGTATGCAGCTGTCTATGCAATTCTTCAAGCTTTCTCAAGGTTAGATCAGATTCCTCTATGATACTTTTGATAGGAGCAGATTCTCTGGGCCCATAGATCTCATTAGATATACCTTGCATCTGCTCTTGGACTTCAATAAATTGATTTCTTCGGTCAGACCTCCTTTTCCGCATCTCCTCCAGCTCTGGAAGAACAATTTCAAGCTCTTCCCTCAAGCTTCCAGCATTTTTATCAGGCTAGAAAAATAACAAAGCGAGAGACAACCAATCCTCCTTAGCAGTCTAACTGGATAACAAATAATGTCAACAGCCAAAAATCTATCACTCGAAAGTCAAAACAGTATAGCTATTTGTTTCAAGTTTTACGATATTTTGACATAGATTAGTCCTCTTTATTTCTACATTTGATTTATGATATGGTAACCACATAGCGCAAGCTTTGGTGGAAACCTCTATAAAAGTTTTGGGGAAAAAAATTGAAAACTAACTTCACTACGATGGCTTTATTTCAACCCAGCACTTAGATAGGTCATGCCACCTTGGCATAGACTTTTTCCCCCACAATTTAGATAATACATAGAAAGACAAAAGTCAGCAATTTGCAAAATATCCTTGTCAGTAAAAAATGTCCAGGATATTTCTAACCTGTCTAGTATGTATAGGTCGCTCTCCCATTGCTGAACAGATGGCTGCAAGTTCAGCTTCAGAATCAGCAATTTCCTGCCTTAACTGAGCTCTCGACTGATTTGCCTGATCTACTCTTCTTCTGTACACCTCTAGACACTCCTGTTCGAGCTCAAATAATGTTTTATCTCTTTCGGTCTCAGACACCCCAACTTCATCCCAAATGTTCTGCTTATGGAAAGTGAGCCTTTGATGAGATTATCTCAAATTTAATTATGCATACTGGGCTTTTTTCTGGGGGACAGGGGGGAGGGAGATTCACAGCAAAATATAATGTATACCTTAAGCTCATAAAGAAGTGATCCGTATGTTGTTTCAGACTGTAGAAAAGGGTTATTTTGAAGTTTAGACATTTCGGAGCACTTATATCTGCCCAAAAAAAAAAAGCTATTTTGAAGGTTGAAGCATTGAAAAGATCAAAGCAGAGGAAACATCGTGCTAGAAATTGAAATATCATCAAATATAGAGGGGAAAAAAAAAACTTGCATCAGAAGTCGGATGACTAACTAGTTGAACAACCTATCAAGAGAAATTGAATGCCAGTACAGAACTATTCGTCATCTGAGAGGCGCTAGCAAAACGAATATAAGAAGCAGGAATTTTGAATATAATGTAGACTCAGTTTAGAATGTACGCTCAAGTTGTATTCCCGTCTCCCTCAAAAAAGTCTATTTGCACCAGAAATACTACAAAAGAATTTAAATTGACATGGGAGAATTCATAGCCAGTGCATAAAAGACGGGCATCAATCCCATCATGATATGGCTCAAATATGAAGTTTTTTAATGAGATGATGACATAACATAGTTCTTCAATATTGAATTGCCGAACATGAAGCGCGTATTGTTTTCCTTATAGATACGTTTGAAAGCTAAAACCCACAGGCCACAGGCCACTCCTTTATTACAAGGGACAAGCCCACGAGCTCATTAAAAGGACATAGGAATTATCATTTGTCTTAATCCCTTTGGCACGCTACACCGCCAGAATCGGGGTGATAAATGAAAAGAACTAAGATAGTAATTGTTCTTTTCATTATCCCACCATCGTGCTAGTGAAAACTGATGATTGATCAATCAGAGATTCAGAACTCATAATTTCAAATTCCTACGGAAGAACATAACATTCTGCAGTTAAAAAGTATCTCAGCTGGAAAACGGGAAACAAATATATGATCCATGACAAAACAAGAAACAAGACACAGAGAGAATGGTCGAGAGTGAGAAACTGAGAATAGCAATTCACAATGCGAAAAGAAAGATGATCATCAACGACCAAGGATATACAAGAGCTTGATCAAATTGGAAACCAACTTGAACGAGGTTATATTTGAACTGAGCTATTAATGTCTCGGTCCTAAACAAGGCAATCCCGCTGTTCCTGTTTCCGCCACGTCCCTCGGAAACAAGATTATGGGAAAATAAATGAAACAAAACGAAAATCAAATAAATGATCCAAGGACTGACCTGAACAAGAAAGCAGGGAATGGTTTGTATTGGAAATCCAAATTCTTCGCTCCCGAGAAGAGGAGAGTTCGCGAGGAATGATCTTCCAGAGAAAATAGAATTTGGATTTTCTGGAAAAATATGTTTTTATGAGAAAAGGAGATTTTTCATTTGAGGTTTTGTATGGTGAGAAGAAAAATTAGAAAGGAGTAGAGATAAAAGAGAAGGCGAGAAATTGTAGCCGTTGGTCCGTTTCGGAGCGTTGCGAGCGAAATTGATTTGGTTTTTTAATTTTTGATACTATGGGGTCTTTTTTAAGAAAAAGAGAGGTGGGGAAATTGACGGAAATTGACAGATATATTTTCTTAAACAATGTAAAAGATAATAAATAAAATCTATAAAATATCATAATTCTTTTTAAATTTTATAATTTATTTTTATATTAATAATTTTTGATAAAATAATTAAAATATTTCAGATTAAATTAAAAAAGTAACAGCTCTTGTTAAAAAATAAATATTAGTAATTATTTTAATTTAAATAATGATTAGTTTTTTTATTAATGACTAAAAAACAATTACAACTTCCTTGTGTATATTTTTGATTCACCGGAATATAATCGTTATAAATATATGTGACTTTTTTAATTTAAACAATGATTTTTTTTTTACAATGATTAAAATACAATAAGTGATACTCCCTCCATCTCAAATTATAGGATACTTTTAAAGAAATTTTTTTGTTTTAAAATATAAAACACTTTGAGTAAATTAAAGTTTCATTAGATGCATCAATTTTAATAGTACCTTTTTTCTCTCTATAATAAATTTTTGTCCTCTCTCTTTTCAATGTATTAAATGATAGATATTTTTAAAAGTTTATATTTTTATTTTAAAAAAATAAAATTATTAAGTATATTTAATAAAGTTTATTGGTATGTGAGATTTTATTTAAAAATATCTTATAATTTGAGATGGAGGGAGCACAATTTTTCCTGTGACAATTTTTTGTTCATTGAGATGTAAATATTATAAATATACGTGAACACTTAAATTTAAGCAATAATTATTTTTCTTTTAGTAATGTCTAAAATGATGCAAACAATAACAACTTTCCCTATACAAATTTATGATTCATTTAAATCTAAGTCTTATAAATATATGTGACTACTTTAATTTAAATAATGATTGCTTTTTTTATTATGATAATGACTAAAATAAAACAATCAACTACTACTTTAATTTAAACGGAAAGTATTTTAGTTATTTCATAAAAAATTATTAATATTAAAAATGTTTCTAGAGATTTGACAAGAGTATAAATTATACTCACTCCGTTAAAAAATATAAGACATTTTTAATTAAATTTTACCTCTCAATAAAGTGATTACTTTCTTTCAAACTAACCATATATTTTTATATTTATTTTCATTAAACATCCTATAATAAATATAAAGTCATTATCAATAGGGGTATTTTTAAAAAAAAGGCAGTGATTACACTTCGAAAGGTTAAAAATGCTTTATATTTTTTAATATATAACTCCTTAAAAAATATAAGGGGAGAGTAACATTTTGTAGGATGTTGTTATCATTTGTATATTTCAAGAGTTTTCTGCCATTTTCCTTTTAGAAAATGAAGAATGAATGAATAATAATATCTGACATCAATTCTGGGAGTACGTTTGAATTTCAAATACACAAGGCCTTAATAAATCGCCGGTTCTTAATTGGAAAATGGCTGGTAATGAATGATCCAAATCCAACCGTTAACAACGGGCATATGTTTCTAAATTCATTTAACTTGAATTTACACAAAATCTTTAGATCCTTCTGTATTTTTTTCTATATTCATTATCACTAATATATCAATATTAACAAATTATATAAAAGTAAATAAAAGTATGGCATTGAATATATGTAATATACTGGCCAAATAAGAGTATATGTAATTTTATACAAAAGAAGAAGAAGAAGAATATATGTAATTTACTGTCATGGAACCAATTCTCTATACTTACCAAAAAAACATATGTAAAAGAATAAAAGATTTTTTTTTTTAAGAAAAAACCACATTATGCATAAGAATGTGTAAAATTTCCTTTCAGAAACCATGAAAGGAGGCTAATCCCACTTTTTGAAAGATAAATAATACTAATAATTAAAGATTAATCTAATCATTATACATATAAAATATTAAAATTAAAAATATACTTAGAATTATTGTGTTTCTTAATTACCTACAATATTTTAAAATAATCTCATATTTTCCACGCAATATTACAAGGATAAGTGAACTAATCTTGCCTTGCATACTTCAAAGTAAATTAGCCTTGCGTATGATAGACGTGCTGCATGCGCCATGCAGGGGAAAAAAGAGAGGATGGAGGAAGGTGTTGGATTGAAATTTGCATGCATTCATGCATTCATGAATGAAAATCCACAAACGTATTAGTAACAAAATGTCACTACGCCTCACTTATTACAACAGGTAACAATTTAATTCAATGGAGTGAAACCAGATCATACTATATATATATATACATATATTGCTAGATACAAAGGAATTAAGGGATGAACGAATTTAGCCTATGAAAAATTCTAGCTCCCAAGGTGATGGAACTTTTTTAATAATGGATTTCTATCTTTACCTGAAGATTCTAGCTGACAAATATCAAGGAGGGGGGCCTGGAAAAGAAATGAACTTCAGGTTCATGGTGACCTTCCACTATTAAACTCTCTCCTAATGATTTCAAACACTAATTCATTCCAGGTATCCACAGGACCAGGCATGCACCAATGCAAGCAATCCTGTGGTGGGGCCCTTCCATCAGCTCCACGTTTTGTGATCTTATTTAGGTCAGGGCTCCTGTATGGACCTGGATGACCATCATGGCGGTACTGAAATGCATCAGTGATATCCATCAATATCAACTTTGATCTGTTCCTTGCCTTCTTCATTGCAAGGTTAAACCCGTTAACTTGTTTCTCATGCATTGTGTCAGTATAACCATTTCTCACCATTTCACCAGCTGCAAGAGGCTTAAGTTTCCCGGTGCATGATCCTCCTGTATTCCAAGCCCCACCCTCATAATGATCTGGTGAATGGGAGCGCAAAATGGTGAGTCCTGTGTAATTTGGATGATTAAAAAGAGCAGTGAGGATTGTTTCAACAGATATCCCATATGCTTCTATGTTATTGACCTTCATAGGTATGGACTTGTCTGGCCACCACAACTGGCCTCCTACTATCTCACTGTTAAGTATGTATACAGATTGCTTCGCAAACCAGTGGCCAGAAGAAAGGACGACCACATCAAAGGTTGGGATAAAGTTCATGACCTTTTCATCAGGGGCATCAAGATGGAGCTTGTCCACACCAGCTGGAGCAAAATCAAAAGGCTCATTTGTGACTTTCACAAGCCAAGAGGACCATATCCGAACAATCATTACTGATGCGGACCTGAAATAATATCGTTGCATGTTTCTGTTTCCCCTGTTCTTGGGTACCTCTACCTGGAAAGAAAGTTATATTCCAGTCATGCATTTCATTGGTGATAAATGCATGCCCACTGTGCACCCACACTTACATGTATAATGGAGAGACACATACAAACACACACTGGAGGAATATTTGAGAAGCGAAGGGAATCATCAACAACCATTAAATTTACAGTTGATATAAAAATACTTTCTCAGTGTAGAGGGGAAGCCATTTGATAACTACCCTTGAATATGTATTTGGCTAAAAAAAGAAAATGTAATAACCGTCTCACTATGCACATACTTAAAAATAGAGAACACATGAAGTGAAGGGAATCATTAAGCCACAACAGTTATGAAAATGCTAACGGGAAAACCGCCTGATAACTACCTTTGAATATGTATTCGGCTAAATAATAACTGTTTCTCTTAAATTTTGCATCAAAGGTTTATGAATTCATCTTGGCCACTTTCTGGCAAGAAAAGCAATTCAATGGTAGAGAGCTAAGGCCACATAAAACAAGTCATATCTTGCTAAACCCAAAGTTTCCTTTCATTGTTGCGAAAACTTTTCCATATGAAGTTAGTATAAGAAGGTGGAGGGCCACATGATCCCATTTTTTAGGGGGAAAATGAAGAGAAAGCTCATATTAAATATCTCTAATTGCTCTTCAACTCTTTAGCATGCTCATTAACCAATCACTCCAGAAATATAACTATATAGAAATAAGTCATAGCTTCAAGATGCCAGGTCAGTGATAAAGTTCTATACAAAGTGTGGAATAAAGAAAATAACCTGCCAAAGGATACACAACATTGATTCCATCTGATTTCGAGCTACTGAATCTCCAATAAAAGCCAAGGTCTTCCCTCTCATTAGCTCCAAAAATTTATTTGGATCAAATCGTGGGAGCTCACACTGAAAGGGCTTCCATCTCCAATTCTCATAATCCCTGTCAGGTCTTCCATTACCCTGACAGTTCTGCATCTGAGTCAATATAGGGCATGAATTGTTTGTATATAATGGTCCCAATGGATCATGTATCCAATTGCCATGGTATAAATCACAGCCTGCACAATATACAATGCAAAATTTTATCATCTAAAAACTAAGATCAAGAAAAACCCTCATCCTTATATCATGGAAAACAAATGCTTAGAGATGCCACATTTGCCATATCATCGTCTGACGCAACCAAAATTGTTTTTGGACAGAAATATATGTCTTTTGTTATTGAATGCTTCTACCTCAGATGATTATTTTTTGAACCCCTAGAATACCACGCACTAAAGGACTATGGTGCATGCTAACTTAGACCATTGCCCATAGAATACCAAGTATTTGATATCTCATTAGAGAGAAGCTCTAAATGTGTAAGGCATGTCGTATATACGCATTGTATATATATCTCTCTCCAGACATAGGATGCATAAACCTTGAATTAGACATCAAAGCGCTTCTGCATTAAAATGAGCCACCACATCCAAAATAGAGATAAGGTTCTAATACATGTTCCTTAGTTTAGCATTATGTAATTATGAGCTTTAGTGTTATCTATTGTAATGAATAGAAGTTTCTTGGGAGTTAAAAGTATAATACAATGCCAAAGATGTGCCAGGATCTAACTTAACCATTAAGCATCACATGAAAAGAATAGCTATAAGGTTCATTAGACCAAACTATTAGTTTTTCAAACTTAACCATTATGATATACTCTAACTTCTAGATCCACTATAGCAGGGACATTTCACTCTTAATAAGAAGCATTTTTATTATTATATGAAACTTGTCATGCAAGCAACCTGTGCTTCTTTCATATTCAGTCATTTGACCCTCCCATCCTTCTACAACTTTGTATTTTGATCAGACCAAACCCCCCTTTCCTCTCTAAGTTTATTGTTAAAATTTAATAGAAAGGTAATGAAAAGGTATTAAATAAACAATATTACAATTGCAAGTTATATGCCTCAAACAAGTTACTAGTGATATTCAAGCTCCAATGAATTTCCAAAACAGAGAAAAGTAAAGGGGTAAAAAAAACATAACTTAATTTTATAATTGATTATAGGAAAAATTAATTTTTTAGTCCTCCAACTTTTAAGTCATTTGTGACTCAATCCCTCAACTATGACTCGTTGCGACTCAGTCTCTCAACTATAACTCGCCTATGACTCAGTCCCTCAACTTTTGAATCACTTACAAATTAATCTCTTAACCTTTGTCAATTTTTTTTTCATATTAACTTATATCTCACATTAATGAATAAGAAGAGGGTATTTTAAAATAATATATGAGCATTTTTTATCCCTCTTATTTGATAAAAAAAATTTAAAAAAAATTAAAAAATAAGGACCGAATTATAGGTAAATCAAAAGTTGAGGGATTGAGTTACAACGAGTTACAGTTGAGGAATTGAGTCATAACGAGTCATAGTTGAGAAACTGAGTTACAAGTGAGTTAAAAGTTGAAGGGCTAAAAGATTAATCTTCCCTTAATTATATATGGCAAAATCACTAATGAAATGACAAATTGTTCAGGGCAAAAGGATAAGAAATACAACCTGAATCAACTATACCAACATGGGATGCATTATTTGAAGCCCCAGATGATGCTTGAACGGGCTTTGATATGGAAACAGGAGGTAAAGAGTTCCCATTTGATGATGTACTTATGGCACTTGACACATCTATCAAATGCACAGAAGCAGGTTCATTGATTCTAATATTACTTGTCATATTAGAAGAATTGGTACCACTATCTGCAGTAGAAGATGCTGCATTTGAATGAATGGGTAAGCTAATATTAACCACTTCTTCCCGGAAGCCCAGTGGTACCACATGTTCTTGTGGGTTAGAAGCTGAAGCAACAGAAGTTTCTAATCCATTCATCTCCTTGGTTTTTGGAAATTTTGGTGAAGTAGAATCATGGAAGGATACTGATGAATTTGATATGGTATCATTGTGTTCTCTGTTTGTATTAGTTGACAGATAACTAGAGGAAACTGTTGGAGATTGTAGATCAGAAGATACATCATTATGGACTAGATCCAAACTTTCATTCAAGTTAACATTTGTATTGATTGGAGAGACTGGCAAATCAAACTTTTCAACATTGTCTACACCATAGAAATATCCATGAATTGAGGCACCAACGGGGTAAGATACAAGAACCCAGGAAGCACAAATTAAAAATACAGCTAAGCCTCCCATTGAGACCACAATCCAAGAAAGAGACCTGGGATGGGAAGACATTCTAAATTTAAACTGCTTCTTAAAGCATAAAAGCTATCATAACCGCAAAAGATTGTCAAAAACAGAGGTTTCGATAGCGAAAATTGCCCAGAAAAGCCCTGTTATCGCACAAATAATCAAGGAAATTATAAAATTAGTTTAAACTATGGGTAAATATGGCATGAAATAGTCGGTCTCATATCAGCTACTGCATCCCATCATTCGTCGATCATATGTAATCGGCATTAAACTTCAAGACTCGGGACCCCGAGAAGAACGACATATAATTCTCAACGTGATTCGAATATCTAGAGTAGGAAAAAGGACCAAAACTTATTGGGATCACTAGATGAATGAATATGATGCAACCTAGTGTGTCAAGATTACAGCAAATATGGCTTTAAAAACAAGCTTTTAGTCGCTGAAATTTGGGTATGAATCAACGCATTGGAATGCCAATAACAAATAATTCCGGGAACTATATTATAATCGGGTAACAAGTTCACCCTACAATTTAAGTCCAAGTATATGTGTGAAATCAGGGAAGCTTTTCCCCTTGATGATACTTTTCTCTTCGTGCAAGGGACCGATATTCAGTCGTAACTTGTAAATAGGAATAAGCACCCAGAATATTGAGCACCAGAAACTTGTTTTGTTTTCCTCAATTTTATATATCAGTTTATAATTTTGTGGTGTTCTGTTTTCCTTGTTTTTAAATTAAAACAATCTTTGGCTTCTACATATTTTTACAGGTTAAGGGTTAATTTTACCTATAAAATATATATAAAATATCACAAATTTAGGTATGTCATGCCCTTGGCGTTAATTTCTTATTATGTGGATCCTACGTTAAAATTTTTTAATATTTTTATTATAAAATATAATAATGGCCCCCACTATTTTTTATATATTTGTTATAATATAAAACTATTACTCTCTCTCCCCTCTACCTTCTCTCTCTCACCATCCGTCTCCTCTCGTTCCCGCTTTCTCTCTCTATCTCTTGTCTCCCTCTCTCCTCATATGCTTGTCATCTTCCGCATCTCCAACTCATTGTGGACCGACTTTATAAAGGATGACAATGGTGTTGTTCTTCCACCAGTAGTGTGTTGTGGCAACCATGACAGTTTCTCTCCTACTCCTCACTAAACTAGTTCTTATTCCCCAAACTCATGCATGCCCACAAAGTTCATCGAAAAAGTTGAGTTGGCAGATGATGAGGGCATCTCTGGGGGGGGGGAATGCACACAAACAAAAACAAGATACAAGAGGAATCATGGCCTCCCCGACAGTCATCACTTTGTGCACCACAGTCTTTATAAATCTCATTACAAACACCTCCACCTGGTCCCCTATGTTCACAAATATGGGGTTGTCCTTTGACGAAGGAATCTCTACCCACTTCCCATCTCTCAAGAACTCAAGACTTGGCACTCGTTCATCTCGCAATAGCAGGATCATCCCTCATGCACCCTTACATTCTCTCAATCCTCTCATCACTTTTGGTTTTTGACATTGAAGTAGGGGAGGGGAAAGAGATAGGAGAGAAGGAGAGGGATTGTGAGAGAGGGGGGGGGGGAGGAGAGAGAGAAGAGAAGGAAGAGGGGGATGAAACCTCATGCATCCTTATGCTCTCTTGACATACCACAAGAGAAAGAGAAAGAGAAAGTAATATTTTTATATTATAAAAAAATATTTAATAGTAGGTCCTACTATTTTTATATATTTTTATAATAAAAAATTATTAAAAAATTAAATGTGGGACCCAAATAATGAGAAATTAACACTAGGGGCACAACGGTCTTAAATTTTGACATTAAGGTATATAATTGACTCATAGTTGAGTTTAGGATCATTCTGACCTTTCATGTATACTTCAATGACAAAATTGACCTTTAACCCTATTTTTATCCTATCTATCTTGAAGGTTATAAGAAAAATTAATCATCTAGTCCTTATAGTTTTGACTTATTTATAATTTAGTCTTTCAATTGTAATTGGTCATAACTCAATCCCTGAAGTTTTGACTTGATTATAAATCAGTTATTGAACTTTGCCTCTTGTAATTTAGTTCTTAAAATTTTAATCTTTTAAATATTGACTCCTATATTTTAAAAAATAAAATTATAAAAATTAAAAGAGTTTAATAATTTAAAATATTAGTAATAAATTTTAAAATATTTTTAATCTTTATAATTCTATTTTTTAAAATGTAGGGATCATTATTTAAAATTTCAAAATTTTAAAAACTAAATTGGAAGAGGTAAAGTTTAGGTACTAATTTACAACCAAGTCAAAATTTCAGGAACTAAATTATAACGAGTTAAAATTTAAGAATTAAGTTACAACAAAGTCAAAACTACAAGGATTAAATTATTAATTTTTTCAAGGTTATATTATATCAATTTATACTTCATTTTATACATAATTTCTTTAAAAATATATTTAATTAAACATTTTCATCCTTTTTCACAACTAGTTAATTTCATCTTGTAAAATTTAATTATGTCAATTCATTGATACAAATTAGTTGGGAGTTATTGTGTTTTTAGGAACTAAATTGTAAGAGATAAAGTTTAGGGACTAATTTATAATTGAGTCAAATCTTCAGAAACTAAGTTATAACTAGTCAAAATTTAGGGACTAAGTTACAATTAAGTCAAAACTACAATGACAAAATCATCAAGTTTCCCAAGGTTATATTTTATCAATTTATACTTCGTTTTATCCATTATTTCTTTAAAAATATTCTCCCTCCGTTTAAAGATGTAAGGCATTTTTAATCAAATCTTACTTTCAATAAAGTAGTTACTTACTTTCAAGCTAACCCTATCTTTCATATTTATCTTTATTAAACACCCTATAATAAATATAAAGTCATTATTAATAGGAACACTTTTGAAAAAAAGGCAATGATTACATCTCAAAGGGTTAAAAATGCTTTATATTTTTTTATATCTAACTCATCAAAAAATACCTTATATTTTTTAATGGAATGAGTATTTAATTAAACATTTTCATGCTTTTTTACAACTAGTTAATTTCATCTTTTAAAATTTAACTATGTCAATTCATTGACTCAAATTAGTTAGGAGTTATTTTGTTTTCTTCGATATAATTGTGAAATATCTCATATCGAGATCAATTAACACCTTCTTCTAAGGTTCAATTTTATTGACCACCCAAAAAAATATTACACTTTATTGATGTAGTTCTTTTATTCATAAAATTTGAATCCAACTCTACTTGAGTGAAATTGAGTTCTCTTCACTCAATGATTAAATTGTTGGATGTTAAAATGGAAGACACTTATCTAAGCTGATCCAAATAATTAAATATCGGAGGAATATATTTTCTCCTGCTCATGGATCTGCATTTTTTCTTGCTTTCTTTAAAAAAAAATCAAAATCAAAGGGATATAACATTGAAAAGGAATAGATGATATGAATAACAATCCAAAACATCAAAAGCTAACCAATGCTTTTGTAGTGTATATAAATAACATATAAATCATCACCATTATTAATCGTGGATTCAATCTATATATCATTATATTATAATATTTTTTATACGTAGTTGTTATGTCTATATATTCTTAACAATTTCTATATTTAGTTGGTGCACCGTGACTTGAGTCCATGTATCCATACACTCAAGTTTGCTATAAGAGATAATGAGGATTTATTTTGGGGCATAAACATGCTTATGCTCAATTGTCCATTCTATTACACTTATTAATTTTTGGAAAAACTAATCATTCGATCTTTTTAGTTTTGATCTAGTTATAATTCAATCTCTCAACTTTGACTCTTACTATAACATCCCAATTTTTAATCGCCTACTTAATTAAACCTAATTAAGGTAATTAATTAAGTTGAGGTGGTGTGTGACTAGAGAGGTCTAATAAGCATAATTGATTATATTTCAACCCAAATTGTGGGTTTGATAGCAAGGCGGGTCACCCGAGCATCAAAATGAGAAGAAAAATAAAGAGTGATGTTGCTGTGCTATATGTCGTGGTGTGAAGATCATTCGTCGTAGTGCACAGACACTTTAAATGTGAAGGAGGATCTCTTTGTGCCATGCGCCGTGGCGCATTATACGTTCGCTGTGGTGCATGGTCATTTTTTGCAATTTATCAGATGCGAACCTGAGACAAAAAAGAGAGAAGAGAGAGAGAGGAGAACGAAGAGGACGCACCAAGCTCTACTAGAGTTTTCTAGTAGACAACATTGAGAGTATTTTTGAGGCTACAAACACCTAAAGTAAATATTACACTCATTAATCTTTTCATTTCTTCCACATTTATAAGTTTGTAGTTAGGATTTGATGGTGGAAGATGATTTTTGTTCCATATAGATTATGGGTTTGAATTTATTGACTTAAATAGAGTTAATGAGAGTAGATTAAAGTATCTAAACCTGGGTATAATGAATTTTGATATCTTGAGTTGTTGGGCACCATTAATATCCAAAATTTGTATTTAATGTGGATGGTTGGAAGAATATGATATCATTAATGGGATTTTAATGACTCATTAATGCTATTAGGAACTAAAGATGGATAATAAATCTAATGGATATGCTCAAACTCTTGTAAAGTGATTATTTGACGATTTAGAAGTGGAGATTGAGGGTTTAAATACTTGAGTTGGTCATGGTGATGAAATTCAACTTGATTGATTGTAGTTTTTTGCTCTTAGACACCTGTTTGGCTTGGAATTCAAGTTTGAAAGCTAAAACATTAAAGGGTAAATCTTTGACCTCTCAAAAGTTTGAGATAATCGAGAAAATCTTACTTTTAGTAGTTATATGTTAATTGATTATTTAATGTGAATTGTGAATGTTACATGCATGGAATTGATTTTCAACATGAAATCATGTATCATTTTTAAGGTGTGAATAAAAATTTAAATGTGCATAATGCTATTTTGGCTTAAAAATGCAAAATGTGAAATCAAGAGAGTTTTTGAATTATGAACATGCTTATGCTTTTGGAGTATGAATGTGATATTGTGTAAAGGTAATTGTGTGTTAATGAGAAGTGAATTTCAAGATAAGTGAGAATAATATTGAGAAAATAATGAGAAAATGATGAGAATACACACTTGGGTAGCGCACGATTATAAGTCCAACGTAATTGTTATGATAATAAGTAAAAGAAAATGAAAATATGAAAATGAATGAGTATTGATTATGGTATGATCAGTGGCGGGAGTTCATTTGGGGATTAGGAGTAGAGAAAAATTCATATGGTATTTAGGCTGCCCTCCGGTGCACGAAGGTATAGCCTTGTTTCACAGTTTGTCAATGGACTGTCTCATAGTTTATCGAGGAGTTAGAACTTAGCTATCTCTACCAGTTCAATACGAAAAATAGCCTAGGGTATGAGACACCTTAGGTATTCGAGAATGGGGGAAGCTGTGGTTTGAGGGTGAGTCATGTAATCTTTAGCCGGGTCACACCTCACGATTGGTGAGCTTAGATAGTCCAATTACACGGACAAAATTTTATTCAGTATTGTAACCCATGGTTTCAGTCAAAGAAAATAAGAAGGATATAAGGTTGGTTTATTATTGCCTATACATATATATGACGTGTCACACGTGTTGAGTTATAGCAAGTCGCATGAATAAGGGCTCATGTTACATATCTGAAAGTATGATAACAATGTAAGTAGTACATGTGAGATAAAAAAGTTATTAAATGAGAAACGGTAAGTTATGATATGTGTGAGTATGTTTTGCTTACTTGGTTTCTTATGCATGTACTTGGTTTATAATTGATATATAACTGTATAGGGTAGGTTTTTACCTTGATTACTAAGTGGTTAAACTCACCCTTTTTAATTAACACTTTTTAGGTTCTAGTTCTGATGCTGAGAGAGAGAAGACTCAAGAGGCTAGGAATTAGCATATTTCTACTATATGCCTTTGGTTTAGATTTATTTTGTGTAATAGTATATGATTGTCAATTCTAGATTGCATGCCATTATACTTGCACTATTTTGTTATTGAAAATGTTAGATTTGTATTTTAAGCCCTGAATGTTGAGTTATATATGTTTATAGGGCCAAAACACTAGTATAAGTGTAAAAATGATGATTTGAAGATGTTTTGATTGATTAAGATATTATGCAATGCCAATTTACCTTCCACCTTTGTTTTTGGTAAAAAGAAGTGAATTTTTGTTATATTATGGTTTAAGTGTGTGTGACATGTTGTATTAATAGTTTTAAGTCCAATAGACATGTTTCAAGCGTTAGAAAATGTTTTTGACATTTATTGAGGGTTTTGGACACCCCTTTTATGTGAAAATTGTGAAAAATGGTAAAAATATGTTTGGGTGTCCAACTTCATAGTATGATTTGTTTTGAAAGTAAAACCAATGCCATTAACTTATTCATGTAAAGAGTTTTTCATAGACATCTAAATCATGTCATTTGGATGTCGAATAGAGAATCGGGGCGTGTTAGAAGTTCCTTAATTTTGCTGTCAAATGACAACAGAATTTGCTAATTTTTTATGCAACATGCTGCGGTGCATGACATCTGAGCCACGGCGCATGGCACAGGGAGCAACACGCTACGACATAACATGCGCGAGCCGCGATGTACTGCTCTGTCACATATTATAAGAGTCATTTTTCACTTGTTTTCAATTTCTTCTACTCTTCCGAGGTATCTCATGCTTCTATAACTTATTTTTACTCTGATATAGAGAATTTGGATTGATTTAAATTCTTTTTTTTATTTAGAAAACTTGGATCCCTTGAATTTGAACTACAGCTTGGTAATCATCTTTTTGAATTAAATATTTAATTACCATGAACTATATTGGCTAATTGTACTTAGTAGAGTGAGACTTTACACTTACTACTTGATCCCTAGGGTTTTAACTATTTAAATATTAGTTTTTATATTTTAAAAAATAAGATTATAAATATTAAAACTATTTTAAAATTTTAATCTTTATAATCTTTATAAATATTAAAAGGGTTTAGTAATTAAAATATTAGTCATAAATGTTAACATAATTTTAATATGTATAATTTTATTTTTAAAAAATATAAGAATTATTTTTAAATGATTAAAATTATAGAAATTGAGTTGTAATGGTTAAAGATGAGAGACTAAATTATAACTGGGTCAAAATTATAAGGATCGAGTTACAACGAGTCAAATTTAGGGATTGAGTTACAACTAAATTAAGACTTTAAAAACTAAATGATTAATTTTTCTTTAATTGTTTTCACCCTCAGTAAAGCAATACGATTAAGTTAGTATGAAATACAAAATTATCAAGTCAAGCAATCAATAAAGACATTATGGGTATGTTTGGATACCCATAAACAAAAAGTTGATTATGAATAATATTAATTAATATAATTTATTTTGAATATAATTGATTATGTTATGTAATATATTAATTAATTTATATATAATTAATTTATAAAATTAATTAATAAGATTAATTGTAAGTAGATTTGAAAAGCATAATTTAAGACTACAATTGAAAATTGATTAAAATCATAATTTTGTGAAAATATATTTAAACACCCCATTACATGTAAGAATCAATTACAAACTCAAAATTATAGTTTTCTTAAAAATATTCAAACACCTCTATCATATGCCAAAATCAAATATGAACCAAAAATTCTAATTTTTTTAAATATCCAAACATCTTAATACACATCAAAATCAATTATGAACTCAAAATCACAGTTACTTCATAAGCTACTATTACCTATTTTTCAATTATATTCTTATAAAACTTTCTCAAAAATCATATAAATTGTATTTTATAAATCATAATTTTGGGTCATAATTGATTTTAGCATGTAAGGCGTGTTTGGATATTTTTAAGAAAATCATGATTCCAGGCTTATAAGTCATAATTTATTTTAGCAAGTAACAAAAAAGTGTTTGTATATAATTGAGGTGTTTGGATATATTTTTATGAAACCATATTTTAACCTTTAAAATTGATTATTTCATGTATCCAAACATGTACTACCATTTTTGCCCACCAAGCCCATTCATTCTTGATCACAATTTCTCACCAAATTAAGAATTAAGGTAATTTTAAAGTTTAGAAAAGAACATGCATTTGCATGCAAATCAAAGTATTAAAAATTAGACTGATCATTGAATCGGTTGAGATCAAGGGTCAAGGGTTCAACTGGGGTTAAACCGGAATCAAACCAATCATAATAAAATATTATATATTTTTATTATATAATAAATAATAAATATTTTGTTAAAAAAATAATGCAAATCTATAAAATTCACAATATATAAATATTGTTGTCCCTTATCTACTTGTACCTATGTATTTTTAGTTTGGAAAATATAACTATGCTTTTTCATTTTTCAATCACCTCAACTTTTTAAATTTTCCTCACATGTTACACAATTATCGTTTGGTCTTCATCTTCTTCTTTCTTCATTTGCATCTCTCTTCTTCTCTCTTCAAAACCTTAAGGATGAGGACGACAACAAATGAGACCCTCCAAACTTGAAGAATGGATGACGCGACGGAGAGGCTTGAGAAGAAGCTTAGTTGCTCATGTTGAGGGAGAGATATGAGAGGCAAGAGTAGAGAACAAATCAAGAGGGTGGGCGGAAGAAGAAGAACAAACGAAGAAGGCAAGAACAAGACTCAAGAGGTGTAGAGATCATAATTTTAACAACACACAAGAGACCAAGTAATTCATTCAGGGCTTTTGGCCTTTTTTTAATTTTTTTTTGATAATCTAAACCCCAAATTGATATGGTTTTAGCCTTTGGAGGTTAGATTTTTCAAAGAAAAATCAACCCGCCCAACTCGCCTAACTCGGAGGATTGTAGGGTTGCCTGAGTTAACTTGGGTCAACCGAATCCAGATTGGGCAAGGAAATCAGACCGGACAGGCAGTTGAGTCACTGGCTCATTGGTCTGACCGGCCGGTCTGATTTTAAAAATCATGATGCAAATTTAGCTAACGTAAACTATACTCCTCCAGTCTCATTTATAAGATACATTTTAAAAGATTTATTTGATTCTATTTATAAATTATGGTGCTTTGTGTAATATTTGAAAAATATTTCTAAAATTATTGAGAGAGAAAAAGTAACATGAAATTACTTTTTATATTTATTATATAGAGATATATTTAAAATTTTGCATACTTTTATTCATTTTATTTTTTTTTGTATTATTATCAATTTGATTGATAGAATCACTCATAAAAATGATTTATAAAGAAGATTAGAAGAGTAAGAATTAATTTTTTTTGAAAATAATTATATATTGTCAATGTCAATGTTCTCCCGATAAAATGGGTGGGTTTTTTTAATAAAAAATCTAAATCATTTAAATTACATTTATATATTTAAAAATTATTAAATCTAAATAATTAAATTCAAATTAACAACTTAGATTTGCTGTAGCGCTTTTCTGCTCTCCGATGCGGAAAGCCAACTCAACTCCGATAAGTGAAGGGACAATCAAGAGGGCTCAACCACTGTTCGAGCTTGGAACGTCTCTGCCAGAGCTGTCCTTCCCTATCCCTGAACACCGCTGAAAATCCATGACAAACGGCATACGCACTCACCCAAACCCACTAGAGAGGCTCTCTGTCTAACTCGCTCTCTCCCTCTCTACCCCGCTCTCTCTGGGTTTTGCTCTAATGGCCGCCATTCCCACGCTCTCGCCCTCTCTACCCACAATTTCTCTTCAGGCTTCTCCTTCTTCAGCGTCTTCAAAGCCAAACCACGTACAATTACCTTCTGCTCTCGCTCTGAGCTCTCTTTTCGGTACCAGAATCGCGATTCAAACTTCAAGTTCATATCGTTTCCTTCCCCATGGCAAGTCTTGCCGTGCGACATCCGCCACTGTGTCTCTTAGTCTCCCATACACGTAGGTTTCTCCTTACTGATGGTAAATCCTTGCTACGGTGATGGTTTGATCGGACTAGGTTCTGGGTTGGTTAAAGTTTCTGGATTTTTTCTTTTTGCAGGAAACCCCCGGCGGCCACTCCTGAGAATCTCCCAAAGTGAGTGTTTTCTTATGGTATTATTAAACTAGCAGTTTGGCCCTTAAATAATTTGACCCGTATTGCTTTTAGTTCTCGACATTATAAAACTTGTAATCATACCCTTCTGTGATGAGTTTGTCATTTTTGAGGGTCAATTTTGTATTTTTCGAATTCGGGGGAGCAAATTTTCTGAATATCAGCTTGTTAGATGATTTGTTGTTGGTGCTTGTATTTTGATTTGAGGGGTGATTATTTGGGTGGAATTTAGATGGTCAGCAAGGGCGATCAAAGCATTTGTAATGGCGGAATTGGAAGCAAGGAAGCTCAAGTATCCCAACACAGGAACAGAAGCCCTTGTTATGGGTGTTTTAGTAGAAGGTTTGGTACAAAACTTACCCTTTTAGTTACAGTAATAGCTTGGTAATTGCCATTGTACGTGTTCGGTGAATTGAGTCTTCGCTGCTTAGGCTACTTATTTGTCTGACTGCCAGCTATTGAATGACTTATATTTGCTTCATAAGGTTCATGGTATGTTATTTTGAATAGAGAATGACTGAACGAGTTCATTTTCAATGTAAACTGGTATGTTTCTGAATCTATTATATGAGTGTTTTCTCATATAAAGATGAAAATTTTGGTGTTTTCTCACACCAGCTTAGTTCGTCCCAAAAAATTACATGGGGAAATATATACTAAGATTGGCTTGGTCTCGTTGAGTTCTATGATATGAGTGGTCAAACATCGGTACTTCATTTCACCTAATTTATCTACTGAATAGCATATCTTCTATAATATTGAACATTTGTACACATTAAGAATAATAAAAAACAATTGACCACAGCTTGGAAAGTGTTTTCTTTTTTGGAACAGGCGACTAGAACTTGGAAATCAGTACTAGTTTCATCATCTCAGAGATGATTTATTTCTGCTTTATTGATCAAGTGGTTGAATGATTTAATTTTATTTTGTGGTTTTGATATTAACCTTTCACCTGGAGTCCTGGAGAAAGGTGAAAGAAAAGGAAAACAGGACACGCCTATCTTTTAATGGCACAATAACAATAAGATAATTGCCTGGTTATAACTGGTAGATATTTTCATGATGCTTGATGCCATGCATATTTATTCCTGAACTTGATATGTTTTATTCTTCTCAATTCATTAGTTCAGAGTAAGAGGGAAGGAAAAAGAGAATTTAAAATTCAATATCTGTTTGATTCTTTCAAGTTAGTTTGGTGCTAAAAATTTGTGGACGCAATAAACTATGATATTCAAGATGAAGCATTGAATTAAAGCCTATAATTATTGTGAAAAATAAAAATTCTTATTGAATTAATTTATTTTACCGAGATACTGTTATTCATATGTTAAGAAGTTAAACTACCTAATTAAATACCTTATATTACTAGTTGTATATCTTTTTTGTGTACCACCTTACTGTTCCCTTATTTTGTGCTTCTCAAGCAATTTTTAATTTTCTCCTTCTAGGAACAAGTAAAGCTGCAAAGTTCTTACGGGCTAATGGAATCACTCTTCTCAAAGTACGGGAGGAAACTCTAGAGCTTCTTGGGAAATCTGACATGTATTTCTTTAGTCCTGAGCATCCTCCATTGACTGAACCAGCTCAGAAATCCATTGACTGGGCTGTTGAAGAGAAATTAAAGTCTGGTATTCTCAGTTTCCACGATCACATGATTATTAATTCTATGCATTGACTATCAGTCACTTGCCCAAATGTGCAGTTCTTCAGCTAGATTAAATAGTTCAGTTTGGACGGTTTACAATTGTATGCATGCAGGATCTGTTATTTTAAACAGTCCTCTATTTTAGTGTAGAAATCCTATGAAGCTTAAATGTTGAAATGGAGACGTAGCGTGAAATGAAATTGCCTGTGGGTGTCTGTTGGTTCAAGTAGTAAGAAGTTCATCTCATTTGTGTCTCACTCTCACCAGTTAGAAGGAAGCTCAAGTGTTAACTCATGTTTTGCATCATGTTGACAGGATAAACTTTTGCCATCATAGGTTTTTAGCAAATGCATCATGCTATTATAGGTTTTCCGCATTAAGCTTTATGCTATGTCCCTGGTCAGTTGAAATCGTACCTACAATATTGCTGATATAAAGTGAGCCGCCACTCTATCAAAGACAACACTTGCCTATCTGTGTTTTGAGCCTGTTGCAAGTGCATTCTGTGTTTTGAGCCTTGGATTGTACAATTTGGTACTTTCTCGTTTGATGTTTCTAGTTTTGATACATGCTCATAAAACGCAGGTGAAGGTGGGGAAATAACCGTGAGTCATTTGCTTCTAGGAATTTGGTCACAAAAAGAATCAGCTGGTCACCAGATCCTGGCTGCTCTAGGTTTCAATGATGAAAAGGCCAAAGAAGTTGCTACATCAGTAAGTCTCAAGTTTAGTTGCTATCGTTTGACTGATCATGACTATCCAATATTAACATGCCATTTGGCATACTGGAGGAACAAATTTCCTTTTTTGCTTTTTTTTTTGGGTGATGTATATTAAATTAGGTCCTTAAAATCATTACTCAGTAGTTCCTATTATTTTTATTTCTTTTTTAAAATAAATTTACCTCCTTGATTCTACTGAAAGTATATAGATCTCACTTATTTCAAAAACAGTTCAAACCTTCCTTGAATTGTGGTAAATTTACACAAAAATCTTTTCTATTTTCAAAACTGACGACAGACTTTCCTTGAAACACAGTAAATTACATAAATTTCTTCTAATTTGTTGGAATTATATATACTTCTGGTTGAACTTCAAACACATGCAAATTTCCCTTAAAATTATTAAGAAAAAGGCCTGCAATTTCAACAAAATTTATGATAGACCTTTGTGATTTACTTTTAGTTTTTGGGGGATGGCAGTGTGGGTTTTGAAAATATAAGAAGAATTTGGTAGAATTTTAGCAAAATTTCGGTGGTTTGTTGTCTTCTTTTCTTTTTTCTTTCTTTTTGTCTTTTAAAGAGGTGATATCCACATAACTTCAGCGAAGATATTTGTTTAATTGATTCTACCTCTTTTTTCGTTACAGTTGAACGGTGATGTTGATTTGAGCTTCAAGAAGCAAACTTAAGAAGTTTCTTGCAGTAACTTATTGAGGTTGCAAATAAACTACACTCTCTTTATCAGTGCGAGTTTGCCAACGAAGTATCTGAATGAGGTCCTTTTAAACATTTCGATTCCAAATTCTGCTTTACGCCAATTGGAGGCTCTGCAGATTTTCAGTATTCCTACCGGTTTTTGGGGAATTCAAGAACTCAGGCTATTCTAGTTATGAGTAGTCCCTACTTAACTCTCCCCGTTACTGTAACTTTCATCCCTTCTTTTGGTTTTACTGAATTAGTTATATAACTGGTTGAAGCCTTCCTCATATTTAAGCCATCCTTGTTGCTTCTTAAAATTTTCCAATCTTTCTATCTAGATTTACAAGTCATGAATTGTACGCCTCTTTTCAGGTTTCATAAAAATGTATAGAAATATACTCTTGTTCAATAAATCGTTAAATAATTTTAAATGTGTTTAAATAAAAATCTTATGAATTATAAGAATTCAGTTTAATTATAGCTTGGCCAGAAATTCTTAATCATAATTTTTTAAACTACAAAATGTGACTAAAAATTAAAAATTGATCAGCAATATCATCAATAGTATATAATAAAAAGGAAAGTCAGTGTATTAATATACAATATATAGGAAGATTATGTTAGTGGTAATTTTTTTGTGTTGGCTTGACAAGTTTTTTAAAAATAAATAATAATCATCAATATGAGAATCATTCATGTCAATGCTATAAAATCTGTCAAAAAAAAATCAATATCATATAATGGTTAAATCCATAATCATATTGTGGCAGTGATCAATAAAATATTTTACTAGATCAAAATATTGATTTAATAATTTACCCAAAAAAAATTAACTCAAATTTCAATATGAGGGGATTATCATCACAAGACATTGACAAAACAATTAAAAAAAATCATCATCATCAATAACATATTCAATTAAGTCAAACTTTTTGACAAAAAAAATCAAAAAAGGGAAAATTTGGATTTTTTTCTCAATTTAATTTCAATCAAACTTTCTAAAATTTTACTTCATGTGTTGGGAAATGAAATGAAATTAAATAATTAATTGAGATGATTTTATTGTGCCTAATAAAGATAGACACATGAACATCTCAAAAAAAAAATTGTAAGAAAAATAAATAATTAATATATATATAGAATGTTACTTTTATTGACAACATATTATTATTATAAATTTGCAACTTTAATTATACATGTGCTGGTTATTTATTTTCTACATATTAATTATTTATTTTTCTTACATGAATTATGTTCATGGTTTTACTTATATTTATGATGACGTTATGTTATTAATAAAAATTATAAATTCTACCTATCACAATTGTACGGCACGTAATTTGGTGCTTTTCATTTCGCACAATAAAGTAATTTAGTCAGTCTCTTACGTGGCAGTAGACTAAATATTTGATTTGATTGATTGATACAACCGCGACTTCATTTCATCTTCTGAAGTCACCAAACCTACAAATTTGTGGGTTAATATGATTGCCTGAGGCAAAACCCTAGTTGAGGGTTTAGTCTGCTTCAGTTTTACACGCCTTTGTCTCACGCCCTCCATTTCTTTCTTTCCTGCTTTCCTCTGCTGCTTTACGCGCATTAGCTCACTCTCAAAATGAGCTTTGCTGCTTACAAGATGATGCACTGCCCAACGGGCATTGAGAATTGTGCTTCTGGGTTCATTACACATTCTCGCGCCGACTTCGTACCTCGAATCCCTCCGATTCAGACCGATGACCTTGACTCGGAATGGCCGGCAAGACGCGAAATTGGTCCCATTCCAAACCTCATTGTCACTGCTGCGAATGTTCTGGAAGTGTACATAGTGAGGGTTCAAGAAGAAGTTAGCAGAGAGCCGAAGGGCAATGTAGAATCCAAGCGTGGTGGTTTCATGGATGGCATTACTGGGGCCTCGCTTGAGCTTGCTTGTCATTACAGGTTTGCTGCTTTTTACATATAAGATCAGAGAAAGGCGAACATAATTGTGTTCAGTTTTCCCCCGCTGGAATTTAGAATTAAAATCACTCTTTTTGGTGCTCTATTTCATTTTTGTTTCAACTTCACTTCACTCCAGGTTGCATGGTAATGTCGAAACCATGGAGGTATTGAGCATTGGAGGTGGTGAAGCTTCTAGGAAGAGAGACTCTATCATCTTAACTTTTAAAGATGCGAAAATTTCAGTTCTGGAATATGATGATTCTATTCATGGGCTTCGAATAAGGTGAGGGGAAATTCCAAACTGATTTGCACATACACATAACTGCACAGACGTGTGCGTTGTTAAATTCTGTTATTAAAATTGGTTTTTTGCTTTATACTTCTCTGGACGGAAAATCTTAAGCTTGTTCAAGGGGAGATAACTTGCAGAAAAATGTACGTTCAAAATTCACTGTATAGCTGGATTAAGAGTGATTTTGCACAACTTGTCTGTGTGTATTCTTTGACGTGCTATATCCTTTTCAGTTAATTTTAAATGTTAGGCGAAGTTGTTGAACTTTTTACTTGAAATGATGAGAACGGGAAATATTCTGATTGAACTTTATTAGAAGGCATAAGGTGTGTTTGTAATTGAGACTTTTTAATGGCACCCCTTTAAAATACTTTTGCATTTTATTGAATAGGAATGTTTTATGAAGGAGGTAATCTTAGAAAAGGTGAAGTTAAATGGAGGTGGCTTTTTGATGATTTTATAGGAGGCATCTTTGGCAGGTATACAGCCGGATTTTGGGTCTTACAGTGTTGTCTGTCTCATTCCCTTGCTTGTTATTTCTTTTCTTCTTTTTTTTTCACTTTTCACAAGGATTTCTTGTTTTCTATTGGCCTAGCTTCTTTTTATTTTTTATTTTTTATATTTGAACAGGTGTACTTTATCCTCTCCTTCATTAGTAAGATTTCTTCATTTATCTGAAAAATTGAGGATAGAGATGGTTGTGTATTACTTGGATGACATTTCTTGTGTGCAAATCTTATCCCATAACTCTGAGTTTGGAAAGTTATTGGGTGTTTTTCTGAGTAATTGGAACCATGGAAGATCTTTGTGGAGCTTGTTTTGTTTCAAGGAGATAATGGCACTATTCCTTCTTTGGATGCCATTATGTTTGTAGTTATAAGTCCATTACTTCAGGTGTCTTGAGGTAAAAAAAAAATACCATTGGAGTATGATCATAATTGTATTTTCATGATGATTATTCTTTAATTAATTCAATTCTCATCTCTATATGGATGTACTTATAGTTGAGTGCAAGGTGTTCTTTGCTTTGCTATGCATGTATTTGTCTGTCTTTTCTGTCTGAAGTCTCTTGCTCATTTGTGGATGGCTACTCTGTTTGCAGTTCTTTGCATTGCTTTGAGGGTCCAGAGTGGCTCCATTTAAAAAGAGGCAGAGAACAATTTGCTAGAGGCCCATTGGTAAAGGTTGATCCTCAAGGCAGGTGTGGCGGAGTTCTTGTCTATGATTTGCAAATGATAATACTTAAGGCTACTCAGGTCTATTTTCCTTTATAAATGTCAATTTAAAATCCTTTTTGTAACATATGATTTCCTTGCCATTTCACTTGATCGGATGACTTGGATTTCATTGTATAATTAGTCTGTAATAGAGTTGTGTATTGATTTCAATTTGATTTGCTGAAGGTCTTTTCCGATTATTTATAAAGCTAGAGAGGGCTATCTTTCTTTTTATTGATGTCCTGCCTCTTGGGTCTTTGTCCCCTGGCTGTGAGCAACTCTGACACTCTTGAGAGAATCTTGTGCTGTTGCTGATTTTTCCCTTCAATATTTTTCACCTTTGGATAAAAGTATGAATTGTTTTGTGTAATTTGTTGAAAATAAACGTTACTTAGGACCCTAAATGCTTAATTTAATACAATGTTGGTATTTGATTGATAAAAAATTAGAGTGCAAGCTCTTTCTTCTTCTTTTTCCTTTTCTTTTTTATTTTTTTGCTGATTGCAAAAGCATCTAAGATCTCCTCCAGGACACAATGGAACATCTTTTTTCAGACCCTTGTTAAGGAAATTTAGGCTATTTAAGCAAGCCTGTGAAATTAATTTGTAAATAGTGTTGCAGTTAGGTACCTGAACATTCTCTGTTTTCTTGTTCTTGCTGAAACATATCCTTAGTGCCCAAGACAAATTGTCGTAGGCATATACGAGGTGAACCATTCTGTATTCAATTGATTTTGAAGCTGTTAGATAATGATCAACGAGGAAGAAACTTTTCATATCATAATGTGCACATATCTTAATATTTAATCACCATTTTGTGGCAGTGTACAGTTTTGGCTGTTGGCATATTTGATTAGAGAGGACCGCTTGTATTTTCAGAGCAGTTTCCTTATCTACTCAGGTGTTATGGGTGCACAGGATAGTGTTTATTGCTTCCTCTTGGGTGTTTAGTTCATGATCGCTTCAAAGAGGTTTCAGTGTCGGTTCTACAGGGGGATTGGGGTGCATTTTAAATGTTCCATGATCTTTTTTAATTAAGCAGAGTTCTTTTTTTAATGAGTATTCTTTACTCTTATGCTGTAAGTTGTAACTTCAATCTTTCTCAATATATTTTTTCTAGAAAAAATGAAAATTCTTTGTTATAAAAAAAATCATTCCCCTCGTCAAAATGTTATGTATGTTCCTGTCTGTTGGATCTTCTGCACATCTCTTTGATCTGTCAACTATAGAAGATTGCTGTTCACGTCTGTTACAGAAACCACACCAGAGCTAGAAACAGCTTAAATGCAAGTGTTATAAGCTTACTCTCCTGAGATGAAGAATATTGTAGAATGAGCATTAATTGTGATTTCTTATCTTTCTTTTTATCATGTTCACCCACAGGAACTTTTGTTCTTCAGGTACATTTTTGGTTGGTTTTAATTTCTTTTATCCATGCAATATAATTTTCAGGCTGGATCTGGTTTAGTTGTAGAGGATGATGCCTTGGGTTCTGGAGGTGCGATTGCTGCTCGTATTGAGTCTTCTTATATGATGAGTTTAAGAGACTTGGATATGAGACATATAAAAGATTTTACATTTGTACATGGTGAGTGTGAGAAAGTATTATTATAGTATTTTTGAGTATACTTGTGAATGTTTATAATTAAAAGGCTATTTTTTTACGAGATGTGCTTGGATCAAGTTTTTGTTGTGAAACATGGCTGGTGGAATTACTATGAATAATTGTTTTTTGAAAGTTGTTCTTACAATTATATTCTTTTGTAAGTTTTTGTTTGTGAATTAAATATTCTTATACATCTGAAATTCCGGTACTTGTATGAAAATAAAGTCTGAAATATGTTGTCCACCTCTGAAACTTTGATTCTAAAAGAATGGCACGTAGCATCTCTTAACTGACAAACCAGAGAGAAGAAAACTATTTTGACTGCTCTTTTTTTGAATGCCCATTACTTTTGGTGCACCTTGAATGCGTTTGCTCTAAAGTAACAACATGTTGCAGCTTTTAAGTTATAGATAGCAAGGGGAAAACCCTCTCTCTCCTCTCCTCGTTCTTTATGTTAGTTTGGGTAGAAAATCAAAATTTAATTGGGGGAATATAGGGGAGAGGATGAGATATTCTCCTATTAAAATGCACATAAAACTAGAAGGAAAAGAATAGAAGACATCCAACAATCCATAATGATGAAACATGAAATGCAACAACGGAGACCGATCTTTCTGTAGATTTGATACTCACCCTTTAAATAGGCCATGAGCAAACACCAAAGCAAATGCCTATAAACTATATTTCCACTACAACTGGGGAAATAGGGAGTCTCCCTTGAATATTAAACCATTCCTTGTTATAGTAATGCGTTATAACACTGCAAAATGTGCACACTATCACAAAGTTCCATCCTTGTTATTCGTTTCAAACCTTTTAAACTAAGATAAATTGCTCATAGGTCATAGGACACACGAGTCAAAGATACAAAGTCAAAACCAACCATTGGATTATGTATGGAAAGATAGTAACAGATTCAAATTTATCTGCTATGTGCATGAGAAATTTAATTGGCTAGGGTTTCTGAGCATTTGGCTGAGGTTTAAGCTTGAGCATGTTTTACCTCATTTATTGACTGTTTATTAATCTAACTAATATAGTGCTAGGCAAATCACATTTGAAGGCTAGAATTAAATAACAAGTACTGTATTCCTTATTCCTTTATTTAATACCCTAGAATTCTTCTAAAGATCATTATAACCCATTATATAGGTTATATTGAACCTGTGATGGTGATACTGCATGAAAGGGAGCTCACTTGGGCTGGGCGTATCTCATGGAAGCATCACACTTGCATGATATCTGCACTGAGTATCAGTACAACTTTGAAGCAGCATCCACTCATATGGTCAGCTGCCGTAAGTTTTATTTGTATTGAACTTAAGCTGTGAACCAACTTATATAACAGAGTCTCTAGCAAATCAGTTTTCTTTTCTTAATACATTGGGTATCTATAATGCATTGTGGTGTACCACTGAAATGTTATCATCACCTGGTATTGCATGAAGTTAATTTACCCAATTTGTTGCTTCAGCCCTTTGAACAAAATAAGATTGCATCTTGAGATATTTAGAGATAACTTCTGTCATGGCAATAAACTCATTAGGCAAAAGGAGAAAAAAAGACAATAGTTTCATATCCTTAATGAATGTTGGAGTGGTCTAGGTGGAGGTAGCAAGATGTGTGGCAATTGTAAGGTGAAGATAGAAATAAGTGTGGAAATGTGTCGTAATAACGGCTTAAATGGGTAAGGCCTAAAAAATTAACAGGGAATAGGTTGATTGGGTTCTATCTTAATAACCTGATAATGTGATTTGGTAAATTGATGAAAGTTTAAAGAAGTATTTATAGACTACCAGTTGGGGATTTCTATCCATTTCCCCGTCATTGCACTTCGCCTTTTCTCTTACTTGAAGTGTTTGTGTACTTGCCCTTATTCAGTAGTTGCAGGTATTCTAAGTTCCCTTTTGATGTAAATAACATTCTCATTTTTGCATGTTACTGTTTGAATGATGAGATCTCATCAAATGGTTAGTCATTTGTAAATTGGAAGATGTTTGCATCACATCTCTTGGTTCTGTCATATGAGCATCTTAACTTCCACTGAGACTATGAGATATTTACATTGCATGAAATTTATCTCGTGTGTGTTGGGTAAGTCTAATTGCATGAAGTGTTGAAGCTGTCTGTGATTTTTCTTATTGCTAGAATCTTCCTCATGATGCCTACAAGCTTCTTGCAGTGCCGTCACCAATAGGTGGTGTTCTTGTGTTTGGTGCTAATACTATTCATTATCACAGTCAGGTACCAACTTTGCTCTAGCAGAACTATAACAATAACATTTCAATTTCTTTTTCTTTTTTTGTGGTTTAAAATGAAAGTAAATGGGAGCAGAAATTTACTTTCTCAGAAACTACTGTGTTCTCAATTTTTGGTTAATAAGAAAAAAGGCTGGGCAATACTTATTAACATATATATTTGCATTTTCTCATGTATTTAACCTGTTTTTGCAGTCTGCTTCATGTGCATTGGCGTTGAACAGTTATGCTGTTTCACTTGATAGTAGGTGCTGATCCTTCCTCTCTTCTCTCTGAATTGAAATTGGAACTATTTAATTTTATTTATTCAACATATATTAGTACTGAGAAGTTCAATGGGTTTTTTTTTAAAAAAAAAAAGACAGAGAGATAAAAGAAAAGAATGTACTTGAATGTCATGCTTTTGTGAGGAGTGCATGTGTTCTGTTCTGTTTCATTTCATTTTCATTTTAATATTTATATTTTCATTTTTGCTTCCATTGTCATTTTCCAAATTTTTTGCACAAAGTTGCCATCTTTTTTCAAAATTATTGTCATGATGTTCCTAGTGCTGAAAATTGTTGTGCACTTTGTTTGATCTTGGATTCTACATTTATTCTAAAATTTTGATAATTTCTATTTGTGCTTCAGTCAAGAGTTGCCAAGATCGAATTTTAACGTGGAGCTTGATGCTGCCTATGCAACTTGGTTGTTGAGTGATGTGGCCTTGCTGTCCACAAAAAATGGTGAACTGTTGCTGCTTACTCTTGTTTATGATGGAAGGCAGGGCATTCTTGTTCTTTTATAGCTCATTGTTTCACATTCTTTGTTTTGTTTATCAAATTCATTTGAAAATATTATTGTTACTCATTGTCCTCTAAACATAATAAAACTCCAAGTATGGCAGAACCTCCTATACTTAATAGATGACATAAATTAACAACAGTTTCTTTCTCTATTTTCAGGGTTGTGCAGAGACTTGATCTTTCCAAGTCAAAAGCTTCAGTTTTGTCATCTGTAAGTTGCAGAAAGCCAACACATAGTGCTAGTGCTGCTGAAGTTTGATTATCAACATATTGTGAATATCTGCTATTCTGTTAGGGTATCACGACAATTGGAAATTCTTTGTTTTTTCTCGCTAGCCGATTAGGAGACAGTATGCTGGTGCAATTTTCTTGTGGATCTGGGGTTTCAACGTTGTCATCTAATCAAAAAGAAGAGGTGCATATTGGATCTCTTTGCCTTCTCTGCCTCAAATTCAACATTTTCCTGATTTTTTGAGGGGTTTATTTCTGAAAAATGATGCAAATAATCTATTCTTGATAAAGATTGTTGGAAATTTAGTTTGAGGGGTTTAATTTGGTTCTCTTTTGGTAACATTGTTTATAAAATATTCTCCTGTGATTTTTACAGGTTGGTGATATAGAAGGTGATGCTCCTTCAGCTAAGCGGCTACGCAGGTCCCCTTCTGATGCTTTGCAAGATATGGTTAGTGGTGAGGAGCTCTCCCTTTTTGGATCTGCCCCAAATAAAACAGAATCAGCACAGGTAGTGTTTCATTTTGCATAAAGGAAAGACCGCAAGTGATAAAGTAGACATATTTCATGTGTTCAACTCACTCCTCTAGTCCTTAATGAATTTGTTGTGGTCCTTTCTGAAATTTTGTATTCATTAAACTTACTGAATTACTGAACTAGATGCATGCTGCCTGCAGAAAATCTTCTCATTTGCAGTGAGGGATTCATTGATTAATGTTGGCCCTTTGAAAGACTTCTCATATGGTTTAAGGATAAATGCTGATGCAAATGCAACTGGAATTGCTAAACAAAGTAACTATGAACTGGTCAGTCTTTGTAATTGCTTATTACTTGTACTCCTTCCCTTTATGTTGATGGAGTTGAGATCCTATTCAGTGTTTCCATGATGTTTTGCTTTAAGTAGTTGAATACGACTGTCATTTTTTGGTAGTGGGTAAAATAGTTGGGTGAAAAAGTGTTGTATGCCTGATTAATATTGCTCATGTGTTAGCATTCCTTGGGCATTGACTTGAACTCCAAAGTTACGATCATAGTTCACTACCGTTCAATTGATTTTGTGAGTCTTGATCAACTATGTAGGTATGCTGTTCTGGTCATGGAAAAAATGGTTCTCTCTGTGTTCTTCGACAATCAGTTCGTCCAGAAGTGATAACTGAGGTTTGTTCATGGCTTTTATGATGTATTTTTAGCTAGGACTGTTAATCTTACTGCTTATGCTTATAAAATAACCTTGTAATTATTAGTTTTTCCTTATGCCAGTGTAGCAAAATTTCTGACTTTTTTCTATGCTATATTGTTGTGATGTTGAAGTAGATTCATTATTCATAAAGACAGCAAACATTTGATTGTGATGCATTGCTTTCGCTTGTTCTGGTTGTTTTGTCAGACTATTCTACATTGAATGTATTAGAAGTTCTTTTATGTATTATTTTATGAAAAGTAGGCAGCAAAGTGGTAAGAAACATTTCATCATGATTGTTATAACCTCATTGTTTTACATGCTCTGCATCTTTTCAGGTTGAACTTCCTGGCTGCAAAGGAATTTGGACTGTTTATCATAAGAACACGCGCTCTCATAATACTGATTCTTCTAAGTTGGCAGATGATGATGATGAGTATCATGCTTTTCTTATCATAAGCTTGGAGGCTCGTACTATGGTAACTATATATATGTTTTGAATGTGTGATTTTAGAAGGATAAGCTACAATTGATGTATATATATGTTGGAGGAAAGAGAAAAATGACTAAACAGAGTCTTTTTAGTTACAACAAACACGAAGAGGCTTTATTCCACTAAGGAAGGTCAATTACATGGTTTCTAGTTAATGCCAATTAACGGAAATGAAGAAGAGAGAAATGGTTAGAAAAATATAAATTATAGAAACAAATGAAATGAAGTGTGGAAAAACTAGAGAAAGAAATAAAATGAAGAAACAAAGGAAAAAAATACGTGTGTGGATTTAGGGGGTTCAATTCAAAATAAAAAAAAATGTTTGTAGCCAGTGAAGTTAGTGAGTCTAGTGGGTGCAAAATGTCAAGAAACTGAGGGCACAATATCAAAACTCAATACTATATAGATATAATTTTGGAAATTTAGGTAGGGGGATGTGGCTCCTTGCCAATATGTGGCTTCGCCACTGGTTGTTATCTTAATCCATAAGCTTTATGACAAATGCTGATCATTTTATTATTTCCTTTCACATTTAGCCTATCTGGGAATCATTATGTAAAGTTTTTCCGATTAACCATCCTAAACAAGTGAGAGAGATGATTGGTTCCTTCCTGTATGTCTGATAGTCTTATGACTTATCTATCAGGAAAGATATTAAGGGTGCTGTTCAGGTGAGCGATTGACGACTAATGATATATCAGAACCTGTCCAAATTGGTTTGGTGATTCAGAGAGATTGTAAAAGTTCAAAGTCTCAAATACATGAAATACCTGTGCTGAGCAATGCTAATTGCTATTATGCTTAAAGATTCTTTTAACATTTTTATTTAATTAAATATTAATTTTAAATTAACTTATCTTTCTAAATATGAAACATTATAGGCAAGATGCAATTAAATTTGTAATGAAATCTCATATATATTAAGATAACTGACGGTAAGCATGATGGACGCAGTAGCTGATACAATTTGACATTTATAGCCATGAAAAAAAATACTATGAAGTCACTATAAGATGTGCTTCTGGTGTGTATTCTCGTGGTCATACTTTCATTTCCATATTTCCTATCTGACTATGGAAAATTTTCCTCCTTGAAAAACTCAACTTAAAATCTAAAGCTCCTTTTATTTGGACAACTATGCTACATAGAATTAGAACAAATGACGTGTAATTGGAGACCTAATACAGCCCACCATTGTTATGATTTGCATGAATAATGGAGAAACTGAAACTCATTTATTTCTACATTTGTAGCGGGCACTGTTATTGAATAACATCTTTGGGTGTCTGGTCTGAATAGGGTATGTGTGCAGGATTTAGATTAGTTGCTTCATATCAGCTCAAAGGCTTTGGATGAAAAAGTAGGTTATAACTCATAACCTTGTGGTAACATGCAGTATTTGCCGTGATTTGTTATATTTGGCCACAGTGGAATGCTCATAATTTTGGGGGTATTTCCTTGTCTGGGGCTTCTTCCTAAAAGTTAAATGCAATCTTCGTCTTGGAGTAAGACAGAGAAAGGGAAATGCTTCATAATCTCACTTGGTCTGTTTTATAGTGAAATACTGGTGTGTTATCTGGATTTTAAAGGACCTGTTAATGCAGTAAAGAGGTTTGATTTTTGGAAAGTTTGCTAACTTGAGTTTCTCCTTTGGCCATTTTTTGCATGGACACATTTTCCAAATGTTTGCTATCAATTTTCATTTGCTTAATTTTTTTTTTCTATTTTCGTATGGTTGTTTTGCTATGTGACTTCAAAATTTTCTCGTGTGACATACTTTAGAGGGAAATGGAAAAAAAGTGGTGATGCAGTTTTGTTTCATTACGATGACTAATACTATTTTATGATTAGGTACTGGAAACAGCTGATCTTCTGAGTGAGGTTACTGAAAGTGTTGACTATTATGTTCAAGGAAAGACACTTGCTGCCGGGAACTTGTTTGGAAGGTTGGTTAACTTGTTGCTGAATAATTTTGTGGTCTTTTAACATGCCCAGTTCCAGGCGTTCATTGTTGTGGTTATTTATTTTCTGTAAATGATTCTTATTCTGTTTATGGCTACCTTTATGATCATCCTGTGATTTATCCATTTGCTGTTATTGAATGATTTTTTGAAGACATCATCTGACATTACTTGATTGAAGAAAAAGGATATTAAATTTATATTTCACATTTTTTGGTGTCTTATGTTGATTTTAATCATTTTCTCTTGCCATATTTGAACTGATGAATTTTGTTCTTTTAGCATTACATTTTAATGTGATCACTGATCATATACTCGTAGTAACATTACTGCGAAATAACTAATCCTGGTTCTGAACCTAGGCGTCGAGTAATTCAAGTTTATGAACGTGGTGCTCGCATTCTAGATGGTTCTTTTATGACCCAAGATGTAAGCTTTGGAGCTTCAAACTCTGAATCTAGCTCTGGATCTGAGAATGCTATTGTGTCATCTGTCTCTATTGCTGATCCATATGTATTGCTCAGAATGAGTGATGGAAGTATTCGACTTTTGGTTGGAGGTAAATTCTTGGTTAGCATTTTTCTCCTAAGCTATAATATTATTAGCTTTTCATAAAAGAATGATATATCCATGTGAGATTTAACACAGTTTTGTGGTGGTTTTCGGGGACTTAACCCTCCTTTATCCAGGGTTTATAAAACATTCGCGGAGTTAAAATTTATATGTATTAATAGTTTTTTTCCTAGGTTTTAATATATTGCATAGAGAACAATGATGTCACATGATTCATGTAATTGACCTCACTCAGTGGGATAATGCTTGTTATTCTTGTATAATACATTGCACATGTATTCTCACAATCATTTTATTCATGCTCTTTACAATTTCTTAGTAATATTGTTTCATATAATTTATTTCATTATATCTTGTGGACATTTACCACTGGTTAGGACATAGGACAAGCATTCAGTTATGATATGAAGGGTTTCCATAGTTGCTGCAGAGTTTTAATTTATCATGCCCTTTTCCTGTATGTTCAAATTCAGATCCTACTACCTGCACTGTTTCTGTCACAACTCCTTCATTTGAAAGCTCAAAAAGATCAGTATCTGCATGCACACTTTACCATGATAAAGGACCTGACCCATGGCTGAGGAAGACAAGTACTGATGCATGGCTTTCTACTGGAGTTGGTGAGGCAATTGATGGTGCTGATGGTGCAGTTCAAGATCATGGGGATATATATTGCGTTGTTTGTTATGAAAATGGTGCCCTTGAAATGTTTGATACCCCAAATTTCAGTTGTGTTTTTTCTGTGGAAAAGTTTGTGTCTGGGAAGAGCCATCTTGTTGACACTCTTGTGGTGGAGGCATCAAAAGATTCTCCAAAAGTTGATGAAGGTTCTGGTGAAGTGACTAACCAAGGCAGGAAGGAAAATGTACAGACTATGAAGGTTGTGGAGTTGGCTATGCAGAGATGGTCAGGGCAGTATTGCCGCCCTTTTATTGTTGGGATTTTGAGTGATGGAACAATTCTGTGTTACCATGCTTACTTTTATGAAGGTTCAGATGGTACTTCCAAGGTTGAGGATTTAGCATCTGCACAAGGACCTGCAGGCCTTAATGGCACTAGTGCTTCTAGGCTTAGAAATTTGAGATTTGTCCGTGCCCCCTTAGATATATATGCCAGGGAGGAGACATTGAGTGGATCCCTTTCTCAGAGAATTACTATTTTCAAGAATATAGGTGGTTACCAAGGATTTTTCTTGTCGGGATCTAGACCTGCTTGGGTTATGGTGTTGAGAGAACGGCTTCGTGTTCATCCACAGGTCAGAACCAAGCCATCAGCATGCAATTGTAGATATTCAATGTGATTGTGATGTGTTTAGCATGTTCTTGGTTTCATCTGAATGTGCATATTTAATTAATTTCATGTTTTTTGAAGTATATAATGTGTTACATGGAGAGCAAAGCAATAAATTGGATGCTAATTGAAAATCAATTGATGACAAAATTAATGGTTAAATTAAAAATGGAAGTATTAATCGTTAACAATGTGAATAATTGGAAGTGTTAATGATTTAGAATTGTCGAGACTAGCAATTTGGGACTGCCCAAAATGTTTTAAAAAATGATCTCATGCTTCATTGAATTGACAGGTTTGTCAATTACTTAAACTTACAAATAGTTTTCTCAGTTATCACCCAAAAATATAGGCTTGTCAATGCTGATAAAGTTTTATACATGCTAAGAGTTCTAAAAGGCACTTTTCATACTCCACCCATTGCATGCTATGTCTTAGGTTTTATTTGTTGCTCTTTTATACGCATCATATTAGGCGTGATTATTTCATTGGGTTACCTTTGCTGTAGTTACTGCTTGATGGTTTTCATCACACCTCTTTCAGATCTAGCTTGTTAGTGCACTGGCTTTAACCTTGAATAGTTGACTGTTTCAGATCTAGCTTTATTTCATTGGGTTGCCTGCACCTTTCTGGCTTGGTTTTAGGCACAGGAATTATTGTTTGTTTTGTTGTTGGTCATAATTTCACATACAAGTGCTAATTATCTCACTAGTTTCTTCTTTGTCAGCTGTGCGATGGGTCTATTGTTGCTTTTACTGTCCTTCACAATGTGAACTGCAATCATGGCCTCATATATGTTACATCACAGGTACATGTTGTAACCCTGCCTTGTGTGGATAATTTATTATTAACCAGGTCTACAACTGTGGCTAACTTCTATGGTCAAAATATCATCTTTTTAGGGTGTTTTAAAGATCTGCCAACTGCCTACTGGCTCAAGCTATGATAGCTACTGGCCTGTCCAGAAAGTACGGAGCTCTTCCCTCAAGTCTGAGTACCCTCTTTATATTAAAAAATCAATTTTGTACGATTTTTTATTTGACTCAGTTTATTATCCCCAGATTCCGTTAAAAGCTACTCCTCATCAAGTAACCTACTTTGCAGAGAAGAATTTATATCCGCTTATAGTCTCAGTTCCTGTGAGTATACGTTGACTTATTTTTCGAGACTTCTTTTTGGCTTTGTGATATTCAAGTGAAACATTGATTGCTGCGTACCATTTTATTTCTTGATTGAAAGTGAGTGGGATTTTATTTCACAATGATACTCTATTTCACAATGAAAGTCCTACTCTAACAAGTACACCTACTCTTGAAAGCTTCCTCTTTCACTGTGATTGGCATATTGTATCTCGTGTTCTGTTCCTTATTTCATTGTTTTTACTTTTTTTTTTGTCTTTCATATACCCCTATATATATATATATATAAAAGAAATATAATTTTGGATATACTTCTGAAGTAATCACTTATATCTCAATGCTTCTTTAAGTTGGCTCAATATCGGCCTCAGAGTTGCTGGTCCATTGATTCTCTGATTCGAATACATATTTGATGGAGGATAGTTGGTTATTTACTTTCCTTTGGGATGTTATTAAGCGGATTATGGCCTAGTCAACTAGAGGATGACATGCATGTTTGTTGCTACTAGTATAATTGAGATGGAATAAATTGATTCCTTGTTCTTGTTTTCTTTTTTCTCCATTTTGTCTCTGCTTGTCCATTCAGGAAGTAATGCAATTCTATTCATTTTGTCAGGTTCTCAAGCCACTTAATCAAGTTGTTTCATCTTTGGGTGATCAAGATGTCAACCAACAGACTGAGAATCAAAACCTGAGCTCTGATGAGCAAAACCGCTTTTATACTATTGATGAATTTGAGATTCGTATTATGGAGCCAGATAAATCTGGTGGCCCTTGGCAAACAAAAGCAATAATACCTATGCAAAGTTCTGAAAATGCTCTTACTGTGAGAATGGTTATGTTGCTGGTAAGTTTGTCAGTTTTTGAAGAAATTGTGTGCCAAATTGTATGTTTCTTAGTTGCTTGTTTTCATTCTTTTTTCTCTGTTCATAAAATCTTATTGGTGCAAGTTTCCATTGTAGAATACAGACACAAAAGAGAATGAAACACTTTTAGCTATTGGCACTGCTTATGTGCAAGGCGAGGATGTTGCTGCAAGAGGGCGTGTCCTTCTGTTTTCTTTGGGAAAAAATACTGATAATAACCAACCTCTGGTAAAATTGGAACTTCTTTTCTAGATAGTGATAAGATATTTTATGTGCTTGATTCTGATTTAGTTTCATGTTTTCTTTTAGATGTCATATAGCTTATTCGTCTTTACAGGTTTCAGAGGTATACTCAAAAGAGTTGAAAGGTGCTATATCTGCTTTGGCCTCACTGCAAGGTCATCTATTAATAGCTTCTGGTCCGAAAATTATTCTGCACAAGTGGAATGGTAATGAACTGAATGGTATTGCATTTTTTGATGCTCCACCATTACATGCTGTGAGCTTAAACATTGTAAGTGATATTTCCGCAAACTATTTATTATTGGCGATGAAATAGTCCATGCAAAAAATCTTTGAAATTTTAGTTTGCATCCATCTTTAAGCTGCATGTGCACATCTTTGTTCAATTAATGTTCAATAATGTCATTTCTAAATGTTTTATGCTTCCTGTTATTTTAAATATTCTCAAGCAATATAAAAATTTGTGGACTTCTCTTTTTGGGGCCAAGAATAACTATGAATGTTTAAATATGACAATTTTATAACTTAGAAAACTCAAGAAAGACAGAATAATAATGGAGAAATTGATGTGACTGGATATTAAATTTCTTATTTCTTGGTATAGGGGTCAAGATTTTGTTACTTTGTGCAGTTTTTCGGGCTATCTTGTGTAAGGGATTGGATTAGTATGCTCATATTTATCTTTTTGTCCTTTGCAATATATATATATATATATTCATCTCTTTGGCCCTACAAATGTTATGGGATAGGATTGTGTTTATTGCTTTTATGATGTTCTGCTCGTGCTAGTGTCTGCTGAACTTTCACTGCTGATATGCAGAGAGATTGGCAGCATTATTACATGCATGAGCTTTTTTGGCTCTCTGTTTAGTTTTAGCTGTCTTTTTGATAGAATTAAGATATTTTCCCCTTGTCATTCTTCTATGTCCCATCCCCCTATGCAAGTTTGTTCTTTTAATAGAAAATTTTCAAATGCTTGATTTTGTCTCTTGTAATTTATTCCTGATCTTGTTGCAGGTAAAAAACTTTATACTTATTGGTGACATCCATAAAAGCATTTACTTTCTTAATTGGAAGGAACAGGGTGCTCAACTTAGCTTATTAGCCAAGGACTTTGGTTCTCTTGATTGTTTTGCAACTGAGTTCTTGATTGATGGAAGCACTCTGAGTCTCATGGTTTCAGATGATCAAAAGAACATACAGGTTTTCCTTGAGATCATGCAGCAATATGTTGTTACCAGTTATTTGTTTTGATTTATACTTTTGCAATAGATAGTTGGTCTAAACATGTCAAGTTCTTCCAATATAAAGATTGTCTTTTCATGGTCGCCATGTTTCAGTTATGGAAAATAAAAGGAAAAAGAATATGGACAAACTTGTATCATCTATAGTAAGTGAAAAGTGGGCATTATGTGATGCAATTTACTTTGTACTGAAAGTCTTTGGAGGGGAAAAAAACTCGTGGATAAGAAAAATTGTACAAATTTTGTTGCGAGATGTGGGACAGCCCTTGCTCATCGCACATTGTGAGCTACTTGAATTTTCTCACGAGTGTACCAATCAGATCGATATGTTATCTTCTTTACTTGGCATTTTTCTTTGAAATTTGATCTTTTAAAGTCTAATAATCTTCAACTGTTCCTCCACTGTTGAGTAGCATATCATAATCATATAGTGCATTCTGCCTTAATTGATCCTTACAAACATTTCTTCATCTTGCTCTATGTTCAGTCGATTTGCGTTTTTATTTGTTTCTGAAGTAATGTTATCCTGGGAGCAGATTTTTTACTATGCACCAAAGATGTCTGAAAGCTGGAAGGGACAGAAGCTTCTTTCAAGGGCTGAATTTCATGTTGGAGCACATGTGACTAAATTCTTGCGTTTGCAGATGCTGTCCACTGCCTCTTCTGACCGGACTGGCCATGGTCCAGGTTCAGATAAAACAAATCGTTTTGCTTTATTATTTGGAACCCTGGACGGCAGTATTGGTTGCATTGCACCACTCGATGAAATCACATTTCGGAGGCTGCAATCTTTGCAGAAAAAGCTTGTTGATGCTGTATCTCATGTTGCTGGCTTAAACCCAAAAGCTTTCAGACAGTTTCGTTCCAATGGAAAGGCCCATCGGCCAGGCCCTGACAGTATAGTTGACTGTGAACTTCTGTGCTAGTGAGTTTTATATTCTGTAGTATAGAGAGAGATTATTTCAACCTGTTATTAACTTTACAAATTGGACGAACATACTAGATACTATTAATTTGATTGAAATAAGAATGATGGAGCTTCATAGGAAGATTTCAATGGGCAAACTACTAATTAGTGAAAAGTTTAATTAATCAATTATTGCTTGACAGAGGGGAAAAGCATATATGGTGAAACTATAGAATAGCCCTGTTTTGGATAATCAATTACACTCGTTTCTTTCTTTTTGTTTGTCAGTTCCTTGTTTTGATTAGTGTATTAACTTTAGCCTGATGTTGCAGTTATGAAATGCTTCCACTGGAGGAACAGCTTGAAATTGCTCACCAGGTCGGAACAACTCGATCACAAATTCTATCAAATCTGATTGACCTCTCGATTGGAACAAGCTTTTTGTGAATGCAGTCATCATTTGTAGAACAGAGGAGGACCTTACTGCTCGCGCGGAGCTCCTGGGAAATGCAAGTTCTGTGACTTTGATCCAGTCATATTGAAGGCTTGAGTGAGTCATTAAAGTAGAAGCCAAACTAGCTAACCGACCATGCAAGCAGTAGATGCTGGCACCTCAAGTAGTGATAGCCAAAATTTATCTGGAAGCTTCAGTCTGTATATTGAAGATTAAACTGAGGAGTTTGTCTTGTCCTTCATTAGCCTGTGATGGCATCCTTGTCATCAACTTGTGCTCTTCTGAGTTGTGAGCAAGAACCTATGTTTGAGAAGTTGGAATGACGCTGATGTAACATGAACTGAGTTCATGCTTGGAGGCAAGTCAAGCAAGAAATCAAGACAGTGAACCACTTGAAGCTTTGGTATTCTTTCTTTTTCATTTATGTAACTTGTATGTTGTTGAGAATTGTAAAACCAAACATCTATGGTTATCCGCTTGCAGATGTTGTAGTTTAGTCACAAATTGTATTTTAGCCTGTTCAATTTCATCTCTTGTACATTTTTCCGGAGAACTCTCTAGTTGCACGTGGGATTATTCTCGTTCTGCATTTTGATACTGAGTTCATCTATTACACAAGAATTTAACCTCGTGCATGAGGCCATATTTTAATTTCTTTGCATTTGTTGCAGCTCGCACCAATCAAGGGATGCCACCTTTAATGTGAAAATTTGTGCAAGAGATAGATGGCTGAGATTTCTTTTGTACACTATGGCCATCTTTGGTATGGTGAGTAAGGAAAGGGACATCGAGGGGAAGAATGAAATTAGTTGGATGTAGTTGGTCTAAGAATTATAGAAAATGGCACAAAAGCAATGTTTTATCCAGAGTCTATTCAAGTTTGCGATCATGATCACTATCAAATCTTGGCCACCTTAATTAAAATGCAGTGCCCTAATATCATACAAGTGGTATTCACAAGCCCTTCTCAAGATATGACACTGAAACCCATTTTTATCAATATATTTAATTGCTGAGAGTTCTATGTTAACCTCTGAAACTCAGCCACATAACCTTTTAATTAATTAGTATTAACATCAACACTTTCTATTAATGACTCCACCATGTAGGAATATACTTTCTTTCCTTTTTCATTAGCCCAAGTCTAGATCCTTTGCATACTTGTGAATTGAGATTGTGTTTATCTTTCTGAATCATTTACATTGACTCAAGACACTTCAAATTATATTATTTTTAATTTTTAATATTTATTTTTGCTTAGAGACAAAATAAAACTCTAGCAAAAAAAATCAAAATATAAAATAATATCTTGTAACTGTTAGTTTAAAAATAATTGTAGCCGATCCTACCTAAAGTAAGGTTTGTTGATGTTATTGTTGTTTAAAAACAATGATTTAGATCAAAAGGTAACTTGGATTAAAAAAGATCATAATCCTTATGTCATGTTTTATAAGGCACATTGATAAGAATTTGACTTGTATATTTCATAGAAGCATGGATTGAATTGGCATTGACATAAGGATTTCATTAATCGTTGGCCAAAGAAACGGATTTCATTAGGGGGTGGTGTGTGTGTGTGTATTTCATTTGGAAGTGGAGGTTTATCACACCACTAGAGAGTTCAAGTGTGCAGATTTTAGGGTGATGATAAAAGTTTGGAGATAACCTTGGTGTCATCCGTGCCGAATGGTTGTGTGAATTTTGTTTCAAGCTTTAGGCTTGCCATTGTATCTCACCAGAATAATGAAAACCATACAAGTTTGAACTCAGGCTGTCCCACTGATTTTGGGATATTATTCTAAAACAAAGTTTTAAAAACCAAACCAGATCAGCAGGTTCAACCAGTTGTCCTCAATCTGGTCCAGTGAATGACCAAAACCAAACAAGTATAGAACCAATCAAAGACCGTACAAACAAGTTAAAAATCAAATAAACCGGTAAAAGCAAACCCAGTTTTCTGTCAAAATTGGATCAAATAAAAGAATGGAGAAAAAACCAGACAAAACTTACAACTTTGTGGCTTTAGGCCAAGAGTTGTCATTTAAGCAAGTCACAATTTAACCCTTGCTGTTACAGGAAAGCATGAAGGTGCTCCCCCATCCTTTTTATATGAAGGCTATGCCTATCAATTTCGCCCCACTTACACGATATGGGACCTTAAAATTGCACCTCTTCTTTAGTTTTCTTTCTTTTTTTGTTTTTGTTATATATTTTTAATTTGATATGTAATATTTTTTTTTTAAAATCTTAGCATCTTTTCTTAATGTGAGCATAAATATATTATCTTTATACTTCAAATTATTTATCTATATTTTTGCTTTAAATTTATCTTTTTAATTTAGTTTTGATTAACCTTCTAAAAATAATTAATAAATTGTCACTTTTAATATAATATTTAACATATAAAATTAAAAATGTAGTAAATTAGTCACATCCAGTTCGACTAAGATCTGGCCATTGACCTTTAAATCAGTACCTTAGCCAGTTCAATGATAGATCTAGTTTTTAAAATTTTATTCTAAATAAATAAAAATATAATCCTAGTGACAAGAATAACCCTAACTTATAACATCAATAAATACTAATACCTAACTGCGATAAAAGGATGGATAAAATAAATAAATCTGCCCTTTTTTTTTCCCCTAAAGTGTAAAGAATAGGTTTCGTTCATTACAAAGAATATCTCTTTCAAAGTACAAAAAGTATTGGGTAAACTTTTTCGAACTAAATTACTACATACTCCCTCCGATCCACTTTATAAGTCACCTTTTAGAAGGATGAAGTGATTTACTTTATAAATCATTAAATTGATAGCGATGCTTTGTTTCAAATAAAATATCTAAACTACCCTTAAAAAATAAGAGAGAGACAAATAGAAAAATAATATTATATAGATTATTTACTTTTTAAGGGTTATGTTTGTAATTTTATAAAGTTTTATTCTTTATATTTTTGTTGCATTGATATTGATAAGGTTGGTAGAAATGATTTATAAATAGGATTGGAGGGAGTACACAAGAATGAGGTTCAAACTTCCAACTATTTATTTAAGTGATAAGAGCCTTTAATATTTCAAGATAAATCAATTCTAACTTTAAGAATTAATATATAATTCATCTAACCTTTTTTTTTTATTAGGCACATGTATCTTTTTTTAAAGATAATCATGTTCAAGATATGATCATACATTAAATATAAGTAAATTTTTTAATAAAAATTTAAACTTTAATTTGTTATGGTGTAAGGAGCAGCTCATTTTTCTAAATTAAATTATTCCGTATTTATCTAAACTTATTAATCATGTGAGAACTGAAAGGCCAAAAGTCTGTTGTGTGTGTGGAAGCGTGGAAGGGCTTACACACGTGGGTGTGGGATGAATGATTTGGTCTACCACGTAACGTAAAATCATGATGACACACGTGCGAATTAGTTCTTCTTTGCTGGTGTGGATATTTAAAAAAAAAAAAAAGCAAAATCATGTATTTGCTCAATTTTGCTATAATACTTCTCAGGTGAATTTATAACGTGGTAATTTCAAAATCCACAATCCATTGAACTGAGTAATTTTTCAAATTAACCTTAATATATAGTGTGGATTGTGACTCTACACTTCCTTTCTTTGAACTCAATTTGAGTCATTTTTCATCGTAAACTAAGGTCAATCCATGAAAGAAAGCATTGACTAGCAATTTTATGCAATATATACATTTTAATGTAATTATAAACATTAAAAATAAGTTAAAAATTCCTTTTAAAAATGTGAGCATCTAATATATTATGTCTGTCTTTTTTATTTTTTTCTTTTAGTGTGTACATGTATCTTGTAATCTTCGAAACATAGTCAACACTAAATATGATTATTTCTTTCAATAAAAATTCAAATATTTATTAGTCACTTTATAAAACATTAATTCATTTTACTAAATTCAATTCCTGTTAATTCTGTCTCTCTTCTTTTTCAGTAACTTCTCTTATGCCGTATGTTGATATATTTGTATAAAATATTTTAGGGACCATTATTTAATTAAAAAATAATATAAATGATTGTCTGGTCAAGGCAAAACAGGAGCCTTCATTTCCGATGACTGCCAGATGAAGAAAAGGAATTGAAAACTTTTCTCTCAACGAATATTATATATATATATATATATATATGGACCAACCAACATATTAACACATTTTCTTATGCTGCATTTTTATAACTTTTAAATAAATACTGCTGTAATTCTTAACAAATCCAGGTAAGTTAGACTCTTAAAAAATTAGTAAAATTAGGATATGACTCACAATTTAATTGTATTAAAGTATTTATAAATTATCTATTGATAAGTCTTCATATTGATTTTATTATGCATTCGATGGACAAAAAAGTTTAGAAATTAAATATTTTTTGAATGTGTTTTCAAGATTAGAAGAGTACCTTTTTAAAGTTTCTTAAAAATTTATACTTGAAAATCACGTCATAATATGATTAACTTAAGAGAATGAAGTATCTAATAAATAAATAAAAATCAGCAACACATATATAATGATGAATTTATTGTTGAGAGTATTTTATGGTTTCCATTATCATAACATTTCTCAAATTTTTACACACCACGAAAGGGGGATGTCATGCTATTATGTATGTGTAACCAACTTCACAAGTTGATAAGAAATGATAATTAATGTCATTATACTCGTAAAAAATAATTGAATTTCCAGTTTTACCCTTTACTAAAATTAACAATCATAATAAAGTACTCCCTTTGTTAAAAAATATAAGATATTTTTAATTTTTTGAGGTGTAATCATTACTTTTTTTTAAAAGTGTCTCTATTGATAATAACTTTATATTTATTGTAGAGTGTATAATAAGAATAAATATGAAAAGATATGGTTAATTGAAAAGTAGGTAACTACTTTATTAAAAGATAAGATTCAATTAAAAATATCTTATATTTTTTAAAGGGTAGAATATGTTTAGAAATGATAACTTGGTGCAATTAAAGAAGATAATACTGTAAAGAATTAACTACAAATTTTTTTAAATAACTCTCAAAAATATATTTAAATTATATTTAGACTGTGTTTTTGCCAAATAGTTGCTTGCTGTATCTTTATCATATAATTAGGAGGAAAGAGAGTATGTGTAGTGAAGAGAAGATGGCTAAACTGAAATGATGAAAATGGGAAAAAGGAAAGTAGTGGAATCTTAGTAAGACACAATAGATGGGGAAATTTGACATGAAAAGACAGCCTTCCATTTCCATTTCTTCTTCTTTCACATTTCATTTATATGCCTTTTTGACATTTCTCTCCTTTTTATTATTATTAGGTCCGCTCCCATTTCCTCTTTCCCATCTTGGGTCCCACTCTTTTCATTTCTCATTCATCCCCTCTACAAACACTCATACACCTATCTTCAATTTCATTTCCATCTAAGATTGTGCTAGAAATCATCATGTTCCTAAATTATTTCTTTACTTTATGCATTAGTTTAGGTTTTTCTAGGTTTCAAGGCCCATGTTAGAATAGATATTCTCCTGGTTCCGATATAGATTATTCAAAAATGAAATAGTAAGGAATTTCAAACCTATGATCTTATGA